TTTGGAAATACATTTTTAAAAATTATAACCAATCTGATTTAAATTTGTATAATCTGAAAATTTTATTTATAAAACAAAAAAATCTAACCGGATTTCTAGATGTATTTATTTTTATTGACTTAATGGGTTTTATCGTCATACGCCGTTACATTATTATCGACCGATGGCTATAGGCTATTGTCTAGTATATTTTTATCAATTAGTACGGAAATTCCATAATGAAACGACGAGTGGCGATCGACTATTCTAGTTTTATTTGTCAGCACGCTTCCTTCAATGAAACACGCAAACAAAGCTGCCTAAATACAGTACGTTCTATACTATACATTTATAAGTATTTTTATAGTAAGTTTTATTTTTATAAATCATAATTATATTTATATAGTCGATTGTCTAACGATTGTCTAATATTATACTATTATGGACATCAGAAATTTTTTCAAAAAACCTAAGTTCTGTGATTCTGATAATCAACCCTCAACTTCAGTAATTGAAATAAATAATACAGAATCGTGTGAAGTTGAAAGTACTTCAGTTGCTATAAATACAAAAAGTAATGTTATTAGTGATGGGATAACGGATGAAAAAGATATTGAAAAATATTTAAATCAAGAAAATATTGACAATTCTTTGAAATTCGAACTTTTGCGTCATCCTTGGATACCCAACACTAATTATAACTTTAAAAGTGATTTGAAACCAGGAAATACTCGTGAATTTAGGCACAATTGGTTGCACGAAAACAGTTCATGGTTAACTTATTCAGCAGTTGAGGATGTGAAAGGAGCTTTTTGTAGAGTATGTGTGCTGTTTAAGCCATCTATTCACAGAGGTGTACAAGGTAAATTTATAATAAAATCGTTTACTAAGTACAAGGATTTTCATAACTTTTCTAAAATACATATATCTTCAAAGTAGCATTCTGAATCAATGTCTAGAGCTAAAGATTTTATAGATATTATGAATGATAAAAAAATTAGTGTGATTGAACAAGTAAATGTTGGACTACAAAAAGAAATAGAAACCAACGGAAAAAAATTAAAATCCATAGTATCAACCATTGTGTTTTGTGGAACTCATGACATTGCTTTGCGAGAGAAAAAAACAGATTCAGGTAAATTTCATGATCTTCTACATTTGATTCAGGCGATGAGATGTTAAAAAATCATTTATTAAGCTGTACAGGAAATGCTAAATATTCATCTCATAGAACACAAAATGAACTAATAACATTGTGTAGGAAAATACAGGTTTTATTAATAAAAAACATAGTGTGTGAAGCCAATGCCGCAAATGCCTTTTCTATCATTGCCGACGAAATAGCAGATATTTCTGGTGTTGAGCAATTGACAATTGTAATTAGATTTTTAGACAAATAGTCAAATCCTTTTAAAATACGAGAAGAATTTCTAGGCTTCTTACCCTTAAATAAATTAGATGCAGAATCGGTTGCTACTCAAATATTATCATTTATGGTGAATTGTGGTCTTGATTTAACTTAACTTTGTGGACAAGGTTATGATGGCTGTGCTACAATGGCTGGAAAAGAAAGTGGTGTTGCTAAACTAATTAGGGACCGATATGCCAAAGCTTTATTTTTTCATTGTGCTAGTCATGGATTAAATTTAGTTATTAATGACTTAAATAAAATTATGGTTATTCGTAATACTACAGGCACAATTAAAGAAATTATTAAATTATATCGTGAAAGTACACTTCGAAGAAAACTAATACCTAACATACCACTATTTTGTGAAACACGTTGGTCTTCAAAGTATTAGAGTATTTTCTCAAAATTTTATTACAATAATTCAAAGTCTCCAATCTTTATTCATAAATGATATGACAAATGCTAATACAAGATAACGGGCTTTTTATTCATATTCCTCAGCCTCAATTTGTTTATTTATAATAACAATGACTATAATTGCAAAATACAGCGCTATCTTGGAACCTGTTACTAATATTTTACAAGGTAAATCAATAGAACTTTATAAAGTTCGGGAACATGTGGAGACATTATTAGAAATTTTTGAAAATGATAGAATAAATGCAATTGAAAGCTTTAATTTATTATTTATTAACGCTAAATCTATAGCAAATAATTTAGATCTTACTATTACTTGTCCTAGAATTACCGGAAAACAGTTACATAGAAACAACTATCCAAGTGAAACTCCCAAAGACTATTATAGAGTATCGGTTTTTGTACCATATCTCGAATCAATAATACAATCTATCAAGGAAAGATTTTAAAAAGGTAATAGTGTTGCTTTTTCATTACAACACCTTCATCCTGCATTATTTAAAAAAATGAAAAAAGAAGAGTACGTTGAAATTTTAACAAACATTCATAGTTTTTATAAAATTGAAAATTTGTTAGTTGAAGGTGAAAGTTGGTATGTTTATTGCCAAAAAAAAGATTTTCAAAGTATGGACATTATAGATTTACTAAAACATAGTGAAATATTTTTCCCGGTATTACAATTGCATTATAAATTTTCCTATCTTTACCAGCTACAAGATGCACTGCAGAACGTACTTTTAGTACATTACGAAGAGTAAAAACTTGGCTACGATCCACGACAAGTGAAAACCGATTAAATAGTTAATGTATGTTAAGTGTACATCGTGAAAAAGTTAAGGCAAGCAAAAATCAATTCATTGAACAGTTAATAACAAGATTTGCAACAGAACAACCGCGAAGACTTCAATTTTTACTATTTAGTAATGACTCATGAATATATTTAATAATTATATATATTTTGCAATTTTCAGTTAATAAACACTTTATTTAATGTTACTTTTTGGTATTTAATTTTTTTTGGCCCCCTCCTGATAAATTTCGTGCGGGCGCCTATGATCTTAACTGAAATTATTACAAGTTTCAATTAACATTAAGTTTAAATATTGGATAAACCTAATGAGAATATTTAATACTTATAGAATATACTTTAAGCTTCGATGCGAAGCTGAGAAGGTATTGGTTTTACTATGATGTGTTTTTTTTTGGGGTCTGTCACCACTTTTTCTCAGCTCTCACCGAACCGATTTCTTTCAACGATACATCAAAAGATCACAAATCGTATCTAGTCGAAGACATTACCCTCAAAAATTGAAAAAATTTCCCTTGTTCCCCGTAAATGGGGAAAACCTACAAAAAAATTACAAATTTAAAAATCGCTAATTTTCGACATTTTTTCAATTTTTTTTACTAAAAACTGTCATAACTTTTTTAAAAACGAACATATCAATATAATTTTTATTTTTATAGATGCTTGATGTCTTTACCTATCATTTGGTATATTATTTTCATAATTTAACCCTTTACCTGCCCACAGGGGGGGATTAAAAATGACTACTTTTTCACAAAAAATTAACTTTTAAAAGAGTTCCGGAAGTTCTGACAGTTTTATATATATTTTAAATTAAAGGTAATGTAATGTTCTTTATTATGCAAAAAAAAAATTTCGGACTTTATTTTATCTTTACGGTGAAAATGGCTACCGAATGCTATTTTTGTGTGAAAATTTTCGATTTTGTATTTTACATTTTTAACTTTATTATGCTATAACTTTTTGAAAAATGTATGGATCAGTACAATTTTTTCACGGGGAGTAGTATTTATATACATCTTTCATTTGACATACTGTTTTATTAAATCGGACCATTTCCCTATATACTAGGGGGGTTCAAATCTAAAAAATGCATGTAGAAAGTAGAACTTTTTCAACTTAACTTTTGAAAGTGTTCCGGAAAGTCTGACACTTTTATATATATCATAAATTAAAGCTGATGTAATTTATTTTATTATGCAAAAAAAAATATATCGGACTTTATTTTATCTTCACGATGAAAATGGGTTACCAAATGCTATTATCGTGTGAAAATTCTCGATTTTATTTTTTACATTTTTAACTTTATAATGCTATGACATTTTGAAAAGTGTATGGATCAACATTATTTTTTTATGAGAAATAATATTTTTTAATAATCCCTTTTTCATTCGACATACTTTATCTTAATTAGGATATTAATAATGAACTAGCAGATCATGTAGCTTTTGGAATAATCCTTCAATTTTTTAAAATTAAACACTATCTAAAGATTTGCATCGAAGCGTTTTTTTTTGATAGTGATTTTAATCACTGTCAGATATCATTATACTTGATCCAGCTATGCTACGTCACCACTGTGCTGGGTTTTTTAAAAATTAACAAATCAACTTATTTTTATTTCAATATGTTAGAGTCATTAAAATTCATTAATTTTAAAAATCAAAGTATAATAGGTAATTTTAAGAAATATATAAAACAAATAAAAATTTGTTGGTCAATTTTAAAATTTAATTTATATTAGGTCATGTGAAAAATGTACAATTTATTTAGTTCTATTCTTTCCGCGACCATGTTTTGGACGTTTTTTATTAGAATTAATTAATTTTTCTTCTGTATTTGAAGCTTCTTCACTGTTTTTTGTATTATCAACAATTTCACTTGAATCATTTTCATTTTCATCATCAGTAACTTCATTTTTAGGAATAATATTGGAAAACTTTTTCAGTTTAGCAACAAAAAATCCATCCATATTGTGTGTATGGGGATAAAAACGTCTAGTAAGTTTCATAGTTGGATGGAATCTAAATTAATTATATTAATATTTATTTATTCATAATATGTTTAATAATTATTGGAAATTAGATTATTTTAAAGTTTAATATTTCATGTGTCACAGATTTGAATAACATTACTCATTTCATAAAGAAAAGAGAACAATTACTTTATAAACAATTTTGTATTATGATAAAATCTGTAATATTTCATCTTATTAAAATTTAATTTTAAAATCGTTTTAATAAATACACTATACCTATGCTGTCGTAAATTTGTAAATCCTTCAGTTCCAAAACTCAGTCCTGTGTCTACTAATTTAACATCCCTTTTTTTTAAAGCATAATCTATTACACATTCATTTTCTTCAGCCTAAAGAGAAAGACACAAAAGTCAAATGATTTATTGTAACTTTAAAATGTTAAAAATAGCTTAATTTAACTGGTTACATTACTACTTTTTGGTTTTTACAAAAACTTACAAGGATTGAACAAGTAGAATACACTAGGTAACCACCAGTTGAGCTTTTGAAATTTAAAGAATCAATAGCAGCTAATAAAAGTTCACGCTGAAGTGTAAAACATCTTTGTAGGTCAACTTCATCTTTACTCATTTTAACACCAGAATCTTTACTTATAACTCCAGTTCCTGTACATGGAGCATCTAGCAATACTCTATCAAAATTTTTAAAAATCTGAACAGAAAATAATAGTTGAAAAAAATTATTTTCTATTGTAAAAACAAAAGTTTAATCACAAATATACCTGAGGTATTTGTCTACCATCATATATGGATATGACTGAATTAGCAATTCCCATTCTATGAAAATTTCCTATAATAGCTTTTGCTCTATTTTTATTTACATCATTTGCAATTAGCACACCAGTATTTTTCATAATAGCCGCTAAACATTTTCAATATGTAATTTTTAGTTATTAGTGTTTATAGTAAGGGTCAATCCATGCCAAATCATCCAGAAGTGGTAGCACAACCACTTATTTTTCTTAAATTTTCAGGGTTTATTCTTTATGCTATATTTAGATTAAAACAAATTTTTTTTTAAGACTTTCTCGTTTTTATGGCTATTTTAATGTAAAAAATGTTAAGAATTGCCAGAATGTTAAAAAACACACAGGTTATTTATATTGACTTAATCAAATTAAAATTTTAGACTTGTCTTTATTGTAACTTTAAGTTGACATAAAAAAAAAAAAACTTATGTGAAATTCTAAACTTTAATGATTTTCTAAAAATGGTGCTTTTTTGTGAAATTTGGTGTTTTTGAGTTCATTTAAAACCATTAAGGAGTTATTATTTTATAGTAATTTTCAAATGTAGTATTGTATAGTATATAATCTATGTTTTAATTGAGTATTAAATTTTTTAAATAATTTTCTTGGGATTTAGGGGCCTACAAGATTAGAAAATTGATAAAAATATACGTATTCTAAGTGCGTTATTTCTGTTGGTGAACTTAAGTTAAAACAATTTTTTTTTTAGTTTTTTAGTTATATATCTGCTTAATATACCATAAAAATTTGAACTTTGAGAAAAAAATATAACATGTAAAATTTAGCATTAGAAAATCAGAAAAAATCCGCTCAAAATCAAATAATTTAATGATAGTATTTTGTTGTTTTCAAACTACGTTTTTGTAATTGTTTTATATATTATTATATATGTAATATATTGCGATTCAATATAATATAATATAATATTGTAAAATATATGTCTAAAGTTTTAATTCGATTAAGTCAATATTGAATAATCTGTGTTTTTTTAAACATTTTTTACATTGATATAGCCATAAAAACGCAAAGGTCTTAAAAAAAAAAATTGTTTTAATTTAAATATAGCATAAAAAATAAACCCTACAAATTTAAGAAAAATATGAGGTGGTCGTGCAACCACTACTGGATGATTTGGCATGACTTGACCTATAATTAAAGTACTTATTAAAGTTTATGATAATTCTTCCTTATAGATAAACTAATCTAGATTAAAATTAACTAGGTTTAAATAAATGAAATGAAATTAAAAATAGTATTGACTAATATACATAGGTTAATAAATAACGTTATTTAATTGAAAATAAAACCGAGAAGTCATCAAATTTTAAAATAATTTATGAATGGCATACAAACAGAACCCACCATTGTGCAATTCATTTCTTACTTTAATGATGTAGTACAGTGGATTATAATCAACACGTATAAAAAGTCTAATTACATCATGTTCACCAGGTAATGTGCACTACCTGATCATTGACTTTATCAATATGCCAGTGTGAAAAGTACAAAATAAAAGCCAGAACGATGTTACAATTTTGATGCATAAGTTTTTAATAATCATTTTTATTTTGATGAATAAATTTATGATTCACATTTATTAATTACGATATACCAAATTTGACTATCATATACCAATTTCGAATCTTACCGACCTACGTTAATACCAATTTTTAACCCTTAACTGATATTTCTCTTTTATTCATACGTATGTGGTATCGTGGGTTCCAATAGGACCCCGAAATATTTTAATGGTTTCTACTGATAAAAATTTTTTTTTAAACTTAGAAACTGTATCAAATTTATTCATAAACATGTAATGTATCAATTAACAAAAAAATTTATTTTGTCTTTTGTTCATTTCATAAAAAATAAAAAAAAAGATTTATATTAACACTTAGTTTTAAATATCGCTTATTTTTTTTACAATTATACTTAAATTGATTAGATTCTTTGTAAAACTTAATTTTTATGTTATTTGCAAGTATCCTAAAAAAAAAAAAAATTAAAAATTAACTAAAATTTATATCATTTTATCTGGTTGATTTTGGTAATAATTTTCAATCAAAATTTGATTTATATTTTACCTTTACTTTTGGCATTGGCAACAAACAATTATTTTTGATGAATGTATTTGACAGATGTGAGCATTGCATTTAGAACATACTAATTTTGTTTTTTTATCTTTAGATCTTGGACAAATTGAACACCTTTTTTTGGTAGATAAACGTTGTTCAACTCTTGGTTCAGATGTGTTCGTATTTTCTTTTTCTAGAATTTTTTGTATTGCTGTTGAAATATCTTGAGGCAAATTGTGCATTTGAGTCTCTGTTCAAGGTGTTCTAAAATCAAAGATTTTCCAACTTGTACTATAAACTGCTGACGAGTTATTTTTGTGTTTGAATTTGAATTTGAATATATTATTGGAGTATTTGTCATAGAAATATTTAACATTGCATAAAAAACTGCTAGTGGCCATCTTCTTGTACGGCGTCCAACGTTGTACCCAGAACATTTTTGATCTAATGTATCTACACCACTTTTAGTTGAGTTATAAAACTCAATTATTTCTGGTTTTTCACTTTTATGATCAATATCTTTTCCGTGGTGCATAGACAAAATCAGAACAAAATTTAAATTTTTTTTCGGAATGTAAGAAACTATTGTTCTATCTGACTGAAAACCAAATAGCAAATTACCCTGAGGTCTACTTTTTGTACTTATAAATTGGTGAGGTAATTCTTTTTTATTTTTTCGTACAGTAACAACATATGTGAGTCCCAGACGTTTTAGTTCAGATACTAACTCATATGAACTGAACCAGTTGTCTCCCGTAACGTTCCTTTTAGTATTGTAAACTGGTGCTGTAAGTGTCAATACATTGAGTGTTGGTATAGAAAGTCAATTTGGGTTTGGTATAGGTTTATCTTCTTTTCCAGTATAAACAAATGCATTGATTAGGTAACTACTTTTAGCATCACATAAAGACATAATTTTTATTCCATACTTGTTAGGTTTACTTTTCATATAAATTCGAAAACAACAACGGCCCCTAAATCCAACAAGCATTTCATGCATTCTGATGGGGAATAACATAATTGGCAAAATAAAAAATTTCAGAAATTGGAGCCAGTTTATCATAATCTTCTATTCTCTCATTTCTAGTACTAGGATCATCAAACCGAAGAGCCGTAATAATAAAAAGAAATCTTGTCAAACTCATTGTAGCTCTAAAAATATCACGGCCATTCCCATCAGTAGCAAATAAAGAACGAACATCTTCGTGATTTGATTTGAATACACCCGACAAAAAAAGTAAGCCAATAAATGCTTTAAATTCAACCATATCTAAATGATTTACAAAAGTTGCAGTTTTGCCATATTTTACGCTCAATTCTGTAATTTTTTCATTAGTTTTATCAAGTACTATTTGTAAAATTTCATTATCAAAAAACAAGTACCATGCGTCAATAGGCGATTGTGGTTTGTTAGTTTTAGCTTCACCGATCACTCCTAGTACATGAGTTATAATATTATGTCGTGGTGTGCGTGATCTAGCAGGTGCATCTGTAGCCCACTTACATCTATTTTTACCATAATAAAAACGTAAACGTCTTGCTTGAGTATCTGGAGACTACTGTCACCGTCATCTTCATTATTAACATCGTCGTCACCACTACTATTTTCGAACTCAGACTCGGTTAAATGATCACTAATAATGCTTGAACTATCACTTAAATCACCATCAGAATCAATATCTAAAAGGTTTTCAATATCGGCATCATTTAAAACGGCCATATCGAAGTAAAAAAAGACTCAACGTTTATACTATCAAAAAAAAAGTCATACACATTTAGTATAAAGGGTTAATATGGGACCCCATTGGTATGATAACTAATTATACCTCATAACACAATCATGTTATAACAAATATTTTTTATGTATACCATACTGAAACACATGATTGAAGAATACAAGGAGGTTAGAAATTAATTGTTAACATTCATTAATGTTATCATCAAAAAATAATTTTATCGGGATACCAGTTAAGGGTTAAATATCTAAAATTAACCTTGTAACATAGGTGTAAGTGTGCGTTTTCAAATTTAGACTGCTTTTAGAGAAAACATTGATAAGTTGACAACAAAATTTATCTTGCCAACAATTTAGCCCGAGTCAAGTAACAGTGTTTTTATTGAAAATTGGAGCACACTAACTCACCTATATGAGAAGCTTTACCTCCAGGAGCAGCACACATATCAAGAATAAATTCATTTTCTTGTGGTGCTAAAGCCATTACTGGTAACATACTAGAAGCAGCCTAAAATATAAAAATTTCAAGTTAATTAATTTTAAGTTTAATACTAAAATTACATAGTAATGGTGATATTACCTGTAACATATAATGCCCAGCTAAATATTCAGGAGTTGCACCAATTGGAACAGTAGAGTTGTAAACAACAAGACCAACTTTAGACCAATTTCCAATAGGATCTAGATTTACACCACGATTTATTAGAGCCTAAATGAACAAAAAAATAAATGAAAAAGGTTTATTAAATAAAAAATATATTCTAAGATTAGTTAAATGTACTACTACAAAGAATTTTTTATTTCATTACTTTATACGATTCTCTAATTACTCTTTTTAATCAATAACTACTTACATTCCTACTCCTTCTATATGACTATACTGTTTAACTTAAACTTTAAGCATGAATATTGAAAAAAAAAAAAAAATTTTAATAATACATAATACATAATGTTTTACACAAAATATTTTTTTTTTATTAAATCATAGTATGTAACAATTTTTAAATTAACATATGTTAACAGTTTAGAGTATTTTTTGAACATTTTCAAAAGTTTAATAAAATAAGAATTGATATTATGTGGCTAATATTATTTAAAATATTAATTTAAAACTAAAAAATATTTAATTTAATAAATAAATAACTTTTTATAATATAAATAAATAAGACACATGTGTTACATATGTAAAAAAAATAACATTATGTTGTATTATAATATAATGTTAAAATACAATAATTAACATAATTATAACTTATAATACTAATTGAGAACTACATAATTACAGCTTACCTGAGCTAAGTCACGACGTCTAGTTTTTAAACTATTAGTTCTAATTGTAACAGGTCGGGGAGTTTCACTGGCTTCTAAAAATGACATTAAGTCTTCTAAGGGAAATAGATGCATTATTTTTTCCATTAAAAATTTGTTATAACTAAAATAAGTACACAAATCTTTCAATAATAATTCTGTGTATTCTTGTCGGTTCCTAAAACGTATATGAAATTCTAGAAATAATATAATAAAAAGAAAAAAAAAATTATGTATAAATAAAATAGATAACTGAGGTACCTATTTTGTTCTCTGAATTTATTAAAATTAGATAATACTAATAAAATATCTTTAATTCTTTGTTCAACTTCTGGAATAGGAATGATTTCATCAATTTTATCATCTGCTGGGAAAACAAAAATATCTTGACTTGCAACATTCATTTGCATCTTCATTTCTTCATCAGCTTCAGCTCTTAAATAAAAATTAAGATTTATATTACTTTTAACAATTAACAAAAATAAATTACTCTTCTTTTTTCTTGGCAATTTTTAATTTTTTAGCTGCTTTTTCAATTGGCAATAAATCATCTTCATCACTATTATCAGCTTTTCTTTTCTTAACATTTTTCTTTTTCTTTTTAGGGACAGTATCTTCTATTCCTGATTCATTGGAGCTATCATCTACATCATCTAATGTACCAGTCTAAATAAAATACAATTTTATCATAAAAAATATCTAAGTAAAGATATATATGAATGTATAAATATGTACATATTTAAAAGTGACATTAGTGATAAGATGTAAATAATAATTTAAGAAAAAAATAAAGTTGTAAATAAACATAACTACACACTATTTATGAAAAACAATAAATGTAAATACCTCAAAACATACAGGTTAAAAAATGTTACATTAAAAAAAAATTCTATTAATTTTTTAAGAATAAATAAAATTTGATTATTTAATAAGAAAGTATTACAAAAAAATGTGCTATATAATTTTATGTAATACCATATAATCATCATCTGAATCATTATCTTCATCAAAACTTTCTAATCCATTTTGCTAAAAAAAAAAAAACAAAGCATTTAATATTTTTTCCAAAAAAAAAAAAATTATATTATTTTACCTCTGTTTCTTCATCATCAATATCAGAGTTACTATCATAACTTTCAACATCATCATCTTAAAAAAATATAGACATAAATATTATTGTTAAATAATTGAATAATAAATCAAAAATAATTATTTCATTACATACCTTTTTCTGGAATGATTGATTTATTACTTTTCGATTTTAACCAGCTACTATTACTGTCAGAATATTCCTTAATAATATCATTTTTAATACCTAAAGATTTTTCATTGTTGTCTGTAAAAAATATTAATTAAAATAGTTTAAGTGATATATTAATTAAATTACTATAAATTTTTTATAAATAAAAATAAACAAATATTGTCTATTTCTTATTGACCAATTATTAATTATTAGTTTTGTTTATTAAATATTAGGGATGTGTTGAACCTCAAACTTTAAGTTAAATAATTTTTTTTTATTTTTTAAGGAATGTTATTAATTTTTTTTTTTTAACTGTAGATACAAATATTAAGTAAAACATCACTTTTTGTCTTAAGTAATATTATCACAATGGAACCATTAGAAAATATTTGACGATCAACCTAATTAAATTACTATCTCATCAGAAAGACTAGTAAGTTAAGTATCAAAGAATTCTTTAAAGTGTTATTAGAAAACAATTTTTTATCTTTGAAAAAAAGTATAAGTATTTCTTATTAGTAGATACAAACACAATAAAATAAAAAATATTATGAATACAGAATTAAAAGTTAAATATAACTGGTACTTCTGATTATGAAAATAGAAGCGTTTTGATTTTGAAAATTTGTATTACTATTTATATAAACAGAGTGATTGGTTCATCATAAACACTTGATTACTCGCAAAATAAATACAATATTGGTAAAGAAATGTTTGATTTCTTTTAGATACATATTATTTTATCTATCAACTAATAATTAATATATATATATATTAACTATAAATTGAAATATTTCTTTTAAAGCTTGAAAGTTCAAAGACTTTTTTTTTCACTTCTAGTTTGTGAGTTCAAGAAATTTGATGACATTAAACACTATACAAGTACAGAGCATTAACTTTTTACAATCAATAAAAATCATTAATATTTTAATTATTATTAGAGATATTTAAACTAGTTGATTTTTTAACTGAATAAAATCAAATTTATGGTATACAGTTTGGTTTAAAATTCTAACTTAAAATTTTAAAAAAATCAATACAAATTTTTTTCTTGAAAATCTGATAGAAAATTAAACTAGTAGAGACAAGTACCGCTCCCAATTTTTTTTTTTATTGTAATAAAAACAGTGTCATCACAAGACATTAGTTCACAGTTAATATAATTAACTATGAACCAATGAATTAACATATAATTTACAATATTTCCAGGAATTTTTGCAATAATATAATTAGACTACATTAAATAAAGTTGTCTAGTTATGTTGTAAAAGTTGTTACCAGAGCTCTATAAGAGTTACTACTTTTTAATTAAAATTAAAGTATCTTCAACTACAAGCCATCTTAAAAAAACAGTGTCTAGATGGAACTTAAAAAACGTGAAATGGGAATTCACTTCGTTTACATTGACACAAAAATTATTGTTCAATTGGTTAATACTTACAAAATAAAAGAAGATACTATACTTATATCTAACACCATAATTTATGCAGTGAATGAAGCAATAGAGAAAATAAACATACATGAAACAAAAAACAGAATTTTCGTGATCAAATTTAGAACTCAAAGATTAATAATTGAAAAATATAGTTTTAAAGAACTACCAAAAACTAAAGATTTAGCTGATTTTATACTTTTTACAAAACTAAGAGTCAAAAAAAGTAAATCCAGCTCATGACAAACATTGATCAATTCTATGTAAATAGCTGCAACCAACATAAAACTATTAAATTCAGAGAATTTTCAACATTATGGTGCTGTAAGCTTTAACTAGACATGTTTTATGATCTTTAGACATACCGTTGAACAAATCTGTTCAGTAAGATTAGAGTAATTATATCTAGTAAAAAAAAAAAAAAAAAAACATCAAAACTAAAAATCTATTGACAAATTTATATTTCAGTTATTATATGAAATTTTTTTATTTATATATAAATAAAGCAAGAATTTAATCATAGAAAAATAATAGAATGGTTCTTCTACCTAAGAAAATCAAAATATAATCTTTTTAACTCCAAACTCTTAATTTTCACAAGAGTAAAATAAAATATATTATATTTACTTTCAGTTTCGATTTGTTTTTTGACCAAAGTTTTTTTTTCTTTTTTAATTAACTTTCTTTCTTCTTTTTTTTTTGCTCTTCTAGAAGCACGCTGTTTTTGACGGTGACTAAGTTTTTTGGTCCCTTCTTCATCTATAAAATTGTTGGAATTTTATACGTTTTTTTATAATCATCTAATATCTTAATATTTACCTTCAAGTTTCGGAAGTCCAGGAAGCAATTTAGGCGGTTTTTGTTTTTTAGCCTTACGACCAGGACCTTTTGTTTGTTTAACAACTCCAGGTTCACCAAATTTAGCTTTTCTTCCCATTTTTAATATGAATATAGATTTTAGTAAAAAAAAAATTAGTGATTATGAACAATCTAACACGTGAAAACGTTTTGGTCTCTCCACGAAAACCACGAGGTATTGTTTTCTTGATGATAAGTTATCAATATAGGAGGGAGAGGAAATTATCATTATATTTTTTGGATAACAGCTGTTGCATTTTTATGATAAAAAAATTTGGTACAAAATAATAATGATGATATTAAAAAAGAATCAAAATATTGAAAAGTAAACAAATCTAAGGAATAATTAAAAAAAAAAAAAAAAAATAGTTATGCATTATGATCAAGTAGAACTAGAACTAATGACCTCCTGTAACAATGGATTATAAAGATGATGCTATTTATACTTATTGGGTACAATACACAACTAAGGTATTTTAGTATTAAATTAGAATATAAAAAAAATAAATGATTTTTACAAATATAAAGTCTCTTAAACAAATTTTTAGTAACTTCTTTTGGGAAAAAAACTTCAATACTTTAAAAATTGTTAAATTTATATTTTAAGTAATTTTCTAGCAGCTGCTACTATTAAAAATAATAATATTAAAAATTATGGTTTGTTTCATTACTTTAAAATATAAATATCTTTGTACTGAAAACTCAATTTTGTTTTTAGAACAATGAATCTTCTTTTAGAATGTTTATACGTGGATTTGTATCTATTTGGGAACAAAAATTAGATCTCAAATGGGCAAACACAGATATTTGTTTGCCATCAGTGATAAATCCAGATGAAGGTCCTTCTTTATCTCGGTTACCAGATGAATTATTACCAGCAATAGCTAAATTTTTGTACATAGCTAAAGATAATGCAGAAAAAGTGAGAATCTTGAACTATTATTAAATTTTTTAATATTGGGTTTTTTATTCTTTAATTTCTGTTTTTATTTATTTTTAAAACTGATACTGAATATTTTTAAATATTCATAATTATTAGTATGTTAAGTGATAAAACATTTTTTTCCAAGAGTGAATTTTCTAAAGAAAAAATTGGCGAAGCAGAATATTTACTTCGTAGCTTGATAGTAATAAGTAAAAATTTTTACAACATTCCATTATTATCATCATGTGATTATGTCAAAGAAAGCACATCAGTAGCTATAAATATTATTCATAAAGTAATGACAATATTTAAAATTATATAAAAAATGACAGAATTATTTTATTTTATTTATATCTTATAGCTTACTTCTGAAAGTAATCAATATGACGAATCAACTGCATTTTCACTGGTATCATTTTGTCATACTTTGTGTCATTTTTTGGAATGTCTTTATGATCCATACCAGGTATGGCGATGCTTTGATTCTTCTCAAATGAATAAATTGGATATATCCAAACTTCAGTATTCTCCTTCAATGTTACATGTAGAAGTTGTTCCATTTATTTTTGGTTTGTATTATTATATGAAAAAAATCTAAGAATTAGTAGACAGTTAGATTAGGTTAAATAATGTTATAATTTTTTTAGATTGCTTTGAAACAAATGTTGCTATTAAGTATCCATTATTAGCCGCTGATGTATTAAATATATTTGGAGCCATTGTGTGTGGATCTCAGGTTTGTAATATAAATGTATTTTATTTTTATTTTGGTCACTTTATATTAACTTTTAAAGATTAAATCAGATAATTAAACAATTTTAGTTATAGTTCTAATAGTTTAGTGAGTATGGTAATAGGTTTATAAATTTTAATAAATATAAAAATTGGAAAAATGACTTACTATGAATTTATACACATTTTCTATGAAAATAAAAGCATTGTAGTGTAATTAACTAATTTTTATGTAGTTATTACATGGATTTATTTACAAATAGTCAATGATTTTAATACAATTATTGTCCTTAACATAAAGTATATTTAGAAAACACTTTTAATAAAAGTATTCTCTTTAGAAGAAAAAAACAAAAAATTAACTTATTTTATTGGTATGAAAGTTGGAATGCTCAGTCTATAAGTTATTATGTATATATAATAATAACATAATAGGGAGTTAATTAAGCTTTACTTCAGATATTGAAAACATTTGAAGTATAATTTGCACTACACTACATTAATATAATAGTAAATAGAATAAATAATTTTATTTGTATATAATAATTTTTTGTTGGTATTATATTTTGGTGTTATATGCTTATTTTAAATTTAATAATGCGTTTTTAATTTTTTAAATCAAATATTTTTAGCATAATGCTCTACGTGGCGTTAGTCCTCCAACTTGTTCATTAATAATGAAAGTAATTTCTGGTAAAAGTATTCCTTTAATTGTAAAAACAACAGCTCTTAGATGTTTTGTAACAGTTACTCAAGTTATGATACAATTTCCTCCTCACCAAGTAAGCTTTGATTAATAACTTTGCTAATTTGTAGTTATTAATAATAATTATTTAATTTCTAATGTTTATTTAAATGTTGTTTCTTTCTGACCAAATTAATCATTTTAATTATTTATTTTTATTATTTATTTAATTATTTTAATTTAATTACTTATATCAAACTAGAGATAAATCTGTATAAGTATAACTTATATTAATTACTATATATTCACTCATTTTATTTATTTTTTATTAAATTTTAAATTTGAATTTTTTTTTCTTCATACTGTATATAACTCAACTTATTTTTATTTAAATTTTATATATGTATTGTTTTTTTGTAGTGCCAATTAGATGTTTCTACCCAGATTGAATGTTTAAGGGATACATTAAAAGAATGTACAACTGAAGAAATCAATATCCCACTTGTATTAAGTATAATTAAAGCTATTGGTCAATCAATTGAATTATCTGGAGTGAATGCTGAAAAAATTCAAAAATATGTTGTTGAATGTAAACTTTTAGAAATTATTTTAAATATAATTTGTAATTTGGAGGTAAATTATTAAAAAAAAAAGTATAAAATTTCACTTCTGACTAAATTATCTTTTAGGTAGCTATTAAAGTAGATGATGTTGTAAAATGTGTTGAAACAGTTTCTTCAATACTGCGTATGTCAAATGAAGCCAAATTACAAATGTTGATAATTAATGGTTATGAGAAAATATTTGAATTTGTTGAAAAGCAAAAAAATAAAAGCCAAAAATTACTGAAAGCTATTATTTCTATTGCCACAGAAAACACTGACAAAACATTGGATCAAAATTTGGAAGTATGATATTTATTTTCATTTATACAATTTTTATAAAAATGTTTTACAAATTATTGATTTTATTATTTATTTTTCTAGAATCCACAAATAATAGTTCTTTTAATTGAATGGTTACCCAGTATTGAAGAAGTTGATCAAGTTTGGTTGGCTAGTGTTATATTTAACTTATGTACCACTAATCTTCAAAGGTAGACATTTTTAAATAATAAATAAAATCCCAAAAATATTTCAATCACCCTTTTAAGAGCATGAATTGTGTTTATTTATTTTATCATTTAGTATTTGTCATTCATCAAACTGCAATATTATTGAATCTGTTTGTAAGTGCTTAGAAAATAGTAATCAATTAGTACCAAAAACTGTTCATCAACTTCTTAAACTTATTGAAAATTTAGCATCTCATTCAATTTCAACAACTGAATTAAAAAAAATATTTTTACTTTTGAGAGACAAAGAAGAACTAGTATGTTTTATTAATAATTTATTTAGAAATGTGTCTTTTATAATATTTTATTTAAATTTTAAGTTTCCATATACTACCCAAATTCTTTCAACATTGTCAGAAGTGGCTTACAGTATAAATGTTTTTAACTGTAAAGTCTTTTTTGATATTCAAAAAGATTATGGTAAGTTTAAAAAATTAAACGATATAGCTTCTATTTATGTATTTAGAACCATTGTAGTATTTATTTAATTATCATTACTTTAAATTTTTTAATATTAAAAATAAATACATTTTGAATTTGGTTTTTAGAAGGCTTAACAATTAATGAATTAAAAAAATGGCCGGGTCCTATGAATGGTTTGACTTTTCACTGTTGGTTACGTTTGGATAATGTTAGTTCTCATTTATGTTCAAGTACACATGGTTTAGCTTCTTATCGACGTCAATTACTACAGTCTGCTAAAAAATATTATTTTCCTATAAAAATAATTTTTGATAATAATATGTTTAATTCAGCTTAGCAACAAATACAAATAGTGGAATGGAAATTTTTGTTGGATCAGATTGGACTCTAATTGTTGGAATAAATACAAAGAAAGAGTTTTTAACAATTACTGCTCGAGATTTTAGATTTGTAGAAAATCGTTGGTATTGTATTGATGTTTGTTATAGTCCTCCAAAGTAAGTTTAATTTTCTAAACTTTTAATGTGTAACTTAAAAAAGAAAATTATTATTTACAGAAGACCATTTGGTCACAATCAAGTGTCAATCTATATTGATGGTATGCAAAATATATGTGCACCTGCCAAATTTACTCCTTTAACAGAAGTAATATATATAGATATACAAATATAATATATTATAATCTGTATATATATATATATTATATACAGATGAGTTTCAAAGATTTGAAAAAATCAATAATTTTTGATCCTGTTATATAATTTGTTAAGAATTTTATTTTTAAATTACTGCCTTAAACTATGTTTAAAAAATATTTTTTTTTTGTTATTTATCATTCATAAAAAAAAAATATAAAAATAAATTTGTTTCAAAATTTTACAGCTATTTTTAAGTCTTTTTCTTATAAAAAGTTTCGATGAATCAGCAAAAATTTGAAGACAAGTATTTATTGAGATAAAAACATTTTAATAAATAGAGTTAGTATGTAGCGCAAGTGGGTGCAGCTTGTACTGGTGTGCGTACACTGAGTATACATACGCAGGCAGAGTATAGTATACTTTTCCCTGTTCCATATCTCTCTATGTTTAAAAATACTTGCAATTTGATAATTACTTATCCTAAACTTACCAACCCATCAAAATTTTATCTAAAAATAGGGTTAAAAAATAGCTATTTCAAAATTTTGAAAAATATAAAAATACAATATTTAATTATTTATATATTTTTTTTATTAGTGTTAATAAAAAAATATACTTTGAAAGTAGTTTACATATGAAATAGTTGTTTAAAAAAATATATATCAGCACAAGCTGTAACTGCTTGCACCTCCACCTACTCATCCTCTCAATGTATTAAAATGTTTGTAAGTCAAATAGTGATTGTCCTATAATAGTTATCTATCTATACAATTTTTGACAAGAAAAATTCTAGTTAATGGCTATTTTGTAATTTTGAAATAATGAAAATAATTTTTAAGTTTTTTCTTAATAAAAAACATATAATAAAATTTTTTATTAATTTTTATGTGATAAGCTATTTTTATTTTATGAGTAAAATATGATTTATTTGTTTGATTTTTGTATAATTTCAACTCAAGTTAAACTATCATAATCTAAAAAAAGTTTATAGTATGATCAATGAAAATTGAATTTTGATTACTATGTTACCATAGTGTATTTTATTTGTTAACAAAAAATTTGTTCTTCAAATATATTTTATAACTAGCTATAAGCAAGTTTTGAATCTAAAATCACTTTTATAAAGTTTTAAATTTATAAATATGATTTGTAAATTATAATTATTTTAATGTTAAAAAAAAAAAAAAAGGAGAGAAAATTGTGATTTTTCTAGATTTAAAAAATTACAAGTATTTCTGAATTTATTTTACAGCAGTTTAACCAGTGTTCAATTGGAACATTTTTACCTCAATTACCCAAAACCATTGAATTTCCTCAGCAGAATGAACGAGGCATACTACCATCATTTATAACACAAGTAAATTTAGCTTATATTTTATTATGTTTTTTTATAACTTTTATAATTTATTATATTCTATAGATCATTTAATTTAAATATAGGTACCTAATTATTTATTAATGAGAAGTACTAGTGCTATGGATCCTTATATTAAGGATTTCCCCCCTGGCATGCAGGACTCTCTTTATGGGCGTGCAATGTGTTTAAAGGGTCAACTTGGACCAATTTGTTTATTTCCTGAGTATTTATCAAGTCACCAAGTTAAAGTATTTTACGAATTAGGTAACTATAATGATTGATTTATTATTTTAGCTTCAATGCGAAGATGAGAAGGTATAATTTTACTATGATATGTTTATTTTTTTTTTTGTTGTGTGTGACTACTTTTTTCAGTTGTCACTGGACCGATTTTTCTCAATGATACGTCAAAAGATCACAAATCGTATCTAGTTGGAGACATTACCCTCAAAATTTGAAAATGTTTGCGTTAAATATAATTCAGTTTTATATGCTTGGGGTACAAAATTTGAACTTCACTCATCAAAATACATTTTTTTGCATTTTTTCTTAATTTTTTTTTTTGAAAAAAAATTTAGAGTTCGTTTGATGTTTATCTTATTTAAATTGAATAACTTCAATAAATATCAAAGATCCCATCACTGTGGTCACCCCTTGTGAGAAAAAATTTCTTATTCATATTAAAAAAATTTTTTTTTTTATGTCTGTTGCCATTTCTTCTTAGCTCTCACTGGACCGATTTCTTTCAACAATATGTCAAAAGAACACAAATTGTATCTAGTTGAAAACATTACCCTTAAAAATTGAAGAATTGTCCCTCGTTCCCCACAAATGGGGGAAATCTACAAAAAAATTACAAATTTAAAAATTGGTAAATTTTGTCATTTTTTTCACTTTTTTTTCTTAAAACTTCCATAACTTTTTCAAAAATCAACAAATCAACATAATTTTTTTTTAAACTAAAACCTTAGATATTTTCCTTTCATTTGATATAATTTTTTTGAAAATTTAACACTTAACCTGCTCATGGGGGGGGATTTAAAATTGCAACTTTTTTACAAAAACTAACTTTTTCAACTTAATTTTTGAAAATGTTCCGGAAATACTGCGTCCTTTAAACATATATCAAATTAAAGCTTATTTTATGTACTATAAAATGAAAAAAAAAAATTTGTCCCGACACTTTATCTTCTGCATGTAAACGGTTGCCGTAGTTAAAAAAACACTATTTTTGTGTTAAAATTTTCGATTTTCAATTTTTAATTTTCAACTTAAAAATGCTATAACTTTTCGAAAAATGCATGTATCAGCACAATTTTTTTTTTTCTAAATACATTATAAGTACATCTTCCATTTGACATACTTTTTATTAAAATTAGACAATTTCCCCTTATATAGGGGGGGTTCAAACTTTGAAACATTGTATAAAAAATAGAACTTTTTCAACTTAACTTTTGAAAATGTTCCGGAAATACTGCGTCCTTTAAACATATATCAAATTAAAGCTTTTTTTATGTACTATAAAATGAAAAAAAAAAATTTGTCCCGACACCTTATCTTCTATGTGCAAATGGCTGTCGAAATTATAAAAAAAATGTAATATTTGCGATAAAAATCACCTTTTATAACGATGTTTTTTGTACTTAAAACTGCCATAACTTTTTCAAATATTAACTAATCAAAATAATATTTCTTTATATTGAAACCTTAGGTAATTTTCTTTCATTTGATATCATTTTTTTTTGAAAATCTAACACTTATTCTGCTCACAGGGGGGATTTAAAATAGCAACTTTTTTACAAAAACTAACTTTTTCAACTTAATTTTTGAAAATGTTCCGGAAATACTGCGTCCTTTAAACATATATCAAATTAAAGCTTATTTTATGTACTATAAAATGAATAAAAAATTTGTCCCGACACTTTATCTTTTACATGCAAACGGCTGCCGTAGTTAAAAAAACGCTATTTTAGTGTTAAAATTTTCAACTTAAAAATGCTATAACTTTTCGAAAAATATGTGTATCAGCACAAATTTTTTTTTTCTAAATACATTATAAGTACATCTTTCATTTGACATACTTTTTATTAAATTTGAACAATTTTCCCTTATATTGGGGGCGTTCAAAACTTGAAACATTGTATAAAAAATAGAACTTTTTCAACTTTAATTTTAAAAATGTTCCGGGAATACTGCGTCCTTTCAACATACATATAATTAAAGCTTGTCATGTACTATAAAATTAAAAAAAAAAAATTTTCCCGATGGCCTATCTTCTATGCGCAAATATACTATTTTTGTATTAAAATTTTGGGTTTTGTATTTTATTTTATTTTAAAATATCTTAAAAGGGGAATACATTGACTTTCATGAATATTATATAGTTTAATTGACATAGAATAAAGTTTATAAGACATAAGAAATTAAACTTATTTAAATTTTTTTGCTTTTTTAAAGTCGAAAAAGTAACTTTTAAATTTGACATAGCTTAAATTGCTAATTTTATCATGCGACGAACAGTTACCGTATCGTTAACACTTGTGTCTTTCACGCTGAGGGTGCGGGGTTCGAAACCCGCCTGTGGCTAATGAAATTTTGCATTTTTTTTAGTTAGAAAAAAATTTTCAAATCATTTGATTTTTATCTCGTTTAGATTCAATAAATATCAACATTCCCACCACTGAAGTCTCCCCTCTCGAGAAGAAATTTCTTAATATCTTTAATTTTTTTAATTTAAAAAAATTCTTTAATTTCTTAATTAAATATTATAAGTTCAAATAAAAACAATTTATTCCGTCACCTTTTCATCTATCAGAAAATAGCCGTCGAATTTAACAAAAAATAATTTTTGTGTAAAAATCACTGTTTAAAATAAAATATTTTAATACCTAAAACTGTAATAACTTTTTGAAAAATGAAAAAATTTTTTTTTATTTCGAAACCTTAGATATTTTTCTTTCAATTGATATAATTTTTTTGAAAATTTGAACCGTAACTTGCCCAAAAGGGATATTCAAAAAAACAATTTTTGCACACAAGATAAGCGTTTTCAATTTAATTTTTGAAAATGTTCCAGAAATATTAACACTTTTGTTTAATCTTAAATTAAAGCTTATATTATATACTTTATTATGAAAAAAAAAATCGTAATATAGATTTTCTTCTTGGTGAAAATGGCTACCGTATTCAAAAGTATCCTATTTTTGTGTTAAAATTCTGGGTTTTGTATTTTATTTTATTTTAAAATATCTTACAAGGGGAATGCATTGACTTTCATGAATATTATAATATTTAATTGACATAGAATAAAGTTCATAATTTTTTTTGCTTTTTTAAAGTCGAAAAAGTAACATTAAAATTTGAATCAGCTTAAATTGCTAATTTTTTTAGGCGACCGAAGCAACGGACAGTTACCGTATCGTTAATACTTGTGTCTTTCACGCTGAGGGTACGGAGTTCGAAACCTGCCTGTGGCTAATGAAATTTTGCATTTTTTTTAGTTAGAAAAAAATTTTCAAATCATTTGATTTTTATCTCGTTTAGATTCAATAAATATCAACATTCCCACCACTGAAGTCTCCCCTCTCGAGAAGAAATTTCTTAATATCTTTAATTTTTTTAATTTAAAAAAATTCTTTAATTTCTTAATTAAATATTATAAGTTCAAATAAAAACAATTTATTCCGTCACCTTTTCATCTATCAGAAAATAGCCGTCGAATTTAACAAAAAATAATTTTTGTGTAAAAATCACTGTTTAAAATAAAATATTTTAATACCTAAAACTGTAATAACTTTTTGAAAAATGAAAAAATTTTTTTTTATTTCGAAACCTTAGATATTTTTCTTTCAATTGATATAATTTTTTTGAAAATTTGAACCGTAACTTGCCCAAAAGGGATATTCAAAAAAACAATTTTTGCACACAAGATAAGCGTTTTCAATTTAATTTTTGAAAATGTTCCAGAAATATTAACACTTTTGTTTAATCTTAAATTAAAGCTTATATTATATACTTTATTATGAAAAAAAAAATCGTAATATAGATTTTCTTCTTGGTGAAAATGGCTACCGTATTCAAAAGTATCCTATTTTTGTGTTAAAATTCTGGGTTTTGTATTTTATTTTATTTTAAAATATCTTACAAGGGGAATGCATTGACTTTCATGAATATTATAATATTTAATTGACATAGAATAAAGTTCATAATTTTTTTTGCTTTTTTAAAGTCGAAAAAGTAACATTAAAATTTGAATCAGCTTAAATTGCTAATTTTTTTAGGCGACCGAAGCAACGGACAGTTACCGTATCGTTAATACTTGTGTCTTTCACGCTGAGGGTACGGAGTTCGAAACCTGCCTGTGGCTAATGAAATTTTGCATTTTTTTTAGTTAGAAAAAAATTTTCAAATCATTTGATTTTTATCTCGTTTAGATTCAATAAATATCAACATTCCCACCACTGAAGTCTTCCCTTCTGAGAAGAAGTTTCTTATTCATGTTAATATTTTACTAAGATGTGTTTATTTTTTTTTTTTTTTGTGTCTGTTACCACTTTTTCTCAGCTCTCATCGAACCGATTTCTTTCAATGATACGTCAAAAGATCACAAATCGTATCTAGTCGAAGACATTACCCTCAAAAATTGAAAAAAATGCCCTCGTTCCCCGTAAATAGGGGAAACCTCCAAAAAAATTACAAATTTAAAAATCGCTAATTTTCGAAATTTTTTCAATTTTTTTTACTTAAAAGTGCCATAACTTTTTCAAAAATGAACATATCAATATAATTCTTTTTTATATAGATGCATAATATCATTACCTTTCATTTGGTATATTTTTTTCATAAATTTAACCCTTAACCTGCCCACAAGGGGGGATTTAAAATGACAACTTTTTCACAAAAAATTAATTTTTTTAACTTAAATTTTGAAAATGTTCCGGAAGGTCTGACACTTTTATATATATCTTAAATTAAAGCTAATGTAATATGCTTTATCATGAAAAAAAAAAATTTCGGACTTTATCTTATCTTCATGGTGAAAATGGCTACCGAATGCTATTTTTGTGTGAAAATTTTCGATTTTGTATTTTACATTTTTAACTTTATTATGCTATAACTTTTTGAAAAATGTATGGATCAGTACAATTTTTTCATGAGGAGTAGTATTTATATACATCTTTCATTTGACATACTGTTTTTTGAAATCCGACCATTTCCCTATATACGAGTGGGGTTCAAATCTAAAAAATGCATGTAGAAAGTAGAACTTTTTCAACTTAAATTTTGAAAGTGTTCCGGAAAGTCTGACACTTTTATATATATCTTAAATTAAAGCTAATGTAATATACTTTATTATGGAAAAAAAAAATTTCGGACTTTATTTTATCTTCATGGTGAAAACAGACATCAAACTTAATAAAAAAAATACGATTTTTGTAAAAAAATTCTTTTTTATATTTTTAACTTTATAATGCTATAACTTTTTGAAAGATGTATGGATCAATATAATTCTTTTTTTTGTAGATGCATGATGTCTTTACCTATCATTTGGTATATTTTTTTTATAAATCTGACTTTTTACCTGCCTACAGGGGGGGATTCAAAATGACAACTTTTTCACAAAAAATTGACTTTTTCAACTTAAATTTTGAAAGTGTTCCGGAAAGTCTGACACTTTTATATATATCTTAAATTAAAGCTAATGTAATATACTTTATCATGGAAAAAAAAAATTTCGGACTTTATTTTATCTTCAAGGTGAAAATGGCTACCAAATGCTATTATTGTGTGAAAATTCTCAATTTTATTTTTTACATTTTTAACATTATAATGCTATAACTTATTGAAAAGTGTATTGATCAATATAATTTTTTTATGGGAAATACTATTTTCTAATAATCTCTTTTTTATTCTACATACTTTGTCTTAATCAGGATATTAATAAGGAACTAGCAGTTTATGAAGCTTTTGGAATAATCCACCAATTTTTTAAAATTAAACACTATCTAAAGATTTGCATCGAAGCGTTTTTTTTTGATAGTGATTTTAATCACTGTCAGATATCATTATACTTGATCCAACTATGCCACGTCACCACTGTGCCGCGACCCCCCTGTGCTGGGTTTTTAACTTTATAATGCTATGACATATTGAAAAGTGTATGGAGCAACATTATTTTTTTATGAGAAATAATATTTTTTAATAATCCCTTTTTCATTCTACCTACTTTATCTTAATTAGGATATTAATAATGAACTAGCAGATCATGTAGCTTTTGGAATAGTCCACCAATTTTTTAAAATTAAACAGTATCTAAAGATTTGCATCGAAGCGTTTTTTTTTGATAGTGTTTTTATCACTGTCAGATATCATTATACTTGATCCATCTATACCACGTCACCACTGTGCCGCGACCCCCCTGTGCTGGGTTTTTTTTCATTGTTTTTTTTTAGTTAAAGTAAATCATTAAAATTAATTCAGTTCTACATATTTCAATTGTAGAATCTTTTTAAACACCAAAAGTCAATTAGAAATGATTACTATGATTTCTATTTAAGTCATTTATTATGATAAAAATAAAAAAAAATCGAGCTTTGCTAATAAATTTACTGTAAATAGTAATTAATTATATAATCTTAACATAATCAAAATAATCTTAACAATACCATTTTTTTCTATTTAATTATGTCAATTTAAAATTTGCAAGTTGAGCTAAAAGTTATGGTAATAAATTCATTTTTTTTTTATTATAAACTTTCACTTTAAATGGCAAAAAGTAGATTAAAAGTAACTACTTTTAACATATTAAAAATCAAAATAAATAATAATTTGAAAACAATTAATTATAAAAATGATATAATATATAGTTAAAAAATTGATTATTATATTATGTTTTAAATAAGAAAATAGGAGTTCATTTTGCTTTTGTAATTATCCACCAATTTCTTAGAATTAAACACTGTCTACAGATTTGCATCTAAGCGTTTCTAATGATAGTGATTTTAATCACTGTCAGATTAAATCTATACTGGACCTAACTATGCCATGTCCCCACTATGCTGCGGCCCTACTGTGCTGGGTTTTTATTAATTATCTCTAAATTAATAGAAGTATAAAATTCGTTTTTATACTGAATTACACAGTAAAATCATATCAGTAACATAAAATATTTTTTAATGATTATAGGCCAATATATATAATTCTATATTATAGAGTGTTCAGTAAGTAAGGAAACTGTGTTTTTTTGTTCTTATTGTTTATAACAATTGATGTTTTCTTACTTACTGAACTTTCTGTATTCTTTACTAAACAAAATGTTTACGCTGATTTCAATTCTGAAATTAGATTTTTTCTATTACCTCATTTTTGAAATTATTACTTATTAGAAAACACAAATTAAAAAAAAAAATTTTTTAATCAAATTATTATTGATTTTTATATGTTAAAAATAATGTGTACTAAATTTCAATTCAAAATTACATTTTTAACTTATTTTTTTGATCTGTAAAAGTAATTGTTATGAAAGTTTATAATTTAAAAATTTTGACTATTAGCTCAACTTGAAAGTTTAGAATTTATATTATTCAATAGAAAATTTTATGTGGAATAAAATATTCTATTTTTTAAATTGATATATTAATTGAAAAACTTATATAATTATTATTAACAGTAAATTTATGAAGAAACTTTAAAATTTTGTTTACAATGTTTTATTGTATGAAATCATTTATATTGAAGTCTTAGTAAGTATTTCTATGCAACTCTTATTGTATAAATAATTATTTATATTGATGTATTGCACATAATACATTCTGCTTGTTACGTATTTTTTAAATTAAAATATATTTATTGATTGTTCATAAATATTTGTTATATTAATTAGAAGGATTTTGATATTATTTGGTACATATGCAAAACTTTAATTGCAGATTTGAAATAAGCGCAAAAATTTATTTAGAAAAGTATATTTTGGTCTCTGATGAAAATTCCTTGTAGACCAATAATTTTATTTATAAGTAACAAACAATTTTTTTTAAAGTATTGCATCAATTTTTATACATGTTTGTCATAAAAGTAATATCTACTTAATAGTTTTTTTTATAATTTTTCCATAATAATTACAATACTAAGTTATTGAATATCAATTCAATACTATATTTAATTGCTATAACAAATATTTATTCATATATTACACTTATAAATCATAAAACTTGTAATCAGGATATAAATAAGGAAATAAGAATTCATTTTGCTTTTTGAATAATCCAACAATTTTTTTAAATTTAACACTATACAGATTTGCATCAAAGCATTTCTTATGATAGTGATTTTAATCACTTGTAATCACTATTATATCATCTATACTTGTTATACAAGGTGATCAAAATCTGGTAAGACACTTATTTTTTCAGAAACTATTGAGAATTTAAAATTTTTGTAAAAAGAAAAATTAATAAGTTTATAAAACTACAATAATATGAAATTAAATAAATTTTTTTTTATCCCTTCAGGGATAAAAATGTTTATTTATAATTTTTTTAAATGGGAACTACTATTTTTGATTTGATAATATGATAGAAAAAAAAAATTACAAACAATTTTGTTCTTATAATTTTTTTTATCCGTACAACCGTTTACGTTTTATAGACAAAATGTAAAGATAATGCGTTTGATAATTAGTTTATTATATTTAAAAATATGTTTACACTTATAATTAACTTCTCGATTTTAATTAGTTGATAATTTATATAAAAGATTCAGTGAACAAGTTAACATAAAAGATTCAGTGAGCAAATTAACAAAAGATTCAGTGGAGAGTCGTCCAGGTTCGACCTATGAAATATATGACTCTTGAACGAGTAGCTGACTCCTACTGGCGCGTCGCCTCAGGCGGCGGCGGCGGCCGTAGGCCCAATGCATTGAAAAAGGCTGAGCAAGCATCGAATGTTCTAGAAGGACTAGATGCTTGCCTGGTAAATACTTTATACAAGACAATAGAGGCTTCCGTTCCCATGATTATTATATATAATAATTAAATTTTTTTAAATTACATAATTACAATTAGGCAGCAAAAAGCCAGTTCACAACAATTGTTTAAAGATTTTGACTACCAGAAAAAATATTGTCATTTATTACGTTTCATAATATCGGCGGCAATGCAACCAGTAATTTTGTTAGAACCTTTAGTCTTACAAAACCATAGACGTAGCTATTAATAATACACCGAAAACCCGGTTTATATCTATTATTGTTATCACTCATTTAGTGAATAGTAAATTTTTATTACTAATTTCCAGTCATAACTTGATCAATAAAATTTGGTTTATGCAACTGCAAATAAAAATAATGACTTCTGTATTTAATACAGTAAAATGACAATAGAAATTTGGCCTAAAATCACTTAACTTTAACAAGCTGTAACGGACGAACGGTTAATCGGATAAAAAAAAATATAAGAACAAAATTGTTTGCAATTTTTTTTCTATCATATTATAAAGTTTAAAATAAGGGTTCTCATTTAAGGTAATTATAAATAAGGGATTTTATACTTGTAGGGACGAAAAAAAAAATGATTTAACTACATATTATTGTAGAGTTTTTTGAACTTGATATTTTTTCTCTAAAATAAAATTTAAAATTCTCAATATTTTCTGAGAAAATAAGTGTCTTACTAGATTTCGATCACTCTGTATATTATTATATTATACTGTAACTATGCCACGATCTCACTGTGCCACGACCCTACTGTGTTACTGTTCTTTTATTATTTTATTTCATATAAATGATAAATATTTAGGTCCTAATTATACATCGCTTAACACAATGGATGATTCTACTTCAGATGTCATAGGAATGTTTAATAAATCTGTATTCTACTATAGTCCAACTGCAGCTTCATCAAGAGAAGTAGCTTTAGATCTAAGTCAAAAGAATAAAGTAAATGCACACCTTACATCTTCTGTCTACAAGTGTTCATCTATACAAGTATGTGAAAAAAACAAGTATAGATATTTTATATTTATCAATTTTACAAATAAAACATTTATTTTCAGGATGTTATTAACATGATTGGTGGACTTTATGTTTTGTTTCCAGTACTTGAGAGTAACATTTTAAATGAAAGTGATTTTGGTTTGTTATCACTTGATCAAAGTAATATGGAACTATCAGTTGATATAGAAGACTTCTCATCACTTCGATCATTTTCATTAGGTTTGTTCTAACAGAAAAGTGTAAATCAAGTTACTATACCTTATATAATATTTTCAAAATTATAAGTAGAGAGGGGATTTATAAATATCTATAAATTTCATTTGAGTTATTTTAAAAGGACCCAAGTTTGTGTTAATTTGTTATTGAAAAATACAATAGCTTAGAAATATTTTTAATTTTAGGGAGTAATAAACCCCCCCTCTAATCCCCTCCAAAACTATAACCTCAGTTAGATCATATTACTAAGTTTTCAATCCTATTGAATTAATACAAATTTGAACTGGTTTGATGATGTGTTTGGAATAATTTATCAAAATGTATAAATACATATAAATCCAATCTTTAATTATAACCACTGTAAAAATTAAGAAATGATCTAATTTAGAAAATGAGTAGTTGATAACACCTTATTTTTTGAACACTCAGTAAATGACACTTTTTTGTTTATACTTATTGGTACATTTTTATCATTCTCGTGAATTTACTTGTTACTTTGCTAGAAGTCTAATTTTGAGATGCACAATAACTCAGTACTATGATAATATTAAACTTTCATTTAGATGATACATTGGAACTTCATCCTATTGGTCTTTTATTAATTTTGATGAAAAACTTGATGAAAGGCAACATTGTTGGACAAGAACAGCTATTAAGAAAGAATGGGATTCCAATTTTAGGAGAATTGCTCACAAATGTAATTTATTATTTTTTTATTGCATTAATTTGTTTTAATATTTTTTCTAAAAAAATATATCCTTTTCAAGGTTCCTCCGGACAAAATTGACTTACAAATGCTGGAAGCATTGCAATTATTTATGGAAACTCTTCAAGATATTTCTAATGTTCAACTTCTGAGAGCTTTTTTTCAACATGTTTTATTTAACTTTGCAATTTGGTCTAGATGTTCCTTTCAAATACAAATTGGTAATTGATAAAATTGATAAAATAAGTATTATGGTAAATATTGTTGACTTTTTTTTAGGTGCTGTAAAAATAATATATTTATTAATAAAAAACGATCGTAAATCATTTCGAAAACGTTTTGGGATTCAGTTTTTTTTAGATTCAATAAGAATATACTATACAACATGTGATGTTTTATCTACTAAACATACTACAGTACTACGATCTTCTTTATTGGATATTATCAGGTTTTATATCCAAAAAGAAGTTACAATATCTGATGTTGATATAATTATTCGTTATTTAATAACTTGCAAATCAGAAACTATGGTAATTTAATAAATGTTCCTTATTATAACTTTATTTATTAATTATTATAAAATTAATTAAAGAATTATAGTAAATATACCTTGAAAAATTTAATAAATAACTAAAAATATTTTAATTCATGTAGATTGTAGAACTTTTGGATGTTTTAATAAAATATTTGGATTCAGATTTATGCAAAGACCAGTTATATTTAATTATGTATGAGCCTCAAATCGCTGAATTATTATACAGTCTTCTCATTGAAAAATCAATTAGTATGTTGGCTAAAAAACATGTTTTAAAGGTATGGTATTATAGTTTAATTAAGTAATTAATATATTATGAAGTATTTTTAATTTTATTTTAGTTATTTTCTGTGTTACTTAATACAAAGCATGTTTATGAACGTCATAAATGTAATTTAAGATTACAAAACTCAGGTTATGGATTATACCCGGGTCTCATATCTCTTTTACCTGAATTTCAAAATTTGTCAATGGAACTAATAATGATGATGTTAGATCAAATACTAATGACTGGTATGAATACATAAACAGCATATGTGTCCAATTAATATTTCATTAAAATATTTTGCATTATTAAACTATATTAAAATATTATTTTTATCATTTGTCTTAATAAGACAAAAATTTGATTTGCATTCAAAATTGTAAAAAATCTCATTCTTGATATTAAACTTAAAATATATGTTTAGATTCACTTAGTACCTATACATCAATTCTTTCTGTTCTTCATCGACTTGCATATGAAGATATTGATGTTAAACTTGAAGCAGCTAGAAAAATATTGACTATCATTTATATGAATCCAAAAGCTGCTAAAGCTATTGCTAAACAAGCAGGTTGGCAAGATTGTGTAACTCGATTATTAGTTCATAGATTGGCTGAAGGGAAATCCACTCATCATCATGATTTAATGAGTTTTGATGATCATGATAATCCCAAAATGTATAAGAAAATAAAAAAATGTAGATCGTATCCTAATGTTTTAAAAACCAAAAATTTATCATTAAGAAGATGTAATTCAATGTTTGAATTAAAAAGAGAATTATATAGTGATAAAAGTGAAAGAAGTTTAATACCCACTGTTTATAGTTTAGCTTATGCTGCTAATTTAATTGAAAATGAAATAAAAGGTACTAAATTTCATAAGTGAAATGTTTAAGCATTTTATTAAATTAATGATGATTTTTAGGTGTTGCTGGATCAGTTTCAGCTGTAGTAGTAGATAATTTTCAGTATGCTACAGAAAACTTAAGTTCAGCTGTTAATACTGTTGGTTTAGTAGTCAGTGACAATATTCAAACAGCCTCTGACAATTTAGCCTTTGCAATGAATTCTGTCAGTGGTAATATTCATTCAGCTACTAGCAATCTATCTTCTGCTGTTACATCTGCATATTCTATACTTAAACAAAAAACAACTGAAATTCAAGTAAAACTTTTTTGTATGATTTAATATTATATGAACTGAAATATTCTCCCTTAGGAAATTGGGGAAAATGCTAAAGAACGACTAAAAAAGTATGCTATGTATTCACCACCATCTGATAGAAATATAATTTATGAAGATAAAGTTCAGCTAATGACTAAACAATTACTAGTTGAACTGGGTCTTGAAGCAGATACCTATAGCATTAGCAACAGGTAATTAGGTATAATATCTATTTGTAGACATTAGTTTTTAGAGTAAACTGTGATTAATTATTTTTGGTAATAAGATTTATTTTGTATGTCCTTAATAAATTATTCAAAAGTGATTATTACTTTATTTTTATTTTTTATTTTTTGTAAACTTATAATTTAATGAAATATAAAATAAAAGTTACAAAACAAAATAGTTTAAGTAGATGATTCTAGAGGAATTGTAGAGTGGGGGAGACCTCTGAGATGAAACAACTGTGTTATTCGTATATTTTTGTCGGAAATAGTTGTCCCTACAAAAATCATAGTTACTATGTTTACAAATTTTTAATAATAATACTGGTTTAGGATCAGAGAAACATATTCACAAATAACTTTTTTTTTTTAAATTGAATTATTAAGTATTTTTTTTGGAATAGAATTGATTGTTACAATGATAAACCTCTTAGTATTTATAACTCTAGTTAAAGTAGCTCTAAAGTTACATGGTTTAAAAACAAAAATCAGGGATTTTAAAATCAAGTTATTTAAGATATTTAGTTATTTAGATATTTTAGTCAGGTTATTATAAATATTAACAAACTAATTATGTTTAAATTATGATTATTAATTTAACAGTATTTATTAATAAAAATAATAGCAATTTACTATTTTTTTTATCTATTAATAGTAATGCAAATCAAAAATTCAATGTATATACAGAGCAATTTATTAAGAACACTGTCCCTTAATTTTTGGTTAAGTAATCATTTTTCACAATAATGTATAGAGTTAATTTTGATTTATTTATTAGAACAATAGTAAATATCTAGTTTATTGTAAAAAAATGATTTCTATGGGTTGATTTTAGGGGTAACTTTGAAAGTTAAATGAGAACCTATTATTATTTTTGTACAGTTAAATGGAGAATGATCTAAATAAAATTTAGGTCGGTATTTTTGTAATATTACTTTTAAAGATATTAACATTATAAAATTAAAAAAAGGTAAGAAGTAGAGTAGTGTTTAGCAACGCTCAAATTTTACTACAACATACAGATAATTCTTTTATTTTTTGTACCTCTCATCCCTTATACTAAAAATTTTAATAACTCTAAAAGTTCTTTAATAAATCACTCTGTATATTTTATATATGTTATGTTTTTAGATCAATGTCTAGTAGTCTAGAAGATATTTCATCTATAAAATCATCAATAGCGCTTGATAATAATTCAATAAGTTCAGGAATAGCTATGTCAGATAATGTATTAACTGTTTTTGAAGACATTGATAACAAAGTACAAGATGATTTTGATAATGTTAGGTAAATAATTATTTGGCTTAAATTATTTTATTTAAATTATTATCTAGTTAAATATTTATGATTTTTGTCTTAATAAAATACTTTGTTATACACATTTGAAATAAATGGGAAGAATGTAATTATGTATTTTCAAAATCAAATAGTTTTTTAATTTTTTTTTTTTTTATTGAAGTATAAACTAGATTTTTTGGTTATAATCTGTGTATTTTTTAAAAATTATATCAAAACAAAAATAAATATTTAATTATAAAAAAAAATTCAATTTAATTTTTGAATTTATGTTTTTTATTAGTCCATGGCAAGAGTTAACAAATAATAAGTCAGATAACAAAGAAAAAGATTTGTGCTCATTTGTTGAAAATATTCTTTTTGTTGTGATGTGGCGTGGTGTTAATATTCATAATAATAATTGTTGGAAAGTTAGTAATGATTAACAGAATAACTAAAAAAATAATTTAACTATTAAATTAAAAAAAATAATAATAATCCAATTTTTATTATAGGAACGAGGACAAGTTATGGCTTGTATTAATATGATAAGTTTAAATAATATGTTGTATTGTTCGCATTTGGAACTGAAACTTCATATTTTAGAAAAAGCTGTTGAAGCTGTTTTAAGCGATTTTTATGATTCTGGATCTACTCTTGAATGTGACCATGCCAAAACTGAAAATATAAGTCAATTATTTGGATTAGTGTATGATTTAGTAGTTTTAGATCCAAGTCCAAATTTTGATAAAAAGTGCTCTGTAAAATTACTGGACGGATGTATAAAGTTAATAGAATCATTGGCTGTATTTAGTGATGATCAAGAACAAAATAGCAAAGATATAGTTATGAAAGTTTATGGTTAGAAAATTTATTTTTAATGATTTAGTATATTCAAAAATAAGAAATATTAAGGTATTATTATGAATTACATGAATTATTCTATAATCATTTATGGATAAGGACTATTTAAAGTACTTTTAAATATTTTTAAATCTCTCAGCATTTCTGATACTAAAATAAAAATTTGTATACTGAAAATGAAAGTGGAGGTTTGGTGTGAAGTAGTAGACTATTCAGTTGTCACCATAGTGCTGATGTTCAACTATGTTGTTTGTTGTTGGTTCTCATATGGGTGACCATACAGGAACTTTAACAGTGAATATAGACAATATTGGTGTCCTAAGCCATAATGAGGTTGTGTAAGATAGACAGTCAGTGTAAAATTCCATAAAATTTTTAAGGCATAACCGATCTCAAATACTTAGATTAAAGGCTATGGTGATAATAGTATAATAAAAATAAAAAAATGAATAAATAATTTTAAGAAATATTTAATAATTACTATAAAAATAACCTTTTATGTTTTCTTAAAAATTAGTTGATAACTTGAAAACTTCTAAAACATCAAAAATTTAGTGATGATTAATTCTCTTTTTACTATAGATATATACTAAATTATGGTGGAAAAAATATTTGTTTGCTGAAATTTCTTATAATATAATTAAACAATATAATATAACTAATTAAAGTTTTAAAATTTTTAATTTTTTAAATCTTATTTGGTAGTAATTTATTAGTTGTTTACTTGTTACTTAAAATTGTTTAAATAATTTTGTATAGTTTATTTATTTAGGTATCTTGTTAAGTTGTTCATCGAGTAGTAATATGGATATTTGTGCTATGGCAACAGTGAAATTGCACACTATTTTACAGACAAATAACAAAAGTGTTGTTGAAATTGAATGTTACTTGTTACGATCAGTTAATACAATTTTACAAAAATCATTACTAGGTATAATCTGTAATAATCAATAAAATAACATAAATAACTTTTGTAATGTATTTTAGATGAAAATTTAGAGCGGTATTCTTTTATTTTACCTCTAATAAAAACATTGATTACTAAGTTGTCAGAACCACTTAATATTTCAACTACTGAATTACCTTATTTGACAGAAGTTTTGTATAGTGGTCAGTTTTATGATAGATTTTTTACATACTGCAAAACTAGTGAATGGATAACATTTATAGAAAATAAGGTAAAAAAATATAAAACATTTTAAAATGGTACATTGGTATACATTCTTATCAAATTATTTTGTAAAACATTTAGATTTTTAAATATCTAAATTTAAAGTATCTAAATGTATCATTTATCTCTAACATTTTCTTTTCAAATAGTTTATAATATAAACTTTTATGTATACTATAATATGATATCCTGCAGATTTTTTTTTTTACAAGAATATAAGAAATTAATTTGTTAAATCATAATTACTTGATATATGTTATAAAATAACACTCTAAAACATAACAAAAAATAATTAACATTTTTTTTTTTTAGAATTTTCATTTTTATCAGCTTATAAAATACTGTATTTTGATGCTAAATTTGATTGAATTATATTAGTATGAATAAAAAATAATTTATGATTCACAATGCATTGAAGATAAAATTTAATTAATAGTCACATTCACTCATAATTACAATTTATTTGATTTTAATGTACATCAACATTATAAAAAACAATTTGTTACATTATTGTGTATTTAAAAATAACACATGATTATTATTTATATATAATACTTAAGATTAATTAAATTAAATGAAGTATTATCTTAGTGTATATAAAATGTACTTCATATAGTATTTTACATTTTAATGCAACGAAAAAAAAACACACGTTTTTAAAATTTATTTTCAAAAAGTGTGCTTTTATTACATGAGCTTATGTATTATAAATCTTTAGTTTTGTGACCAAAGTGATGTGAATCCATTCAAAAAGCCTAGTTATTTGAAATATCTAGAGTAAATTTAAATTTAATCAATTGCGCATATACATTGGCAACTTAAAAATTTTAAATTTTAATACTAAAGATTTCAAAAGAGTATAGTTTTTACACTTAAATAATGTAAAAACAACTTATATAAATATTTGGTTCAATTCTGCATATTTCTATACAATAATAAGCTTAAAATAAAAATATTAATATATTTACAAATATTGTTATATTGTTCATGTCAAAACTTATTATAATAGACTTATCTTAAATGTTCGACTATTTTCCACTGATTATCTGAAAAATTTTGAATGTTTGTGTTGTATTCTTGTTGTTCATTGTTTTTATGATTAAGTGGAATATTATCTGATTTTAAACCTAAATTTTCGTTAACTTGTGAAGGAGATTCTTCATAGTTAAAGCTGTATGTTTTAGTTGGAGCTTGAAATCTAGTATTAGGATTTTGAGTTGTTTTAGAAATGTATTTTAAGTATGCATTTAGCTTATCATTAATAACAACTTTTTTACTATTAATTTTATTTTTTTCATCTAAATTTGTTGGTGTTCCTTCAATAACTTCTGATGAATCTTTTAAGCGTCTTTGTAAATCATTTCCTGACATTGATTGATAATCTGAGTTTAAAGTATTGAATTGTGACTGAGGAATATTGAAAGACAGTGTTGCTGTTTGACTTAGACCAGTTTTAACAGCTGGTTCTCCATAAGAATTTACAACTGTTAATTGAGAATTAGAGTCTGGAAATGCCACAGAATTAGATAAAGTACTGTAAGAACCTTGAATGCTATTTCCATCCTTAATAGAACCATATGTCACTGATGTTACTCTTGAAGTATCTTTATTTGATGATGGTAATTCATAGGTAATTGATGGCATAGGTGCACTGAATTGTGTATTGGAACCAAAAATATTACCTAAGTTAAATGAAGTTAAATCTGCATTCCCATTATTATTTACCGATGCATAAGAACTATACGAACTTGATGATGGTGTTCCATAAGAAGATGATGGAGACGATGAAAGACTATTTGATGGCACTCCGTATGATGTAGCTGGTGGTGCACCATATGACGACGAAGGTTGAGATGGTGTACCATAAGAAGAAGATGGTGCACCATATGATGATGAAGGTTGAGATGGCGTACTATAAGAAGATTGTGCACCGTAAGAAGGTGACGGCAAAGATGGTGCGCTGTAAGAAGAAGATGACAAAGTTGGAGTACCATATGATGATGATGGCAGCGATGGTGCGCTGTAAGAAGACGATGGCAAAGATGAAGTACTATATGATGATGATGGTGGCGATGGTGCACCGTAAGATGACGATGGCAAAGTTGGAGCACCATATGATGATGATGGCAGTGATGGTGCACCGTAAGAAGAAGATGGTATAGATGGTGTTCCATATGATGATGATGGTGGAGATGGTGCGCCGTAAGAAGAAGATGGTGCGTTGTAAGATGACGATGGCAAAGTTGGAGCACCATATGATGATGATGGTGCGTTGTAAGAAGAAGATGATATAGATGGTGCTCCATATGATGATGATGGTGCGCCATAAGAAGATGGTATAGATGGTGTTCCATATGATGATGATGGTGGAGATGGTGCGCCGTAAGAAGAAGATGGTGCGTTGTAAGATGACGATGGCAAAGTTGGAGCACCATATGATGATGATGGTGCGTTGTAAGAAGAAGATGATATAGATGGTGCTCCATATGATGATGATGGTGCGCCATAAGAAGATGGTATAGATGGTGTTCCATATGATGATGATGGTGGAGATGGTGCGCCGTAAGAAGAAGATGGTGCGTTGTAAGATGACGATGGCAAAGTTGGAGCACCATATGATGATGATGGTGCGTTGTAAGAAGAAGATGATATAGATGGTGCTCCATATGATGATGATGGTGCGCCATAAGAAGATGGTATAGATGGTGTTCCATATGATGATGATGGTGGAGATGGTGCGCCGTAAGAAGAAGATGGTGCGTTGTAAGATGACGATGGCAAAGTTGGAGCACCATATGATGATGATGGTGCGTTGTAAGAAGAAGATGATATAGATGGTGCTCCATATGATGATGATGGTGCGCCATAAGAAGATGGTATAGATGGTGTTCCATATGATGATGATGGTGGAGATGGTGCGCCGTAAGAAGAAGATGGTGCGTTGTAAGATGACGATGGCAAAGTTGGAGCACCATATGATGATGATGGTGCGTTGTAAGAAGAAGATGATATAGATGGTGCTCCATATGATGATGATGGTGCGCCATAAGAAGATGGTATAGATGGTGTTCCATATGATGATGATGGTGGAGATGGTGCGCCGTAAGAAGAAGATGGTGCGTTGTAAGATGACGATGGCAAAGTTGGAGCACCATATGATGATGATGGTGCGTTGTAAGAAGAAGATGATATAGATGGTGCTCCATATGATGATGATGGTGCGCCATAAGAAGAAGATGGTATAGATGGTGCTCCATATGATGATGATGGTGGAGATGGTGCGCCGTAAGAAGAAGATGGTGCTCCATAAGTTGAAGAAGGTTTTGATAAAGAATCATATGTTAAAGATGGAAATGATTTTAATGACGTTGAACCATATGAAGTTGGATTAAGTTGAGAATGTGTACCGTACGAAGGGGAAGGGGGGCCATAAACTGGTTTTGGTTTAGATGGTGGACCATATACTGGTTTTGGTGGCCCATATACTGGTTTTGGGGGTCCATATTTAGATTTTGGTGGGGGCCCATATTTATGCTTTGGTGGTCCATAAGATTGTTTTGGTGGCCCATATGATGGCTTAGGTTTGGAATGTACTCTAGGAGGACCGTAGGAAGATACTGGTGGTCCATACGAAGTTTTTGGTTTTGATGGCAGACCATAATTTGAAGGTGGTTCTCGTCTTATTCTAACTGAATTATCAGCCCTTAAAGTATTTGTTAGAGCAAGCAGAAAACATACCTAAAAAAAAAAAAAGAATTTTTTCATAGTTTTATGCATGTTTAACTTGTTAATGTGTTATACATATTAATTGAGATTTAAATTTATAAAATAATTTTTTTTTTTGAGTAATCCGAATAAATAGATTTTTTTATCCCATTTCTCCTACAATATAGGGTCAATATTTTAAAAAATATCATTTTTATTGAAGTTTGATGAAACGAAATGTTAAATAATATTAGCCTCAATTGATCAAATTATTTTATTAACATTTAAAAAATATATAAGCATAAAAAATGTATTTTATACATTTAAATGTAAACTTTTATTGATAAATAAGGCTTTCATTCAGTTACAAGTAAGATTAATTACTCTAAAATGTCTTTTTTTATAACAACTTAGAGTTTCGGATAGTTTTCAATCATAATGCACTTAGGTAAAATAGTGTTGAATTTTTAGTCATAATATCTACAGTTGTGAATCGTGATGAACAAATTTCATTAGTGTTTTAGAAATTTTTAAATTTAGCAGTTTATTCTATAAAAATTGTCCTGAAAAAAGTTAAAATTTAATTATTTATTTTTCATATCTAGGTGTTAAAAAATTGCTTTAAATACATATATTACATATATGTTCAATAATAATATTCAGTTTTATATGATTAACGTTTAATTTAATTTATTTAAGCGTTAAGAATGACCGTAATGTAATATAAATTCAGAGTAAAATAAAAATATAGTAGATTACAGTTTAATATTTAGCACGTATTTAAATGAGACGACTCTTTGATCTCTCTTCCTTAATTGAAAATAAATGTTTAGGTTTAATAAGTGAAAATTTTGAGATTTCAATTGAATAATTTTTCTTGAACGCTCTTTTGAACTACAAAATTTAGAAATAACGATTTTGGGATTGGAAATAAATGTACTTTATTGTTTATGAAACTGGATTTATACTAGATCTATGTAGTTTGAGGTAACTATTATGGATATACCGGATGTATAGAGCAACATTTCTGACCACTACGTAGTTCATTTCGATACTGCTGTGTTGACCTTCATCCACTGGCATCGATTGTTTGACCTATGTTTTGACCCTAACTCTTATTTTTAATAGAATATAAACTTAAATATCATTCTAATTGGCTGTCACCAGCAGGGATCATTTTATATATTTTATAAATTAAAAATTGTTCTTACTTGCAGTAGTATCGCGTAAAAAATATAATTAATCTATTTCAGATTAATATTATCTTTTGGTCGAAATAATAAAATAATTGTATTACTATTGTTACGTCAGTAATGCTAATATAACATTTTGTGAGAAAATTCATTAGGAAGTTATCAGTTATACGAAGTTTTTCTTTATATTTTTAAGGTACGTTAGCAAGTTTTAACTGTTGATGAAATTCTTATTCATTAAAAAAACTACTTTGCACTCATAATTGTTAAAATACTTATGAACGATTTTCAAACGGTTATTAGACTAAATTTTAGTTTTTCGCACAAAGCTTAAAGTGTTTTGTCAAATAATTTTAATTAAATGGAAATTGCAAAGTTTTTTTAAATGTGTATAAATATGTGAATATACATCAATTAAAATAGTTTGTTGGTGCTTAGGGAAAATTAAATAATGTAAATAAATTAAACAGGTGCGTCATTTCAGATTATAATAGACTAGGGCAAATTTTTGAACACATGCTACGCTTGCGATTTATCTTCACAATATAATCACAGAACTAATCTTATATATAACAAAAATATTTTCAAAAAATGTTTATAAGAATTCTTTTTTTTTACAATTTTAATATAAATAAAATATAGTTTTTAACGTTTATGTTAGTTTGAAGGATGGAGTTTTATAATGATAAAAACAATTATTTAATAAAAAAAATATGTATTTGTAATATTATACCAAAAATTGTCTAAAATAAATAAAACCTATAACCTCTCCTAAAAGGGGTGATATTGAAAAAATTGTAATTTAACAACCTCAAAAACATTTTTATCAATTTTTTTCTATTCAAAAGTAGAAATTGTGACTAATTTAGTCCTGCTAAAATTGTGTTTTATTTATATGTGTTTTAATACATACTGAAAATTTAGACGGAGCAAATACCCAAGTTGCTCTTCTCTAAATGACCCCCTGAAATTAAATAACAATTTATACTAATTGATACGTGAAGAAAATAGTAACTATCTTTACTTTCACTGATATCTTTGTTATGTTGCATTATTCTGTTATACATGTGGAGTAGTAATAATAATATGTTCATTTATTTCATTATTAACAACCTTGTAAAACGTATTATAAAATCATAATAACCGAAACTCAAACAGACAAAAATTTCTTTTATTAGAATATCCAGTTCTTTACTACGCCTTCATTAAACGTACCACGTGTTGACGATTGTATTTGAGATAAATGTTTATGTTACATATTTATAGTTTTATTAATAAGCCATTGGTTTATATTTATTTTGATTATTGTAATGATTTTTTATTTAACCTTTTTAAAAGGAGGTTTAATGTACATTTTATCATTAATTCTAGTGGAATGCTCAGGACTTATTTGCGGGAAAAGATTATATAAAATAAAATATTAAGTGTCTCGTCCAAATCGGAGTAAAAATTATCATTAATATATAATTATTTTCGATATAGGGGAGGAGTCGGACCATAATTGTCTTTCTGGACCACTTTTTCTGAACATAGATACCTAATAATGATTTTTTATTAGTATGTATCTAAGTGCTCCTATTGTTTAATTAACAGGAATTTAATATTTATATCTTTCTTCAGTTTCATCAAACATATAAGTTTTCTTAATTAAAATTTTATGACATTTTATAGAACAACTAAGTTTTAATTATTTAAGTATTTTAATTATATTTTGATAAAATATAATTAGTAAAAATAAAATATTTTGTTTGATTTTTATAAGTTAAGGTATATTAATAACACAAGTTATTTTCTTTTTTTAATTGTTTTTAATGTGTGATTGTAAAAATTAATTACAATCATTTCATTCATTAATAACTTAATAATTATTTGCATAAATGTATAAAATTCTTGCTCAGGTGTGTAATTTTTTAATATAGAAATGATATTTGCTGTTTAAAAAAATAGTATTTTTTTGAAGTTCTGGTTCGTTAAAGAAATTAATTTTGATATCTACTAATGGGTCTTAATTAATTTTGTGTATGGTAAATGAATAATGTTTTATTTAATTATTGCTAATAGACTGTCGGTGGAAACCGTGAAAGTACTCATAAAATATTACTCTCATGACAGCGCTCTATGGCGTAGGTAATTTATTTTTTCGCGTGTATAAAAAGTGAAAATCTGTATTTGTATTTTAGGATTTATATTTTTTTAATTTTAAAAAGTATTTTTCTTTGATTTATAAGTGCGATCACATTTTTTCATATTGCATAAATTTAGTTCTTTTAGATAAATGTATAAAAAAAAAGTGTTTCCTTTATTCCTTTATTATTTTTGAACATTTGGGTATTTTAATTTCGTTGTATTTATACGACGAACTATATTGCATGCAACTGAATTGAATTTAATCAGTTCGGATATACAATTTATTGTATTTCGCTAAAAGATATTTTTTCAAGTGATTATCAAGACCAACAAAGCTTTGTATTATTGGAATAAAATTATTCTCAGGTTGACAAATAAGCGTTCAGTAGAGGAATTAAAAAAATAGAACTAGAGAAAACAGTTAATAAATTTAATTAATACTATAAATAAATGTTTATACGTTTGAAGGTATAATTCGAAGAATAATTAGTTGTATCACATCAACTTAAAAATAATTTTATTATTATTATTTTAAAAAAAGTCAGTGTTGCATTGTAGTTTTCCATTATTTAAAATTCATATTTCATATAAATAAAACAATTTCATTGTTATGTAAATTTTACATTTTTTGGGCGTATGTACTAATTCATATATTTTATTATTTAACTATAGTTTTAAAACTGTTCTAATAAGTATTTGTGGATTAAAAACTTTATGCGCCAAGTTTTCCTTCAATTTATTTTAAACTTTCAACTTAAATTTACTATTTCTATTTATTTTATTGTTTTATAAAGAAAAGTCAAGTAAAAGCTGTGAATATATCGGTCTTTTATCCCAATTATACTTTTTACGGTGCAATTAGAGTACCTATTAGACTGTCAAATAATATGCAACTGATTTTATCGGTTTTTATTGTGTCCATTGTGTGTCTACTTATGAAACAATATAATTTTGTATAAATTGTCATCTGTTCATTGTAATAATCAGTTCTCTTTTATTTATAATTGTGCTTGCTAAATTTAAAATTTTAGGAGTTTTTTTTTGATTTTGCGCTTTAATTTAAATATTATTTTTACGATAGAAGTACTTTATAAAAAGAAGTTGACTTCTAATTTATAGTATATTTTCGATTTTTAATTTTTAATTTTAATAAAACAGTACAAAATTATTCAAATAAATGTTATAATATTTTTGAGTTAATTTCACAACAGTATTTTTAAAAATGAAGTTCATGTAAATGACAGTTATATCTGCTATGATAGGAATTTCTCAGTCTTATATCCATTTAAAATATCAACAAAAATTAAAACAGTTGAACGTTTTATATGGGAAAAGGCATAAGTAACTCTTCTCTAGTTTTCAAATACATAAAAACAAAATATTTTCCTCATAAATATATGTAACTAACTAAATTCAAATAGCAATATATTGATAGAAATACAATATTCGCATGTGATAGTGATATAAATAAATCTGCCGTAAAATTGCTTACAATTTAGATGAATAATAAAAAAGTATCAACAATTGACTTGTGCTATTTTTTCATAAAAAACGTTCAGTTATACCAACATTTTATTTTGTTTACTTACTGCTTGCACAATTGTAATGTTCATTTTGTTGTTGAATTAATCCAAGTTTAATTTTGTTGTTAAAATAAAGTAATAATTCGTTGCATATATCAGTAGTCACACAATATAAATACGAATATAGTCGTAAAAAAGACTTAACACGTCGCGCACACTAGACGAGATTGTTGATTCAACGACGTTCTGGAGCCCACTACTGGTCCGAATCTTTCGTTGAACGTCTTCATTCTTTTGCTTGGATTTCAAACACCCGGAACTTACTTTCCCACTTACTTTATATTACTACTACCACTTCTTCTACAAAAAAAACATCTCTAAACCCTCTTAATCTCATAAGCTCACCAAACAAAATTTTGCTTAATTAAAGGCAACTGACCATGAATGATACACATCCATGCGGATGTCTATAGTATCATCTACAACATTTTCATTGAAAGAAAGTTTCATGAGTCAATTATAATTGCCTTTTTGTTGACTCATCGAAATTTTGCGAGCTATGATTGCGGACTAGTTTTCCGATTTAAAATCTCCTTAAAATAATTATTTTAGAATATCCTTAGTTTAACTGAATTTTATATCTCTGCTTTCGAGCCTACGCGTTGAATTTAAACATAATTCACATTATTTTTACTTTACTATGTTATCTCTAATAAGTAGCATTTACGGTAGAAGAAATAGTATTTTTATTTTTCCTGTCATCAAAATAACATTTAGATCTTGATTAAAAAATTTATAATTTTTTAATATAACTGTAAGCGAATTTTTTTGAATGATGCTTTTGTGTTTATAGCTCTTAGTAGTTATATTTCAAGTGTTTTAAATTATTAATTCATTGATCTTGAACTCGTATTAAAAAAGTAAAATATATTTTTTAATATTCATGAGAATACATGAGGTATTCACAAGATACAATTTTATACCTTGAATATGGTTTCTTGAACTTACGATCCGATTACTTTAAATATCAACTCGTTAATGACTGTACTTTAAAGAAGTATAGTAGTTGGAGGGCATTACGTTAGATAGGACGTATCTTATGTCTTTTTACTGTAAAGGTACTTATATAAAATAGCTCTCCTATATAAATAGCCCCCCTTTATTTGATTTGCAAGAAATATAAGCCTTTCAATAATTTCTAAAATGTGTAATATTCAATCGAAAATAGGTAGTCTCTAATAGCTTATATTTGCTCTATGTCATTATAAATAATAATTAATAGCTTTTATTGTAATAAAAAAAGAAATTTAAGAGATCCGGGTACGTACTTTTTAGTACTTCTTTATCAATATAAAATTGAGTCGACAAATTATAATTTATGACGTTAATTTAGTATTTTCAATCTTTTTTATTGTAAAAATGGCGCTCTCGTGTAAACTTAAATAATAAATCTAAGTATTAACAAAATCATTTCGGGGTTTTTTTTTTTACCTAACTATCAATTTTAGTAAAGTACTGCATTTTTATCTTAAATTAATGCAAAAACTAGTACAATTTGTTGCAACATATTCTAGTTTAAGTACTTGATGACGCTCGACGTGATTTTCATCTATCTCTAATTTTTGCTATTTAAAATAGCAAAAATAAAGACCACAGAGTTCATTATTTTTATACATCTAGTTTTAGGTATAATAGACGTTTTGTAGTAGACGGTAAGACCTTTACCATCATCCCCAAGTACCTGAAAAATACCATATATGTTTATTCTTATTAATGTGATCAACTGACCGATCCGATAGATTAAGAAATACGAGTTTCATAGTATTATAAAAAGTAAAACTATACTTTTGTAAGTACATCAATAACATGTGTTAGTGACGCTAGTTTATTCATAAAGTATTAACATAGATAAACGATTAATGGATTTTAAATATCAAAACAACAATATTCTCATGTTTTAAATATGATTTCTTATTGAAAATTTTCTTTATACAGATAAAGTTTTTTCTTAAAATTCTTATTTTTCACCAATTAAATGTTAATAATATTTTTATTTTCATCACTATAAAATACGTCGTGAAAGCGAACCATCTTGATAGTTTAATGTGACCCAGTCATTGGTAAATTATTATCTACTGCTCACTAGTTGTGACATTGACCTCCGTTTTTTATATGTTCATTTCCATTAGCATACGATTAAAGATTATATATAAATACATCTGTTAACTGGCGTTTAGCTTACTATTAATTATTTCTCATTAAAATTTAAACGTTTAATGCATATCGGTTACAGTTAAATATTTTAAACTCGTTTTTAAAAATGTGTTTATGTATACTTTGTTTTGCGGAAAACGTATAAGATATTATACATTAGCTGTAAGCATTGGCCGGATGTGTGTAATATTTTACGCAAGACAATTAATGACTGAATGTAAAATGAAAAATTAAAAGTCCATGTTTTGAACTCGTAGGTCATAATATATTAATTAAAGATCTAATCATTTTGTGATTATGATCTTGTAACATCATTTATGCTATTATCAAGCAGGAGGACTCTTTATCATCCGAATGTAGGTGCATTTTACCGTAAAATATTTGATTTTTTGAACGATAGTTGAAAACAAAACGAATTACAATGTACATGCAAACTTTGATACATTTACAAATATTGGACTGAATGGATACTAGCTATTTAAATATTCTGCATACATATATTTTTTTTGTACGTAATATTTTTCATACATTTTCAATAACCATAGTGTTACCAAGTGCTATTGTCTATTAATGTTTTTGATACGATTGTAATTTTTCCTTAGGAATGATATCGTTTCATTCATTCGAATTGTATTGTTCCGATGTAACATGTGATTGTAGCGAAAGTGTTCCAATATTTTCGTATCATATTCTCTGTAGTTTGTGTCAAATATTATGTGTCTTCAACATGACAAAGTCACCTTGGTTACATTTTCCATTAATAAAATGTATAAAATCAGAAAAATAGTTTACACTCCATAGTCTGTCTTATAGTTAAAAATGTACCAAGTCATAATTCATACTTACGTATTACAAAGTACGGAAATAAACTAACGACAGATATAATCAATATGCAGTCAAATGCAGGTTGGCATAATGTTCGGCTGCCAGACGATGTTGAAAAGTCGATGATTTCCTTTCACTGTGTATAAAAAATCTATTTACAGTGGCAGCGGTAGCATATAATCATAACAATAACTAAGTACTTCTCACGGTGTCTAGCCACCATTATCGATGTAGGGGTCACGAAAGGTTCGGAAAGTGAAATCATTGTTATTTTTTTTTTGTGCGGTACGATTTAACTTTGATTTTATTCGAGTGTAATAAGTGATGCACATTGATAAATAGAAAGCTGGACCTTGCATCGATTTGGGCCAGAAGTGCTTGGACCAAGATAATAATAATAATTATATTTTAAAATGACATCCAATCTATGCGTTCCTCTTTTTTCTTTTTTTGGATCACAATTGAACTGAAAAAAAAATCTTCTTTTTAATCTAATAATTTACTGTGTATTGATAGTTTACGATGATCATATTTAATTAAAGAACAAAAAAGTAAAGCATATTTTCGAAGGTAATAAATTCGCGTTAACAGTTTCACATGACATGGATCAAAAAATAACATTGTTATCCATTCACTTCGACACCCTCATTCCTACAGAGAAATTTACCACTTGCTGCTATAACTGACACGTTAGATAATTACATGTTTACTTCTGACCCCCAGAATATGTGATTTAAATTCTAATCATAATAGGTAATACTTTATTAAACCAACATCTTGTCACACCTGTAAAATGGAAAGTACTTCAAATGATTAATGTAATATTTAAAACTAATTGTCTGTAATCTGTGTGCAGGTTTCAGAGCTTTGCAAAGAATACAGAAGATCAATGAATACAGAAATTACTGAATCTATGAACACTTTTTGGGCAGAGTGTTATGAATCGTACAAATATGCATTGGACGTCAGAAACCGACTTGTAGCTGATAGCCGTAAAGCGTTTCAGGTATAAAATATTCATGATCTTTAAAGGCATTGGCTTGTGAATTAGTACTCCATTAAGGTCTCATTGTAATTAAATAAATCTACTTCCTTCTTTTTATTTATATTCAATTTATTTATTTGGGTTGTTGTGACAAGATGATTTTTAATTTTTGCTCTTTCAAATATTTTAAAAAGTCATTACGCACTTTCTAGATAAAGAAACTAGTTTATTTAAATCAGAAAGGTGTTAAAAATTTTATATTTTTGTTAATTAAAAAACAATTTTTAATTTGTATTTTAAGAACAAATTAATCTTAACGTACAATTATAATTCGTGTTTTTCATAACTGCGATTTCTTTTAGTTTAAGAGAGAAAAATATAATGGTAATTCCTAATAGGTGTATGGATTATTAATATTTTGAAATATTTTAGAATGCAATTGTAGAACCATACAAAATTAAGAAGGAAGAAGAAGAATCCAGAATATTTTTAATCGAAAATCAAAGAAAAGCACAGCGGTTATTGGTTAAAGCGAAGTGGAAACAAATAAAAGGATATCTTTGCGGCGAGAGAGGGCCATGGAAATCAAGGTTAGTAATATATTTAGTAGTAGTTAAATGTATATTCATAGTAATTTACATGTAATTATTTATTTTGAAATTTTTTTCGAACTTTTATTTAAAATTTTTGCTAATAAATTTTCAGTAAAAGACTAATTTTAAGCTCTTGTAATCTAAAAAAATTTAGAAAGGTATACTGGCATGAATTTAAAATCAATATTTTAAAAATGTATGAAGGAATATCTATGTGTGTTGCTTGGTCTAACCTTTAGATTACAAAAGAAAAATAATATCTACGGGATAGATTAATGTTTAATAAACCTTGGTACTTTACAATATTAAAAGGTTATGAGGACGAGAACTAATGGATACATTAAAATATTAGAGAGGTAAGCAGAAGAAAACATTTTGATTGAATAAGAATATAGTAAAGAAATCTTGACTGGTTATGATTCTGAGTAACAGTTTTCGATGGAGGTGATTCATTGAGCCAAACTCATTTTATAGTTACAACCAACAAAGTACTCGATGTATTTGCTGCTTCGATTTTTGTTTACAGATGTCAGATTTAACATATTAGCACCCCATAGTAATTATATTTAGTTGTATTGTACGTATGATAGAGTATTTAAATATTTTATAAGTGGGTCACCGCCTGGACATTTGCGATGTCTATTTGATACTTGTTAAGTTATTTAGAGATCCATTTACTCTGTCATAAGGTTAATCTTTTACAATCGTTTGTGTCAGACTTTATAATGATGCTTAGAAATTTATTGTGGTGAATTTGAACTAATAACATACAGGGTGATTGATTAACGCAACATCTTAAAAAATATAAAATATTTTATAATTAAAAAAAAATTGGCCCTATTCTCCTCTTTTTCTTCGAAATATTTAAATAACTATAAATAAATAACTTTTAAGTTTTTTAAACGGAAACATATATCTTTAACTAACTTAAACATAATAATATGATTGGTTGTTAACAACTTTTGCACCAGAATTTTGAAGTTACTAACTCTTAATTATAGTAAGTGAAAGTGAAGCTCGGGTCTGTTTATTTTTATCTCTCGACATTTATAAACCGCATTACTTTTCCTGGCCTAGTAAAAAAGTGCTAATATTTTTTTTTAAATACTGATTAAAAATTTGTTATCCACCATTCATTTTTTTTCTTATTTTTACCTTAGTTAAATATGTATATTTTCACTTAAAAAACTCAAGCTGTATAGGTATAATTAGTCGAATAAATAAATAGTACTTCTGAAATTATATCATTTATTACAATTTTTTTATACATTTTGTCTTTAAGTTATGAAATAAGTAACTAAATGTTATAAATTATGTCAATCGATAATACACCGTATAATATATATTGTGAACTTAAAACCGTTTATCTGTAACCAGTTTTGGTTTTGGTTTCGGGAACAGCAAGAGTATTTCTCAACGGTTTTGTGCCCGCGGGCGCATACCTGACTGGTTCCACTTCAACGGCATCTACTTTGATGGTTTCTACGTCGTCCGATGAGGCGACTGTTGGCACAAAAACAGCTTGTACGTCCGATTTCTGTACAAATGCATTGAACCCGTGTGTTGGATCAGCCGTATAGTCAACAGTTCTTCTGGAACCGTCTGGCTCTACCAAAGAGTATCTGCCTTTGACGAAATTTCCTTGACGAGTTTCTTCTTGGCTCTTTGAATCTCCGGTCAATTGGTCTTGAACATGGTAGGCAAAAGTGTATGATGGGTTGGCTTGGCTTTGTAATTGGGCGGGCACTACTTGCAAAAATTTGGCGACTGGTACTACTGTAGGTGTATAGGTCTTGACTTGAGCAATTGGAGTTACTAGCTTGGTTGTAGGAACTTCAAAAGTGGGACTTACAATTTTAGCGGGTGTGGCATCGACGGCAGCAGCGGCGGGTACCGCAATTTTAGCTGCAGGTACTGTGTAGGCAGCTACCACTGGAGCCGACTGATAAAAAGGTTGTAAGTATGCCCAAGCTAATGGTCCGTGGGATGATACTGAAGTGGTGGCGTATGCTGGAGCTGGTACGACGACTTCTGCAATGGCTAAAGCCGTGACAGCTGCTAATATTGGCAAAATGATGAACGTCTGAAAAGATAATATTACAAATTAATTTAATGATATATATATACAAATATTACTAGCTTCGATGGGAAACTGAGAAGGTATTTTCCTATCTAAATTTAAAAAATTGTCCATTTGTACTTACATTCATTTTAATGGGCTGTTTTATTTAGTTTTTTTTTTGTATGATGTTCGATAGAACTGATTGAAACGGTTGATTGACGATGTGACTTCAACTTAACTGTTGTGCGTTTATATATCATTTAAAAGACCCTCGCACCCCTCCATTTTTAAGGACATTTTGTACGCGTGGACAGATTTAATTCGTATCGATGGATATTATAATAAAAATATGAGTCTGGCACTGTGTGCTGAATAAATTTAAGCTCATGTCTTAAATGACCATGATTTATCATCATTGCTTGCATTTTGTAATGAAATGGATCAGTTATTAAAATGCATTATACCTGCCAAGTGCTCGAATAGCTTCTTCAGACCCTTTTCATATTTGAATTTTTAGAATTATTTGGTTATTATTATTATTATTTTTTTTTGTGTTATTTTAAATTGCAATTTGAAAGTTTCTTTGGCTTCCGTATATTTTATACGTATTTTTTTTTTAATTAAGAAAACATAAATGAATAAAAATTAACGAGAGTGATAGAAATAAATAAAATAGTTTTGTACTATCATGCTGTATAAACAATAGATAATCATAATAATTGGCACGTTTCCTATAATTGTTTTTGTGATGAAGTAATAACATATTTGAATAGGTAAAGCGTGTACGTGAAGGATGGCCAAAATATTGTATTGTCGAGGACACTTAAGTGGTTTATATTGCGAGGATGATGTAGGCCTAGGTCATATAAATTTTAATTTGTATTAATATTGGCGAAAAATCCATACGTATGATTTTAAATCGTTTTGTAGGCTCCTTGTGTAGTTTACTCTCAATAGCATTGGATGTATGAAAAGCAGTACTGAATATTAATTGGCTTACTACAAACAATTCATTAAACCTTAAGTAATTTGTATTTCTCGGTTTGTTTAATCATTATTATAGTTCCGTACATATTTTATACGTTGTTATTAAAAAATATTTATGCATTTATGATGCACAATAATTTTAAATATACTCTGTATTTTTAGTTTTATGCTTACAATTACTTATCTTTGGCAGACAAATATAATACTCTATTTATGTTCAATAATTTAAATAATTCAAGCATTGTGTTTTGAGAGTTTATATACTGTGTCTAGTTGCTTATAGTTCTGATACTAGTTACAAAATTTTATACCGATTACATTTTTAAACTTCAAATTTAGAATTAATTGTCTTATTAATAACTAATTTTGACTATATAATTTATTTAATAGAATATCTATGAACTGAATAATTTAGCTCACTTAAGTAACAAATAAACATTACTACTACAATTACCACAAATTTTTCGAGCTTAAGTGTATTATTTTTCAACTTTTTTAATAAAGTATGAAATAAATTGATCTTATCACTAGGTTACATTGAATCTTAATTATGATGATATTCTATTTAACCCTCATTACATTGAAGTCGGAACTATCGCGTTATCATCAATACAAGTGTTTACGTAATAGTAATTCTTTACATTACAGTGGGTTATTGCTATCATTAGTAACAGTATGTGGACATTTGCTTTCGAAAAAAATATAGCTATTCTTACTAGGAAAAAACATTTCAATTTATTAACTTGGTGCAAACATAAGAAGTAAACTATTATTACTATCACAACATGCGATGAATGTTTTTGTAGTATTCTCTATGCATAGAAATGACACTATATTAATTATGTCCTATTACCAGTTTGCTTTTCAATATAGTTTATAGAAAAATATATTATTTTAAAATTAGCTATAGCTAACTTCCTCTTTTTGTGATCAGTGAACTTTGCGATACACGTGAACCTTATCATGATTTTGGCGCAGTTCCGTTTCCTTGGTCGTCTGTTACGTTAAACGACTTTTGTAGTTGAACTATTTCTCTTATATGATGTTGTTTCGGCTCAACATTTTCATTTTTATTTTCACTTTGAACGACTAAAGGTGTTAAAGGTATTGGTTTATTAATTACATTGGTTATTCTATCTCGATTGTATATTTCTTTTCGGACAACCGCATTAAACCCGGTTTTTGGCGAAGCCGTATACTCTACAATTCTTCGGGTTCCGTCGGGCTCTACCAGACTGTATCTTCCTGATACAGTGTCGCCATCTCTTATTTCATGTTGGTCTTTTAAATCGCCAGTGTTATTGTCCTCGATGGTGTAACCATAACTGTAATGCGCCGAAGGTTGTTGTCGTTCGTTCGGTATTCCATTTTGCACGAGTTCATTAGAATTGTATTGCAGTGGACGTTCTTCCGTACGCGGTTGCACGTTTTGCGGTACAGGATTGTAACTCGGTGATGGCTGTGTTTCTATGTTTGGATTGAAGTACTGTATTGGAGACTGAACTGTTTGATGTATGAAAGGTATCCGACCGGAGCTCAGCGTAAGTGGTATAACTTGATAATGTTCACCCGGTAATGGATACTGAAGAGCTTCGTAGGAAATTCCGACTGGCTGATGATTTAACGGAACGAATGCATTGTAAGGATTAAAAGGTTCTGGATTTTGTTGTGGTAACGCTTGTCCTGTTGTCTTTGCGAACAAATTGAATAATGGAAGTAGAACGAAAACGCAAACCTATGAAAATACAATAACACGTTTTAAATATTTCATTTCTTACTGCATAAATATGCTCTTTGCAATGATTATCCTTTTGTCGCTTTGAATAATACAGTAATCTTTGTAATATCCAATATAGGCCAAAAGAAAACAGCAGTGTAAATTAACACAATACCCGCACGTAAAATAAACATAATTTTAATCAAATTAAATAAAAAATATACACCTAATGCAATATTTAATAACCGTCCTTGAGAAGTTTAATTCAATTTGTGGTCGAATAGGTTAGATCATTTTTTTCAACAATTATCAATTAGAAACGGCTAGACATTAGTTTTGTGATAGTCTATTTTGGAATAATATATTATTAGTTGATTTAGTTTACATTTTTACTCAGTTTTTATACAATGAAACAGATGTGAAACATAGTAATTACATATTTCACCATTATTTCTTGAGAATCGATTGACTAATTTAATCTGAATACGAGTTACTATAAACGTGTTTTTAGAGTCTATAATTTGACCATATTTTTACAAAAATATGGAATTTTTTATCAAGTAGTGTTAATGATAATGCATTGATGTATTAAAGTATAAATACGTGCGATGACATATTTTATTGCTTTATAATACCAAATAAAATTGTTGACTACTTCTCCTTTTCATGATTATTTTTTGGGTTTATTTTGCCTAAAATCAGCAATTCGTGTATCTTATGTTTAATTATATGTTAACTTATCATTTGTAAAGTTGGGGTTTTGATCAAAATAATAATTTTAACCTCAAGTAGTATATTAATATACGCTTTTTATTAAACGTTGTAGCTGTATTTAAAGCATTTTATGTTATTTTGAAGTAACTCATAGATATAGACTAATATTTTGTTTTATAAGCAATGTCGCAACTAACAAGAAAGTTGGAAAATTCTTGTCGTGGGACCCTGAGAATTTTTGTTATTAGACTATCATTAATATTTAGATATTTGTACTAGAATAAAGTGATCAAAATTTAGAAAAAAGCAGCTTTCAACTTGAAAGGACCCTCTCGAGATACTTACTTTTGGGCCCTTTAAAGTTTAATTGCGTTATTGATAATAAGCCACGAGTGCAGTTGTAATGATTTTTATATTCTAGTGATTATGCTGGTAAAATAACGGGATTGTGGTCTTACCATATTGTAATAGAATCTAAAAAATAAATAAATAGTAAGACTGCTTTTGAAAAACAAACATCGTTTTTAAAAGCTACTTATTAGTTTAGAGACTTAATAGAAATTCATCTAAAATTACTTAGATCCATTTCTAGATTTTATTATATTTTTTGCAGAAGTAGGTTATAATTTTTATTTACTTTGTTTTATTAGTTGATAGATATTCTCTAATTATTGTTTCTATAGTTTAAATCCTTAAATTAATTTTTAATGAATGAACAAATTAAATAGCATACAGACGTTAAAAAAAAAAATTAATTACTTTGTTTATACAGCATAATTTAAATTTTTTTCTAATTGATACTTTACATAAATTGCATTTCAGTTAGAAAATCATCAGAACTGCCAAAAGTAAAATAACGACCTTACTGTAATACTATACAAACATAAAATTAAAATTAATTGGAATTCGGCAACAAAAAGATTTCTGATTTTTAAGAAGCATACTTCCCATAGTTATCAAATTATTTTATTTTGAAATTTATATTAATGTCTTACTCATCCTCCTTTTTATATTCTGAAAAAGAAAGTGTAGGTTACAAGTAAGATTTTGTATAATGGACGAGATCCCTCATTAATAGAATTATTAAAATTGTCATCTATGCAAATCGTACTTTTACTTTAAGGTTTGGCGTGTGCATTTAATAAATGATGAAGATATTGTTCTTCATATAAAAAGTAATGTATGTGTATAACTTACGGTTACATCCATGATATATAATAGCAATCAACGATCCGTACAACGTTTTCCTTTCTCTATTAAAACATATTCACACGCAGCAATATAAGTTCACAAATAAGTCACCAACTGTTGTAAATATAATGCATTATATACTAGACCCTAAGCATTATAATTTAAAAAATATTGGGAGTCAATTATTTATTTCCTAAAATACTATGGTAATAACCAGTAGGGGTTTCCGTGTCAAATTAGCGAATCGAGTCGTGTTATATTTTAACTAAAATTATTGACCAGATTTCTAGTTATAATAGTTGCTGTATATTGTTTATTTTGACATTGATATACACCTGAAATGTTTCTGAACACATTATAAATTACTATTCTTTGTTAATTACGAGAACGATTTTTGTTTACTAATTGAGTTTGACTTTTATTACTTATACACGATATCAGAGATCAACTTTCAAATAATATAAATTTTACTTTTTGAAGAGCAATGTGTTCTAAAAATTAAAGAAGTAATAAATTTTATTATTATATGAATATTTTATATATTACTTGGTACTATTAACTTATCTAAATTAATTAGGTACGACACCCTTTGAAAAGTCAAACAATAGAGAACGCACAAGTTATTAATAAGTAGGGATTAATTATTCTTTTATTTTATTCTAATAAATAAAATTGTATGTACATATTCAATGAAACCATTTATTTAGGGTATTTAAATCCGAACTTTAATATTAATCATCGTAGTCGTAGCACAATATTATTATTTAAATGAATCTATTTAATATCCAGTATTTATAATAGTTGAGGAATATTATTTGTAAAAATAAAATATTAATTTAACTAATAAAGTATATGAAATTTACATTTTTTTTTATTTATAATATAAAATAGTTATTCTACAATTTTTGATGAACTTAAAAAAATAATGAATTCCCTTGATCACTTCTTTCACGATGGTGACAAAATATGACTGACACTTATTTTGAGTGACTTTGTTCCTGTAGGTATCTTTTAAAATTCAATCTCAGTTATAAAATTTATGACTTGGAATAATTGACTCTTGACAAAATGCCTCAAAAACATTAAAAATTATCCTCTCAAATTCTTTTAAAATTTCCCAATAAAAGCGCTCTTTAAAATTACTATGAAATAAAAAATATCCTATTTAAATGCCTTAAAACAAAAAAATTACTCTATAAAATTTTTTTATATTCATTGATTCGGTTTTGTATTAAAAATGATTAAAAGTTTTAAAAGTATTTCACATTTTAAAAATACTATTTTTTTAGACACGATATTTTGATTAATGTGATTAAAAAAAATATCTTTTGAAAATCAAAAATTACAAATAATGTTAAATAAAAGTTTTATTTTGATTTCTCAATTACATAAATAGCGATTTTTATGTCTGATGAGCATTGACTAAGATAATCTTAAAATATGCGTTGAAATCTGTTACCTTATGTTTATTGAAATTTTTATATAAATACAATTTAAAGTTGATTAATCACATAGTATACTCTTAAAATAACTCGACTATAATATAGTTGAACTTTGCATTAATTAATTTTTTTTATTGGTTTTTAACAAAACTTTAGTTTTTTGTTGTTATTGTATCTCATACAAATAGGTATTATATTTTTTTTGGTTGGCATGTTGTAGATAATTATTTGTCATTTAAATAATTAATTTAATTTGCTAATAAATAATCGTTTATTTTCAAGTTATTAAAAAAAAAAAAAAAAAAAAAAATTATAACTGCGCAATGCCTTACTACATTACTTTATACTACATAAAAGTTAGTTGTGTAAACAAAATAGTATTTCACTGTCAGGCGCTACATAAATAGACATAGATTTCCATTGAGAATTATTTTTATATTTGTAAATATGTAACTATATTCATGATTAATATTTAATTATTCGTTTTTCACATTTTTATCTTTGAATAAAAATATTTATAAAAAAACATAAAACTTAAGAAAAAAAAAATAGAATAAAACTTATATATTGAAATTAAATCACAAGATAAGCGAAATAGCACTTAAACTTCAAATTATGTTACATTTATTTTCTTTCTTATTTTTTTGGTTTTTTGACACAAATTTATAATTTAGGTATCACTAGTCATACTTATTTTTATTGGTTCTAAAACCTTTCAATAAAAAGATGTAAATTTTAGAAGTTATGAACATTGTCAATAACATTTGAATATTTTACACGAAACATCACAACTGAGTGCCGACTTTAACGCATGTAAAAAATCATTATAATAGTGAATGACATTATTATTCAATCATTTTTTATGTAGTTTATTAATTTATGTAGTATACAAGACTTCCCACCAGGTTTGACATCTTTAATAACTTTAAATCCAGCTAATATTTTGCATTACTTTTTTTTTAATGATTTATACTGCGTTATAAACTTAATTTTTATCATTTAACTCCAATATGAAAAGATACATAAATACAATTTCATTACTTTTCTTATTTTATTTCTAATTTTTATTCGTATACATAGACGATAGGACAGTACATTCAAGATATATCTAATGATAAAAATTATAATACCCGTGTCTCAAATCCAGACCGCACTATAGAATGTTAGTAACCTCCAAAATACTGGTCTAAAAGTCATTATGGACCAGTTGTTTAGCTAATTAGATCATTATCTATTAGATAAGCTAATTAATTATGTATGATGTCATTTGAAAAAAATTAAGTTGAGACTCTTAAATGGTATAAGATATAAGGGATAATTATAGTAAATACTTTATAATTTATAAATTAAAAAAACATGTACATTAAAAAAACTATAAAAAATATTCTCAATATTGTTATTATTTTTTGAATAGTTGAGTGGTTTATGATAAAAGAATTACTATTTATAAATATATTTTTTTAAATTTAGTACTGCACACTTCTCTGTAGGCTCATGTCCAAAAGATGATATAACGTAAAAATGGAATTTCTATAAATTGTTGTTAAAAAAAATCTTTTCTTTCGTGTATCAAATTATTACAAAAAAATGTAAATGGAAGGTTTATTTATTGCAATTTAAAATGTTATTAGCTGTAAGATGCTATTGAAATTTTAAATTTATTTTGCTGTTTTTAAAAATTTCTAAAAGAGTCATAGAAGTTTTTGGAAAATAACTACAAGTTTTCTTTTGTATATCAATCAATATGTTAAAAAATATAAGATGTATAAGAGATGAAAAAAAAAAAACAATTGACGAATAGAGAAGAACATGTATAATAATAATAGTTGTTGGTCTGGTATAATTTGTAATCTTATTATAAAATCATTTAATGCTTCATTTTGCTAAGAATCGTCTCAAATTAAATCATCCAAGAGATGATTATAAAAAGTTAACAATAATATTTCTGGGCGGTGAATTTTTTAATGGAAACTACTTTAAAATCCTATAAAGTCCGGTAGATGGCTACAGTTGTATACAAAGCTTAAATTATTTTATATTTCACATGTAAATTTACTTTAACATTAAGAAAAAGGACCAATATTTAGAAGTATATGTATTTTTTAAATAAATTTGTACAAAAAGGTGTGTCTAGATGCACCTATAGTTATTAAAGCACCTATTCAAGGCATACATTTCATTAATTACTTTTTTTTTAGTGTGGTATATTTATGTACATTTTTATGTATTTTGAAAAATAATTTCAGGTGACGTATTTTTAAAAAATTAATTTCTTATAAACTAAAAATAAAACTATAAAGTAAAATTGCTCAATTACAAGTCAATAGATTTATATTGTATACATTTTTTTCTATATTTGTAAAAAACAAATTTTTTGCGTATTAATTCTTAAATATTTGAATTATATTTGGTAAAAATAAAGTGCATAACAAAAACAATAAAAATTTTAATTGTAAACAATTTTTACATATTTATTTTTTCTGTTTTTCGAATTATTCGTCTTCAATATTTAAATAAAAAACAAATAAAATCAATTTCGACTATTAAGATAAAAATATGTTGTTTTTAAATTATTATGTCTAAGTATTAAAGATACTGTTTATTTGCTTGAAATATTTTTTTAACAGTTGAACTTTCACGTTAATATGTGTCAAAAGAGGGTGGCACATACTAACGTCACTAAATTTCAACAAAATTCTTTATAAATTATGTTTTTACCTAATGGAACAATTCTAGAGAATGTTTTGAATGCATTTCTTAATTTTTAATTAATTACTTAACTACTTAATTTTTAAGAATCACATTATTGTTTAGACTACAAATGTAGACCATGTTTTAATGGATAAAATTTAAACAACATTTTCCTATGAAACCTAATAGTTTTCTTTTTCGATAGTAACTTTCAACTATAATTATACAAGTACAATTCAAAAATTGTACGGCGTTGATCAGGCATTTGAGATTTTGACTTTTTTTAATTAGATTTTTTGTTCTATAAATGCTGAAAGCTTTATTTTTTTGATAGTATTAAATAAATAATGAGCTGCTAATTAACCATTTCCGTTAAATTAATATTTTAAACAATAATAATTACAAATACATTCATAATTATAAAAAAATATATATTATTATAAAAACATTTGCATAAGATGAAATATACAAAATTATATTAAGTGGTAATTTTATTTGATAGGAATTATAATACTGATCAGTTCCAGTGTCGACTGGTCTGAAAATAAAGACGCGCGTGTGTTGTATGAGATCTTAGCGGTACAATGGGTGTGAATGGTAGGCCGGAGCATATGCTTTGACTGCTGGGTAGTATGGAGCTGGTGCGTAGACTTTAACTGGATATACTGGTGCGGGTGCGTATGCTTTGACTAATGGTTCTTTAGTGACGACTGCGTTGAAACCGTTGTGTGGGTCAGCTGTGTAATCTACTGTTCTCTTGGTACCATCTGGGTCGACTAAGCTGTAAGATCCGTGAACGACGTCTCCATGTCTGGTCTCGTGTTGGCTCTTAGAATCTCCTGTCAAGTGATCGTGAACATCGTAACCGTAAGAATAGGATGGATTTCGATCGTAGTCGAAATCATAAGATTTGGGAGCCAAGTCGTATTTAACTGGGGCTACATAGGCTGGTGATGGGGCGTATAGAGTTGGAGCGTAAGGAGCTGGTGAGTATATTGGCACACCACATGCTACCGCCAAGATAGATGCTAAAACTGCAAACTGTAAAATAATAAAACATGTTTCAAAGACTTTACTAAAATATTACTAAAAAATGAAATTTTCATTAACATTTAATAAAAATTGAATATGGAAGAGTTAATTTGTGTATTATACACGGTTGTTATAGCCCAAGTTAAGATTGTTTTGTAAACTATTGAAATTAAAACAAGTAAATACATTTTTCAATATTTTTGAAAATTTCATGTAAAATAATTTTAATCTGAATTATTCAACGATATTGTTTGAAACGACTCGTCCATTTTCAAAAATATGAAGATTCAAAACATTTTTTTGGGTCATATAGAAAATTCGAAATCGATGAATAACTTAGAAATAACACGCTATGTTTCTTATGTATAAAAAACTTACTTTGGATGCCATTGCTATGCGGTGTTTGTTATTAATCGAGAGAAGTTGTAAGCAGCAAATGATTTGCGTACGACTGATGTGGGTGCTATCGGTCCGAGTCGTATTTATACCGAGTTCTTCTTGTTATTATTTTTTATCAAAACATTGAGACCACTCCCAAGTACAGCGGGAGGTAAAGCGTTTACACGCGAACGGACGAAACGCACACAATAGGGGAAATTATCTCCGATGGCCCCTGCGGCTTTACTAAACAGCCCCGGCGAACACGCAATGGAATACAATGATGAAAAACGCCATTGGTCGTCGTCCGACGCTGTACTCGACAAAGTGTGACCTTTCACCAAGGCGCGTAAGGTGACCGTGGCCTCCCAGCCGGCCGTGATCACTCGTCTACGGCTCTGCTCTAAATTTTCCTAGACGCTCTGTGCGAATTTTCCAGCGTTACCATCTTGTAAACGCCGCTATTGTATTGTTATTGTCAAGCAATGCTTATAAGCAAAAACGTCAACTTAGAGGACATTGGCAACAATAGTTGTTAGTTAGGATCACACTATCATATTTTGTAAACGATAGAAAAACTCGAGTAAGGTTGATAGGTTTGTATTATATAATCAGTGGTCACACGTTGTCGATCGGATTGCAGGAAAATGTTGTCATAGCTATTTGTTCGTTTCTATTGGTTTGATTTTAGCTTCGATGCGAAGCTGAGAAGGTATTTGTTATTTGACTTTTATTGAATTTCGCTTAACATTTTTGTTTATTTTATTGTGTTTTTTTATTTTTGAAATAGTTTTTCCGCAATCACGCGATTGTGCCATTCGTTTGACTACTTATATTATATCTAATGAGCTTCGAGTAAGGGACTTTAGTGCATTTACGTTATAGAATAGTTCGGTGAAATTCAGCTACTTGGAAGTTTATTTATAATTGGACAATTATGTTTATTGTTGTATAGTTTGTGTTCAAAATTTACTTACATGTATTAAATAAAAGTTATAAATTACTATAATACTTTCTGATTCGGCATTAAAATTTTTATTTATCTATTTTTTTACGGAACAGCGCGACAATAAGCAACACAATTGATGGTATACGATTTTGATAACGCTGTTGGCTCTATAATTGAAATTAATGTTTTTGTTATTTGTAATAGTATTTTTGGCTTAATCATTTTTAAAAAATGCTTATAANGCTTTGACTGCTGGGTAGTATGGAGCTGGTGCGTAGACTTTAACTGGATATACTGGTGCGGGTGCGTATGCTTTGACTAATGGTTCTTTAGTGACGACTGCGTTGAAACCGTTGTGTGGGTCAGCTGTGTAATCTACTGTTCTCTTGGTACCATCTGGGTCGACTAAGCTGTAAGATCCGTGAACGACGTCTCCATGTCTGGTCTCGTGTTGGCTCTTAGAATCTCCTGTCAAGTGATCGTGAACATCGTAACCGTAAGAATAGGATGGATTTCGATCGTAGTCGAAATCATAAGATTTGGGAGCCAAGTCGTATTTAACTGGGGCTACATAGGCTGGTGATGGGGCGTATAGAGTTGGAGCGTAAGGAGCTGGTGAGTATATTGGCACACCACATGCTACCGCCAAGATAGATGCTAAAACTGCAAACTGTAAAATAATAAAACATGTTTCAAAGACTTTACTAAAATATTACTAAAAAATGAAATTTTCATTAACATTTAATAAAAATTGAATATGGAAGAGTTAATTTGTGTATTATACACGGTTGTTATAGCCCAAGTTAAGATTGTTTTGTAAACTATTGAAATTAAAACAAGTAAATACATTTTTCAATATTTTTGAAAATTTCATGTAAAATAATTTTAATCTGAATTATTCAACGATATTGTTTGAAACGACTCGTCCATTTTCAAAAATATGAAGATTCAAAACATTTTTTTGGGTCATATAGAAAATTCGAAATCGATGAATAACTTAGAAATAACACGCTATGTTTCTTATGTATAAAAAACTTACTTTGGATGCCATTGCTATGCGGTGTTTGTTATTAATCGAGAGAAGTTGTAAGCAGCAAATGATTTGCGTACGACTGATGTGGGTGCTATCGGTCCGAGTCGTATTTATACCGAGTTCTTCTTGTTATTATTTTTTATCAAAACATTGAGACCACTCCCAAGTACAGCGGGAGGTAAAGCGTTTACACGCGAACGGACGAAACGCACACAATAGGGGAAATTATCTCCGATGGCCCCTGCGGCTTTACTAAACAGCCCCGGCGAACACGCAATGGAATACAATGATGAAAAACGCCATTGGTCGTCGTCCGACGCTGTACTCGACAAAGTGTGACCTTTCACCAAGGCGCGTAAGGTGACCGTGGCCTCCCAGCCGGCCGTGATCACTCGTCTACGGCTCTGCTCTAAATTTTCCTAGACGCTCTGTGCGAATTTTCCAGCGTTACCATCTTGTAAACGCCGCTATTGTATTGTTATTGTCAAGCAATGCTTATAAGCAAAAACGTCAACTTAGAGGACATTGGCAACAATAGTTGTTAGTTAGGATCACACTATCATATTTTGTAAACGATAGAAAAACTCGAGTAAGGTTGATAGGTTTGTATTATATAATCAGTGGTCACACGTTGTCGATCGGATTGCAGGAAAANTATTTTGTAAACGATAGAAAAACTCGAGTAAGGTTGATAGGTTTGTATTATATAATCAGTGGTCACACGTTGTCGATCGGATTACAGGAAAATGTTGTTGTCATAGCTATTTGTTCGTTTCTATTGGTTTGATTTTAGCTTCGATGCGAAGCTGAGAAGGTATTTGTTATTTGACTTTTATTGAATTTCGCTTAACATTTTTGTTTATTTTATTGTGTTTTTTTATTTTTGAAATAGTTTTTCCGCAATCACGCGATTGTGCCATTCGTTTGACTACTTATATTATATCTAATGAGCTTCGAGTAAGGGACTTTAGTGCATTTACGTTATAGAATAGTTCGGTGAAATTCAGCTACTTGGAAGTTTATTTATAATTGGACAATTATGTTTATTGTTGTATAGTTTGTGTTCAAAATTTACTTACATGTATTAAATAAAAGTTATAAATTACTATAATACTTTCTGATTCGGCATTAAAATTTTTATTTATCTATTTTTTTACGGAACAGCGCGACAATAAGCAACACAATTGATGGTATACGATTTTGATAACGCTGTTGGCTCTATAATTGAAATTAATGTTTTTGTTATTTGTAATAGTATTTTTGGCTTAATCATTTTTAAAAAATGCTTATAAACATAATAATTTTTATTTATTCTATTAAATCCCCATTTATTATTTAAGCATTTTAAAAAAAAGAACGAATATGTTTAAAAAGTTTTTTAATTTATTTATTTTTATAATATGAAAGTTTTTTATACACCGGTTTTTGGAAGACATAATGTGTTTGTGAAATAAATAATGGTCGCTTTATTTTCATTATAGTATTTCTCACAAGTATAGATAATACTTCGTGTACTTGGGATCATCATTCATGATGGTATCCATATGTAGAGCTCTATGTTATTTATTTACTAGTGTTGTTCAAGATGACTTATTTCTGTGGTATTATTATGTAAAAGTATTGTGCTTGTTCCGTAAAACGTTAACATCATATTTTTAATAGCACTACACGTTATTTAAGTGAAAAATTTAATTCAGATGTTTGATTATGACGTGTATCAATTTAATATAAACACAAAAACAACATTAACCACTATATAAAATAAATGAAGCGGTTAATAATATTTTAACATGTTAAAAGCATATTTATTATTAATAATAAACAAATATATAAAAAATTTTCAAAATTTCGATTTAGCTAATTTTTTTACAAAAAAAAATTAATGCGTCTATAAAAACTTACAATTTACAAGTATTTTGATATATACAATAGGTATATATCGTGGATGTGTACAGCTTTCACTGGTTATTTATTTATATATTAAAATGCTTGTAACTTGTAAGTTGTTATATACCTATACAATTTTTTTGCAAGAAAAGCTTTAAAAAATCAGTTATTTGAAAATTTTGATAAAATGAAAAAAAATTCATTATTTATTATTTAAAGTAAATAACGAAAACTATAATAATTATAGTTTTCATTATTGCGTATTTATATTATATTAAAACTATTTTAATATAGTATAAAAATGCAAAAATTTTTAAAAATAAATTATGCAGATTTAGATGTGTTCCACTTTTATAATTTTATTTCAAGAGCACTTAACTTATAGTGTTTATTTCTTTTGGACAAATTAAAAAATCATTAATTGATTGTTTACATTTTTTCGGAAAATATAGAATTTTGTCAATGCAATAGAAATGGAAGAAAAATTACAGCGACTGTTAAGTCAAGGAAGTGACTTATACTTGTAACATATTTGATCTCAGATCCCGTTTGATTTTTTTTCTAAAGAAACGCGTATTTTGCGCACGAAACGAGTTCTTTTTAATGCCAATTATTATCTATCGTGGTTCTATAACAAAGATATAACCAATAAAAAAGCAACATTGCGGTTAATGATGTGTGTTGGAAAAAGTTGCGCTGAATTGTGTCCGATAAACGCGTTTAATTATCGTCTAAAGAATTATTCTAGTTGTCTTCGTTATTATTATGTTGCCGTCGTAGTTTTTTTTTTATAGGGCGGCAAAGATCGAAATAAATAATAACGACGTAATACGTTGCACCGGTCGGTCGTCGGAGCTTTTTTTATTTAGATGGTCCATCACGTGTTATTCATAGGGAAATTGTTCTTTGACATGTGAATTGAAGTGTCGATAGGCGGCGTTGCGTTTGTCTGCAACAAAGTATTTTTCTGATTGCAACACAATGCTTCACTGGCATTCGGCCGACCTTTAAGTGTATCCCAAATATTGAAAAAATAATAATAAGTGTAATGGTAAACACTCGCATGGCGTGTACCAGTAACAATTATCAGAACGTCCTAGATACTGCATTCTGTAAACGCAACCAATGTATAGCTTTACACGTTATTATTGTTATTATTACACCAACGTTAACTTGTATAGTTCACGGTTGGCCCTGAACCGGTACGGATGAAATGCGCCGTTGTGAAATACGATCATCGGCGACTGTCCCTTTCAGATCTCTATTTGCACGGCCTAGTCATAGGCCTACAGTTTTTTTTTTATCTATGACACAGTTTGACAAGTCGAGTGTTGAAAGGTAGGCGAATGTTCTATGAACGCAACTCGAGTAGCTTCGTATGAGATAAATGATATTTCCCGCGGGTCAAGCTCATCACACGTTTTGCGGTCGTTCGACTTAACCACTTGCATAGTCCCAAATAACTGTTATTATTATTAAAACTCGAATTCCTCGCTGGTTGCGAAATATGATTGATTTGTTTGATCAAATATTATTCTCTAGTATACAATCTACCGTCTGTTAACAACAATATACATATCGTAGGTATTAGAATCGATGTCGGATCTTCTGAAATATTAATCAAGTAATAATGATATGATTTAAAACACCTTAACCTTGTTTGAAATCAAAAAATAATTGACACAAAAAACCTCGATAGACCAGGAGGACGAATCATTTTCTTTTATTGTTAATTCTAATGCAAACTATCCTTCACATTTTGAATAGAAAAATTATATATTTTTTTCCATTTTAAGTAATTATTTCTATTATTAAACTTAAGTGCAAGTGTATTTGAAATAGTGATGCTTTTTAATACTATTTTGTACTTGAGTGAATTGTTGATAGCCATTGAAAAAACTTTCATAAATTTCCATTGAAAATCCTGTTTACAATCGCAAATTTTTATCGTGTAATTAACACGCTGTGGTACTTAAAACTTGTAAAAAAATTTAAACCACAACCTACAAAAAATACTTTTAAAAATATTACTACAGATAAGACAATTATTGAAAAAAGTATTTTTGAAAATCTTCAATATCTAAGTTCCAATTCTTTATGAGATTTAGATTACGTATATTTATGGGACTATATTTTCTTATATTTTAAATTCATTGTTCCGAATTATTTGATCCAAATATGATTTGTAATTAAAAATTAAAAAGGCGTTAGTAATATACTTATATTTTATCTTTTAATGAAATTTCATTTTATGGATATTGCAAGTTAGAAATATAGAATTTAAATGTTTTGTCATTTTAGATATTGGAGGTAATTTTGTGACTTTTAAATATAATAGGATTGTTAAATATATACGCCCAAGTGTGTTGTAGATCTACGTGATAGATTCTATAATATTGTTCAATGTATAACTTGTTTGCATATTATACTATAAAATACAATACCATTATTGTTTGCACAATTTATATTTTTATCAATAACCATATCGTTTGTTGTTTTTTCTGTTTCAGGTAAGTCAATCTAATCCTACATGCAAGTGTATATTTTATATGTTAAGATTCAAAAATACAACCAGATAAACGATTATATGGAAATGGCCATCACGACTGAATTGCGTAATATTTAAACAAATATGTTTTGAGTGGTTAAAATATTAACTGTGACCCGCCTAAAAATATTCTATCAATGCCCAGGTAAAATTAACGAATTTCCAGCGCTTCAGTACACTAAAAACTCTCGAGTTCTATACTTATTTAAGATAAACAACTTTAAGGTTATCCGTTTGAATACTTATCCCGTACATTCACGTTCGTTTAATCTCAAAAGTAATTCCAATACAATTGTAAGTGCGTTGGAACGATCGCTGGCTTACTCCTAATGTATATTGTTACTGTTAGGTATAGTGTATACTGCCGATTGCGTTTATGTCTTATATACCATGTAATCACTGTTAATACTGGACTAATTAAGTCCAAGTCTAGCCCTATAAAAGGATTATGGGAGAAACCGCCTGATAACAAGTTAGTCCAGTTCGGACGTACCCAACCACACCTTTGTAATTCATAGTTTATTACTTCACAATCTTAAAATATTGAAACTAAACTTATCTTATTAAACAAAGTTTTGTTAAGTCTATTATGCTTGTCTAAAACTACTTTAATCTTATAACATTTTTTGGTCGTTGATATAGTGCAATAACAGTCCCAGACTTTGTTTATTATTTATTATCTTGATCCAATTTGTATAAAAATGTCTAAAAATATCTATATAAGAAAGTAACGTTATAAATAGTTGATTGTGCATTTACAATAGAATTCCTTAAGCTTTTTAAGGTTGAAAAATATATTGCTCCGTTTCTAATGAAATGAAAATGATTTTTTTTTCAGTTTTATTAATTTATAAATCTCAGCGTTTTTTATTATGATACGGTTCAATACATTTGATTTCAAAAGTATGTAACGTAGACATGCATTTGCGTTGGCACACATTTTATTTTCTAGACTACTTTATGGATGGCCTATGAAAGGATTGTGGACTAGATTTTGTTATTAAATTGTTAAGTTTATTGCGATAACTCCAGTTATCATAAATATCATTGTGGTGTCGATCAAGATTTATTGAAATATCATGATACTTCATGATTAATCATTAAATGATGATAAGCATTCGCATCGTTGTACATAAGTAAACACAATGGTCCATCTACTCAGGTATCTGATTGCGGTGGATATTTTATATTCAGTGTTTTAGTGTTACGTAAGAAAATCACTTTAGTCGTATAAAATTGATAGTGACACCATTTTAACGATGATTCGACAGAATAATTTATTATATTGGTCTGCCTACGATTTGACTGATTATAGGAAAATACAAATATTGAGAATTGTTAAAGTATCTTTGATAATTATTATTCTATTGATATTCCACAGAATAATAGTAATGTATTGTTTAAATACCTTTAGGTGTTATTATAGTTGAATATAAATCGTTTTGTTTCACTCCTATTATGACCAAGTATTTATTTATCTGGTTTGTTTACAAGAGTAAATTTCTTCTTCACCGTTATATATTTCACAAAATAATACTAAAAACTTACTTCTATAGTTTAAAGTAATATTTCGACTGTTCATTCATATGCGTTCGTGAACTTTGTGTTGCACATGCATTGAAATAAGTTATGAAATAAAGTATTTTATCAATGAACTTAATGAAAGTGAAATATTTGTTAATTGTCAACGAAAATATGATGTAAAGCATTGCCTAGTTTTGCGGATTCGTAATAGATCAGCCATTCCACGCGTGTCTGATGTAAAAAATAATGTTATGAGTGGTTATAACCATTTGAGTCATTATACTTGTTACGGAATGGTTCGTACCTAATGGAAACTGGAAATATTTGTTTGCTGAAAATGTGCGCACAATTTCAGAAAATATTACCACCCTAACTGTACAGTAGACGTGTTTGTATAAAAAGTACGAGTTTGCCATCAACTGTCATACTCGTTGGTCGACTACCATTGCAGTGATATCCAAGTTAACAGTGATTTTTTATTACTAAGTGTTATCCGCCTTGTGTTTTAACCAGTGTCCGGAGAATGAAAATGTTCGCCAAGGTAAGTACACAGTCAAATTACCATTACGTTTTCTACATTTTTATTAATTATTTTCATGTCTTTCACATATTCGACCTGATATTGTAGACGTTCTTTCTGAATTTCATAATTTTGTTTTGTTAGATAGCTTTGTGTATCGCTTACGTTGTTGTGCTCTCTCAAGCCCAACTATACCCACCACCCGGTTACTCGACCTTATTGCACGGCCCAGCTGTCGTACACGCAGCACCTGCAGCCATCTACCAACCAGTCAACCCCAATCCTTCCTACAATTACAAATACGGCGTAAACGATCCTTCTACTGGCGACTACAAATCGGCCGAGGAAAGCTTGTCTAACGGTGTTGTCCAGGGACAGTACAGTTTAGCTGAACCCGATGGTACATTCAGAACGGTATCATACACTGCCGATGATGTTAACGGATTCGTAGCACAAGTTTCTAAAGGAACCAAACTAGCTACACCAGTGTACGCAACCGCTGCTCCAGTATATACACACGCCGCTTCGGTGTACGCACCTGCAGCTCCAGTATACACACCAGCAGCACCATCAATTTACCAATCGGCGCCAGTTTATCATGCTCCAGCCGCTGTTTACCGTTCCGCCGCCCCAGTGGCTTACGCTCCAGCACCAGCTACAGTCTCTTATCCATACAAACGCCAAGCGTAACTTATCAGCTTTTACTAGACTATAGGAATTTTTTTATTGAAACTTATTCGTCAATCTGTGCATATTTTTAAACGTCACATTATTTCCTGCAGAATCATTGTTTACCATTTTCATATCATTATATGTTCTTAGATTTATTATCATAATTTTAGTACTATCCACGTTGTTTGTTATGATTGCATCATTAAATATTAGAAAAATATATTTTTAATTTTAATTATGTTTTTAAACGCTTAGAGTGAGATCTAAAACGGAAATTCATGTACACTGAACATTGTTTAATGTTTGAATTTTAACCTTGTATTGCTTGTAATACTTCATTGCTACAATAAAAAAGGAATACGATAGTTGAAAAAATGAATCCTTTAATTAAACAAAACCATATCAATGGGTCATTATATTTTATTTTTTTGTGTAATTTAACTTGCTTAATTCAATGTACGCGTGTTATTCAATTATCTTTAAATATTCAAACAATGACGAGTTTACATAATGTACTTCAGAAGCATTTTCAGAATTATTAGTTCAAAATTTCCTATTTCTTATCCAAGTCTACATTTACTGTTAAGGAAAAATGCATACAATGTATAGTTACAATAGTAAGGACACATATTAGGTTTTTATAAATTATATTTTTGTTTTATTTGATATTTTACTATAAAAGTATTAATCTGTGAAGGTAACCAAAGACAATATTTTCTTTGATTTGTCTAAGAGGAGGAATTGCATTATGTTAGGGAGAAATGTTTCATTATATTTTTAGAATAATTATTTATTTTAAAATTCTGATTTATTTTTGATTTTATTAATGTAAAAATGCACTGGTGTGAATATAATGCACAAAAATGAAATAATCAAATCAATCGATGTAAAATTATGTAAAATGTAATTTATATAAATTCGAAAATTTAGAAGTATCTAACATCTAAATGTTATTTTAATATTAGCAATGTTCAATGAGAAACAGTTTATTTTAAAGTTAAAAAATTCTAGAAAGTTTCAACCTTTTTATAAAAATCTATATGTATTTTAATGTTTGCATAACGCTTCTTAAAAGATAAAATATTTATTTTGAATTGTCCATTCTCCATTTACTGTCGTTACATTCGTTAGTCGTTTTTGAAAATATTTTAAGTAATATTTATAATGCTAAAAAATTACCATTTTTTAAATTTCTTCGAGTAGCTAAATTTAATTTAGCAAATATATTCATTAGATAACAAATCATTTGTAATAGACCCATAAATTTTCAGTTGCACGTAATTCAAGAATCTTTTAGGAATTGAAGATTTTTATTCTGTTTTCAAATTCAACTAATTGCATCCTTATAGGGTAGTCTGAGATGTGGTGCATTGTTATGAGTTGTCATAAGAATCGATGACCCAGATATTTCTACATCAATTATTCTATAATGTTGTTATAAAATAATATATATTATGTTCATATGTCTAAATGTATATCACATAGAGTATTTAATTTAGTGATCTTTATAACGTGTATAATATGTTTGTAACATATTGTATTATGTTCAATATATATTGAAACTATAGTTTTAATTAACTTTTTAATATACTTGTTATAATGTATCTAATTTTTATTTCTTTTTTTTAAGATAAACCTAAATTGAAGTATACTGTTTGTTTTAAATTTTCCAAATAATGTAATTGCCTATTTTTCTTAACTTTGAGAACTATTTATAAATAGCTAAATGATCTCGTATTTTTGTTCCTTAATGTGATTACAATATTGGTCTAATGAAATTGAATTTTCTATGTTTACTAACAAGTGCATATTTTAAAATAAAAATGACAACATACAACAGACATTAAAACTTATACTGAAAATTAAATGGAAAAAAAAATGGAGAATAAGGTTTGATAGTAAAAGTTTTCTATTACTGAATACATCAGTTCCCTACATGTGTTGTAGATATATTGGTATAAAATTGTTTGTAATGAATTAAAAAAATTATCAGAAAAATGCATATTTCTTAATTAAAAGTATCTCATTGTTTGCCTCCCGCCTCTGCACCACACATCTAGTCATATAAATGTCAGATTCTATACATAGACATCTGATAAGCACTATTACTCAAAATTATTTTTGTGTATTATAAAATTATTTCTATGTATTTTACTGATGTTCGAATTACATTTACTATTAACGACTACATAACTAAACACCACCAGCTACATTTTTTTAATAATATCTATATCGCTTAAATACATTGAGAGTTTGAATGAATTTGCGAGTGGAATAATAGTTGCTATTGATTTCCACCTCTTATACAAAAAGGAATTAAAATAGTCGATCTATTTATAAGCACAACTGCAGAGTGACTACTAATCCTCATTATAACGGATCCTCACTTAGTTTTCTATTAAGCAAAATACTGAAAACTTCTGTATATTTTGAAAAATGTTTTAAATAAAAATGTATTCTTAATATTAAGTATATTTTTTTATTTAATAATTAGTTTATAAACCCATAAAGGTTCAAGAACAACGTAAGGTAGTTTAAATACAACATTTAGTAATTTAATATCAACATTTTGTACATTTATTTATTACTTAAAATTCATAGACGTAGGATGATCAAATTTTTTGGGGTGCAGCTAAATTAAATTTTTGTTACTCTAAAGAATAATTTCTATATAACATTGCAAATGATGTTGTTAAATTTCTGGGGATCTAGACTAGAAACTGAGGGACTATGCCCCCCTAGCTCTATAACCTTACGTCCATATTAAAACTACTAAACTTAATTAAACATTTTAAATATTGCTAACAGGTCAACATAAGTTATAAAAATGCTAATTAATAATGCTAACACATTTAATTTGGTATAATTCTTTCAAATGGCTTTATTCTGTATAGTATGTTTTTATCGAACTCGTATGTTATACTATTGCAAATCTTATACGAAAATCTAAAATTTTCAATAGTTTCTATAAAAATCTCTGTAAATCTCTCATATTATCAATGTAAATGTTTATTTCGAGTTTTTCATATGGACTAAATAATAAAAAAATTCTAATTAATATAACAAATATTTATGTCTAATTATTAGGTTGCGTATGAATAATCAAGAAATATATTTTAATTAAAATGAAGAATATATTATGTCCAGTATCTCCAGCGTCTTGCTTTACTTGCCCCTTTGGCCATCCAGCAAGGCAAATCGATGACTTCCATGTCAATTGTCATCGGTGTACAGTTCATTGTCGTAAGTCAGTCAGTTTTATTATGTGTCATTCTTTTCTGTAGCAAGAGCCTTCGTTTAAATGATAAATTGTTCGGCCATTGTACGCCGTTATTCTTTCATTTCACAAAGTTTTCGTCCCCTTACACGCCACCAGTGATTGAGCACTGACCATCACTAAATATCTTCATTGCCGTAGTCGCTTTTTTTCCGCCGTATATTCTCATCTGCCATTACGTGTCTGGAACTACACTCTGACTCGTCATACTCAGATATTCGACACCATTACCACAAGATCTCATACAGTCCACTCATCACTATCAACAACTTCTTCTATTCAGCTGAGTTTCATATTATTTTTAATGTTATTTATTGTTTGTTTTAATTGAGCTTAACTATTTTGTTTTATGCCGTTTCGCCGGCCATCAGTATTTATGGGCCCCCTTAAATTTAAAATACTCTCTGAAGAATTTCTAATATATGTGATTGTTTATTATTTAATTATTGTCTACTCTTGTTACTTATTGGATGTAACGTTAACCGTCATCCCCTAGGTGACTCACTCTCGCATCAATAATAACGATTTAAACAGGCTTAAGGTAAAACGGCATTCTAGTGCTGTACACAACTAGCCGTCATACGTTCTAGCTGCCTCGTACAAAATAAGTACAAATAGTTGATATCTTTACCAGTACAACATCATCGTAGGAATTTATGATAGAAATTTTATTTAGTGTCTTATTTCAATCTATACTAGTCCTTACTATAACGTGTCCTCATTTAGTGATATATTAGGCAAAATACTGAAAAAATCTTTACATTTAAATAAATTTTTTAAATAAAATATATACTTCATTAACTTTAATATATTTTTTATTTAATATATAATTTATTAATTTCATTAATATTTAAGGACAATGTAAGATGATTTAACAGTAACACGTAGTATATAAATATTAAATTGCTTTTTTTTAATCACATATATCAAGCTTTTAATATTTATTATTTAATCCAAAACGTTGTCAGGTTCTTCTTCTGAAGGTAATGCTATGTGTTCAAGTCTTTCAAATGGCTTTATTCTGGGTAATAGGTTTTCTTTGTACATAGTAAGTATAAGTGGTCTAGGATTAGTTATTGTAGTAACTACATACCTTTTTTCCCAAAAACCATTGTCATCATCATAAAACCAATCTCCATATGCTACACCAACTCCAATCTCTTTAACATTTTTCCAAATCATGTTAATAGCATGACCACGCAAATTAACTTGATCTAGATGTTGTTCATTAATAAATGTGTTATTATTTATTGCCAACAAATTCCGTTCAATAATAGTAAGTTATTATATTACAAGAAGAAAAACGGAGTGGACGAGTTGCCAACGTGAAAGTGCCTGATGCTATTGATCACGGGACTCAGTTTTTCTGAGATAAATAGATAGAATTAATAATTTAAATAGTTTATTTATAGATTAACAATTATTTTTAAGTCATATAATTTGTTAAGTAATAAGTTTAATTAATATTTTTTACTATAACAATTAATAAAAACAAATAACAGAACTCTTACAATAACAAAAATTTGTTCAGTAACTTTGTTTTTGTTATTATTATCATAGTAACAAAAAAGGCATTTTTATTTTAAGCAGTTATAAATTAAAACTTAATAAGTATAAAATAAAATTAATATTACATAACATTTTCAGCAGTTTAATTTTATTTTTTATTAAAAATAACTTAACAGACATTTTATTTGTATTTGTATATTTTCCTCAGTTTTAGTAATTATGCAATCTAAATTAAATTAATCACACTATTATATAACAACTAGACCCGTTATTCCTTATCTATTATTTTATGAGAAAATAAATTAAATTATCTTAATAAATTTTGTGTTATATTAATTACATTAAAAAAAAATGAATTCTTTGTTAGAAATATTTTTCCTCAGAATAGATTAAGAATATTTGTATGAAAATTAATAACTGAACATTAATGTAAAAACAATGTTGTTGTTTTTAAATTTTTTTGAGGAATTTAAAATATTTATTTTAAATTCAGTCATGACGTTTTAAATAGTTTTGAATTTGATTATAAAACTCTTCATTTAATTCTTATGCAATTTCTTTTTTTTTAACGATTAATAAAAATTTGGTAATTGAGTTTTATAGACGTTTGACTCAAAAAACTTTATAAACATTTATTCTAAATATCTATACTAAAAACAGTTGTATATAATAATTAATGTACCTTCGTCAGACATCTGTTCTTCAGTTCCGTTAAAATTATAAACCTTCCCATTTTCGTCTAATTTAAATAATTCGTCATAATATCGGTCAGCTGCTCTATCACCTGCTCCAAGCCAATTTTTTCTTAAACANTATCGGTCAGCTGCTCTATCACCTGCTCCACGCCAATTTTTTCTTAAACATATATTTTCTCCATATTTCCTAACAGTTGGACCATGTTCAAAATAATGAGTTAGAACAATATGGTTCGCTAAAATTTGGGCTAAGTAATTTAACTGAAAAAAAAATTGTATATGATTTATTTATCAATCTAATGAAATATTTGATAAATCTTCATTTTTTCTCATTGAAAATCGTTTCTTAAATAATAACAATGCACGCAAAGAATTATCGTTTACTGTGCGTACCATTATTTTTGGGAGAAATACAACATAATTTTATTTTCTGTTTTTTTTAAAAATTTATTGTTAAATCATCTTTACCTCTTGGTGCATTTTCAATGCGGGTACATCATGCAAAGATCTATAGAAATTGACACGAAGAATATGTTCATTTCTAACATAACCTGCTATTTGTTCTGTTGTTCCTACGTGTTGAATCATTAAATCTTTGTATTTGACACCATATTTTGTATACCATATTTCATGTGTATCATATAAACTATAATATATAAGTATAAAACTAATAAATTCTAACTACAATCAATATACATTTGCTACATTGTTATTTTTATTTATACCGTAATTGTCCTAGGATTCAAAATAAAATGATGCATAAATTATAAGGATGTTTTTGTGAATTCGGTTATTTCTTTTAAGGTAATGAACTAATAGTGAGAACATAGTTTTAACGAAAAAAATAAATAAAAAAATATTTGGTTTTCCGTTTTAAATTTACATTGTATATAAACTTACCTTCCAAAAATATTATGCGTCAGTGGACTCGTACTAATTTCAAATGTAGAAAACATATTTGATATTGTTGCTAGAATAATTAAAATAATTATTTTATTCATGATAGATTATTTTTAATAAAAATCTCTAGAAGATATTTGAAAAATTATCATAGAATACTTTGTTTCGAATACAATTATTAATTATTAGAGCAAGTTTAAAATAATTCTTAAATTATTATTGCTCAACATTAATTCAACGAAAATTTATAAAATTTAGTTACATTTATATTACACGTACATTAAATAGTTTTTAGAACTTTGAAAGTTGTTTTTGAATTATTTATTTATCTTTTGACACACACGATGTTATGTTTTTAAATTATTGTATATTTGAACTGGCTTACTGTAGCATCACATCATTAAATTATTTTACTTTATTTTTATAATGTTATTTGTTCAAGAATTATTGTCATAAATTTAATTGTAATACTATAATATTGAGTATTTCTTAATACTCTCAAATGTATGAAAGCGTTGGAGTTGCAGGACAGAGCAATGTATTATAGTTAATAGTTGGCCCTAAGGTCAAATTAGAAATCATAGTGCTGCTCAAGTAGATAATTTTCTGTCGTTGAAATAGCCACTTGGTAGTGATATCATCGTGATGGTAGTCAGGGAGGTCGACGTAGGGTAGCCGACGACAACCTTCACACGGTTGTTCTTTTCGGCGTAAGAGAGATTTTATTAAATGTGATATGAGGATAGCTGATGTGGTTGTAGATAATGTAGGAAATCGTATAAAGTGGAAATTTAGGATAAGGGTGGACAATCCCAAATAGTTGGGATAAAAATGAAGAAAAAGAAGAAGATATATATGCATAAATTATCGTCATACTCTTTTCGTATAACTTATGTTTTCGCCTTTCTCTCACGATTACTTTATTTATAATCCTGACGCCTTCCTTGTTTTATAAATCTATGATTATTCTATTACACTTACACATAAATGAATTATTTTAATAGCAGTTTTCACATTTTTAAAAATAATATAAATCATTAAAAAACTAGTACTATTATTGCAAAATTTTCTAATTTATTTCATAGTTCCGACATGCTTTTCATTATCTTTTAACGGCTAATAGTAACAGTCTTTAAAAGTAACTTAACTTTTTTTTTGTTGGTTCATAATCTATTTTTTTCCTTTTCATTAGCAGGGTATTAAGATAAAGTTTTCAATAGTTTACAAAATTAGCGACCTGTAAGTTTTTAATATAATCTTTAATGCAACTTTTTTTTTCAATGTAACGTTAATAAGATTTTTAAATTAATTATTTTAAAAAGTTTTGTATAAATTTATTGTACAAATAATTTTTAATTCCCCAATATAAATTTCTTAGTGTATGATAGAAATACCATAATACTCTGTTTTATTTTTGATGAGATTATACATATTAACTAGCGAAATTTATATAATAGTAATTAGATTTAACTGGTAGGTATTTATCTCTTGTTTTATAACTTTCTATAATTTAACTGTATATTCCATTTTTGATAGTTGTTAGCTGGTGTTTCATAAAAAAAAAAAATCATTATTGTTATTGTTACATAATCAATGATTTTAAATAGTACTGCTTATAATATATGCCATGAAGTTATAATCCATTAATGATTAATTTTTATTTAAGTCAAATATTATTTTTATGTTAACTATCGTTTAACTTTTTTGTTGAAATTTTATTTAAAACGTATAACATTATTATGTTATTATTATTATTATTATGGTATTTGTAAATAATTTTAAAAGTTATTCGTATTATTGTTAATTATTATTTTCATAAAAATTAACTTTTATAGGAGTTTAAAAAAATTTTAAAAAATATTTTACGCAATAGCATTAATCAATAATAAATATATACAAATTTAAATTAAAGTTAACAAAATAAAAGTTAGTATTTTATTTTTTGAAAAATCAAAATTTATCACCTAGAAAAATGTTCTATGAACTATGTTATAGTGTCATATTGAAAACGTTGAATGTGTGTTAATATAATGTTATACTAAATTTCATGTTGTTAAATATTCCGTGTTTTTGTTTTTTTTTTTAATTAGTTAATTAAACTTTATATGCAATGCAACGTAAAGATATTTTCATAAATTTATTCATAAGTAATTATAGATCATTAATAGTTTTTATCAGAGTGAAAATTTACTTTTTTTGATTATTTATTTGCGCTGATTTCAAATCTGCAATTAGATTTTTTCTATTAACAATTGTATTTCAAATTTGCAAGTCTCTCATATTATCAATGTAAATATTTATTACAAAACCCATACGTGATCTTGTAAAAATATCGGTAAATATTGATTAGTATGAATTTAACATTTTATAATACGCTCTTACTACATTAGTTCGACTATTTTTAATAACAAATCTTAAAAGGAAAATTAATAAGTTCTATCATCTATAGACATTGTATAATGGAACATTTTCGTTTTCTAGTAGCGGGATAACTAAATAGAAATAAAATTTGGGAGGACTAATTAAATGTATTATTTTAATATTGTTATCTAACCAGTAGATAAGGATCTCTTAGTGTTAATAGATCAAAAAGAAATAAACAAAATAATAATACGTATTTCTTTGAAAATGTACGAATTTAAACGAAGAATAAAAATATCATTAAAATACCTAATAAAGAATAAAAACTTAATATAAATTAAAAAAAAAACCCAGCACAGTAGGGACGTGGCATACTTGGGTCCAGTATAGATGATATCTGACAGTTATTAATATCACTATCATAAAAAACGCTTCAATGCAAATCTTTAGATAGTGTTTAATTTTAAAATATAGGTAGATTATTTCAAAAGCTACATGATCTCCTTTTTCCTTATTTATATCTCATTACAAGTTTTATGATTTATAAGTGTAATATATGAATAAATAAATATATATATAAATTTGTCTTCGCGGTGAAAATGGCCACCGAATGGTAAAGATAAAATAGAGTCTGAATTTTTTTTTTCCATAATGAAGTATATTATATCTGCTTTAATTTATGGTATTTATAAAAGTGTCAGAGTTTCCAAAACATTTTCAAAAGTTAATTTTTCGTGAAAAAGTTGTCCTTTTGAATCTACTCCTGTGGATAGGTAAAGGTCAAATTTATAAAAAAAAAATATACTAAATGATAGGTGAATACCTCATATATCTGTAACAAAAATATATATCGAGTTTGTCATTTTTGAAAAAGTTATGGCAGTTATAAGTAAAAGAAATTGAAAAACTTTCAAAAATAAGCGATTTTTAAATTTGTAAAATTGAAAAAATTTCCCTCGTTTCGCGTAAATGGAGGAAACCTCCAAAAAAATTACAAATTTAAAATTTGCTAATTTTCGAAATTTTTTTACTAAAAACTGCCGTAACTTTTTCAAAAATTAACATATCAATATAATTTTTTTATAGATGCTTGATGTCTTTACTTATCATTTGGTATATTTTTTTTGTAAATCTGACACTTATCCTGCCCACAGGGAGGGATTTAAAATGACAACTTTTTCACAAAAAATTAACTTTTTCAACTTAACTTTTGAGAATGTTCCGGAAGGTCTGACATTTTTATATATATCTTAAATTAAAGATAATGTAATATACTTTATTATGAAAAAAAAAATTTCGGACTTTATTTTGACTTTACGGTGAAAATGGCTACCAAATGCTATTTTTGTGTGAAAATTCTCGATTTTATATTTTACATTTTTTACTTTAAAATGCTATAACTTTTTAAAAAATGTATGGATCAATACAATTTTTTCATGAGAAGTAGTATTTATATACATCTTTCATTCGACATACTTTATCTTAATCAGGATATTAATAAGGAACTAGCAGATCATGTAGCTTTTGGAATAATACACCAATTTTTGAAAATTAAACACTATCTAAAGATTTGCATCAAAGCGTATTTTTTGATAGTGATTTTAATCACTGTCAGATATCATTATACTTGATCCAACTATGCCACGTCATTACTGTGCTACGACCCTTCTGTGCTGTGTTTTTTTAAATTTGTAATTCTTGAAATCGTGAAAGATATTTTATTTAGTGTCTTATATCAATCTTTGCTAGTTCTTACTTTAAGGAGTACTTATTTAATTATTTATTAAGCAAAATACTAAAAATATCTATAAATTTAAATAAATGTTTTAAATAAAATTAATATTTCATTAACTTTATTTTACTTTTTATTTGATATATAATTTATAAAGTTCATTAATATTTAAGGGCAATGTAAGGTAATTTAACAATGACACTTAGTAAATTAATATTAACAATTGTTTTTTTTAATCATATACAGGGTGATTTTTTTATCATAACCCACTCAATTACTTGCAGAATAATAATAATTTAAACATTTTTTTTTTTTATTATCTTTAGTTACACATTATTCTTGAATTTTTAACTATGTAATACTTTTTAAGTTCATCCCTTATGCCTGGTAAGGGTGTCAACTTTGTTTTTTTAAATGGTAACACACATTTTGAATTTAATAAAATGTTTGAGTTTTTAATTTAATAGTAAATGGCATTTGAATTTTTAATATAACATTATTAGCTTATTAGATATAAACATTTAAAGTTACAAATTTTTGAGTTAATATACATGTATAATACACATGGGATTGTAAATACAGGTAGTCAATTGGATTTTTATGACATNAATACAGGTAGTTAATTGGATTTTTATGACATTACTGTCTCAGTCACGGATTGTTTATTATCAATTATGATTATCAATAGATATACTTTCTGTATTGTCAGTTAGTGTATTTATAAACTCATAACAATGTGCCTTACTACAATTGATAATAACAATGCTGTGTACCTGCTAATATCGATGTTATAAAAAACCAATTAGCTACCTGTATTTACAATCTGTAGTGTATTATACATGTATATTAACTCAAAATTTTGAAACTTTAAATGTTTATATCTAATAAGCTAATAAAGTTATATTAAAAATTCAAATGCCATTTACTATTAAATTAAAAACTCAAACATTTTATTAAATTAAAAATATGTGTTACCATTTAAAAAAACAAAGTTGACCCCTTTCCAAGGCATAAGGGATGAACTTAAAAAGTATTACATAGTTAAAAATTCAATAATAATGTGTAACTAAAAATGATGAAAAAAAAAAATGTTTAAATTATTATTATTCTGCAAGTAATTGAGTGGGTTATGATAAAAAAATCACCCTGTATATCAAGTTTAATATTTATTATTTTAATCTAAAACATTATCAGGTTCTTCATCTGAAGCTAAAGTTTCATATTTAAGTCTTTCGAATGACTTTATTCTAGGTAGAATGTTTTTTTTATACTCATTTTTTATAATTGATCCAGGATTAGTTAGAGTAACAATTACATAATTTTTCCCCCAAACACCATTATCAGTATCATCAAAAAACCAATCTCCATATGCCACGCCTACTCCGATCTCTTTAGAATCTTTCCAAATCATGGTTAGAGCATGTCCACGCTTACAAGAGTTCGCTGTGAATTGTTAATAATTAAATGAGTTATTAAATGTATTAGAATAATTCATTACCAATAAAGTTATTTTGTTATAAGAAGATGTACATTGTGACCGAGTCTGGAACGCAACAATACTTAATGTACTTGGTTACTGCTTTGAGACTCAGTCACGGGTTTGCTAAGCAAAATAAATATCGTTTTTGAATAATGATTTTATAACGTTACTCAAAATATTACATCTTGTTAATATTATTGTGTTCTTTATTTTATTAATAAAATAAAGTGTTTATACTATAAGAAGAGTGACAATGTGGTCGAGTAATTTAATAATTGATCATATCAACATCATATCATAATTTATATTTTTAATTACATTATAATAATTTATAGTAATAAATAAAAGATCTCCTATAAAAATGCTAAAAATTAACGTTTCAGTAACGTTATTATTATTATAAAATTATAAAAGCAATGAAATTTCTGTTAAAAATAGTCTTATTAATAAATATAAAAAAATTAGAAATTAAATGTCATTAAGCATGGAATTGTTTTATATTCAATTGTTTTCGCGGTGTTCGCAATTATACCATCTATATTTTATTTATCATACTAATTTAATTAAATTAACGCATATGTTATTTTTTTCTTACAAAGGTAATAAAAATATTGTAACACATTGATCTAATTTTCCTTCGGAAATATTAAATATTAACATTGGTATTTGATAATAAAGGATTCATTATCAAAAATAAGTTCATCAGAGTTTCCTCTTATACATTTTGCTCAAAATTACAACTATTTTATTAATAGTTCAGTAATAATTTTATAAAAATTAATAACTTAATACATTTCTCTTTGGTAAAATTTATTATTAACTTCTTAAATAATTTTGAGCTTGAGTGATGCACACTTATTTTAATTCTAGTTCGGTACTTTTTTATAAAACGATTAACAATTATATGGTAATTGAGTTTCATTTACATTTGACTTAAAAATTGTATCAAATTTCATTATAAACAACTGTAAATAATAATTAATGTACCATCATCCGACATTTCAGAATCAGTTCCGTCAAAATCAAAAGCCTTCAAATTTTTATTTAATCTAAAAAATTCGTCATAATATTGGTCAGCTGCTTTGTTACCTGCTCCAAGCCAATTTGTTTTTAAACACAAATTTTCACCAAATATATTTATTGTTGGGCCATGTTCATAATAATGACTTAAAACAATATGGTTTGCTAAAATTTGTGCCAAGTAATTTAACTGTAAACAAAATAGTGTTTCTTTATTTTTCAAATTTGATAAAATATTGTGATAGATATTCATTTTTTTCATTTAAGAATCATTTCTTAAATAAAATCTTATAATAACTGAAAGAATCATAGTTAACCCATACCTTGGATTATTTATGGTAGAAATACAACAAAATATTATTCTTAGCTTTTATCGTCAGAATTTATTATAAAATCATCATTACCTCTTTGTGCATTTTTAAATCTGGTACTCCATGCAACGATCTATAGAAATTGACTCGAAGAATGTGTTCATTTCTAACATAACATGCTATGTGTTCTGTTGTTCCTATGTGTTGATTCATTAAATCTTTGTATTTGTCACCATATTTTTTATACCATATTTCATATGCTTTAATCGCACTATGATTTATAAAGTATGAAACTAATAAATTCTAACTACAATCAATATAGATTTGCTTCATTGTTTATTTTAATTTATACCTTATCATCTTATGATTCAAATTAAAATTATGCTTAAATTATAAGTTTTTATGAGTTTATTTAAGGGAATGAACTTATAGTGAGAAATTTGTTTTAATTAAAAAATAAAGAAAATAATACAGTTTCCTGTATCAAATTTGCATTATATAAAAACTTACTCTCCATAAGCATTATGAGACAGTGACTTCGTACTAATTTTAAATGTAGAAAACATATTTGATATTGTTGTTAGAATAATTAAAATAATTATTTTATTCATGATAGATTATTTTTTATTAAAGATATCTAGAACATATTTGATAAAATTATCATAGAATACTTTGCTTCGAATACAATTATTATTTATTAGAACAAGTTTAAAATAATTCTTATATTATGTTCTCATTATAATTATTACATCGCAATTCTAATTTAACAAAAAAATTATAAAATTAAGTAACATTTATATAAAACATACAATAAATAGTTTTTGAAACTTAAAAAAAATTTGTTTTTCTTTAGGTATACATTACGTCATGATTCCTAAATTGTGTACTTTAACAGGCCTACTTAAAAATTTATTATTAATAAATTATTTTATTTTATTTATATTTGCATATGATTTAAGTCATTAATTTTTTAATTGTTTATCACATTTTGTACTTGACGATCACAAAATACAATTTTATAAATTGTATGTATAAATATACTTTGGCTAAACATTTATCGGCACATAATCACTGCATTAAAATCATAAAACTAATTTTTTATGTAAATAGTTACAAAGAACTTAATAAAAGGGTGGGAATAGAAATGCTTAAAAATACGAACATTTAATTAATTTGGATCTTAGTCCTCTGAAAAATTCTTTATTTTACTTGTGTAAAATGGCGAAATGTGATAATATTATTTAGTGATAAAATCACTAGGGGTATATAAAGATGTTTTTTTCAGTCGTGGTGTCAGTATGTGTTTAACGTTGATAATGGTAACTTAATTCTCAAAATACGTATCCGCAATTTTTTTAGTAATTTTTTGTGACTTCTTAAGTTAAGTATTTTTAATATGTTTTTAATTATTAATAGTATTAATTTCAATATTCAATCTCAAGTGTTATATGTGCAACAATCCACATACAATTTACTAAATTTAAATAATTTAAATTATTTTTAACAATGACAAGAAAAATTAATTACAATCCTGTTTTATTTAAACATTCAAAGTAAGAATAATAATATTCTGACCTATAAAAAAATTAAACTTAGTCTCTCTCCAAACAATTTGACTACTCTACGCTTATCAATCTATCTAATCGACTGTAATGAGTGTATTATAATAACATACATCAATCTATTTACTACCTTCTTCACATATGTATAAAAATCTGTATGCTTGTAATATTTTACATAAAAGACATATATTAATAGTTATTATGTTCTTTTATAATTAAATAAAAGATAAAAGTGTAAGATTGAATAAGGATGTTTATTTTTTTCTGTTATTTTTGGTTAATAATATTCTTTAAAATAAATTTAAAAATTAAATATTCCGTTTTTTAAAGATATATTCGTCTCTTGACAAAAATACCGTTCCTTCAAAACTTCCGCCCAGCGTAAATGCCCCTTCTGTATCCCCCCTTAATGTGCCCATTCTCATGAGAAAACACAATATTACTAAAGATGTTTTTAAAAAATGTGTCTTCGTTTAAAACCCCTGGTAGTTCAACCCATTATGAATGATTTACAAATTGATCGAGTAGAACTAGATCCTCATGCGTTTTACAATTGCGGTGTAGATCTAGCCGGTCCTGTAATGGTACATACAAGTTTATTGTGATGCATGTGAAAGGATACTTAGTGATTTTTGTGTGTTTTGCAACGAAGGTGATGCACTTGTCAGCAGATTAATTAAAAACTTAAGGCTTTTCTTAATGCATTAAATTGTTTTTTAATCGTAGAAGCATAAGTTATATTTAGATAACGCCACAAATTTTGTTGGAGCTCAGTATCATTTAAAAGAAGTATTTTGTTCGACGATACAACAAGATGCAAGAAATATGCTAAGCACGGAATTCAATGGCACTTTATACCTGCGTGATCTCCTCATTTCGGTAGGTGGTGAGAAAGTGCCGTTCGTTCAATGAAAATTTTTTTATATTAAGTATTAGGTAATCATAGCTCATGATAAATTGAAAAAAACATGTTACTAAAAAACCAAAAGAAAATTTTTGATATTATTTTATTTTTTAATCAATTAAGTGGTTTTGATAAATTAATCATATAGAGACTTACGTATATAATTATTTGAAAATATTTCTAAAAAATGAAACTGTACCTATTGCCATCTCTTATTTTAAATAATAACTCACTTATAAATAATCCAAATATTGATTTTGACTGTTGAGAATGATTACTTTATATACAAGTTAACTAAGACATAATAAAAATATTATAAATTAGTAATTTTTATAATAAAACACATTTAAAATCATATTTAATAACATTCGCAATATTTACACTGAAAGGAGGCTGGCGTGCCTAATTGAGCACCCAGCCGCTGTACTCGACTAGAGGGAGGGATCACTTTGCTAGCCGCCTGTATCTCAAATTCAATTTAATCAAGTGAACATCCCACCGCTGGCGTACTTAATCAAGCCCCCGATCGCTCGGACGACATGATATAGTCCTAAAAAGGACAGTTTAGATGCTGGATTCCTTAAACAAGACACCCTGAAACGATGTTGTTGTTCCGCTACTGAAGCTGGCTAATTCTTGTTGTCCAGAAAGACGTATTTCTCTGTGATTTCATTTGTTCATTCGTCGATTTAAATGTTAATAGACCAATTCTAGAACATTCTAATGTCATTAATGTCTGGATGACGTTGTCTGTTAAATATTTCATTGCCAGGTTTGATATTTGATCGCATCCAGGTACATTTCCATGTGGTAATTTGTTAATAACATCTGCGAAAAAGTGAAAGAGGGCCCCCTCTCTAGCATGTTAAGTTCGGGAAATAGAAGGATGTAAAACTGATCATTTTAAATTAACTTTATTTTAAGTTAATCGAATTTTAAGTTAAATTTATTAATTTTAATCAAATGACATGATATGTATTAAAATATAACAATATGCTACATAAACTTTTAAATGTTTAAAAATATACCAATGTAATCTTGTATAAAAAAACATATATTAATTATATAAAATAATTAGGAAGCTATAAGCAATATGTAATAGTAACACATAAGACGTAAGGTAATAAATGATGTATAAAATATTTTATAACAAACGATAGAACATAATAAAATGTAGATTATTATTGATAAAAAAAATAATTAATTATTACAAAACGATTAATAATGGTAGCTTCGGTGATCACTTCTTGTTTTTGAAAATACCATCAAATTTAATATAAAAAGCTCAAAATAATAAGTGTTCTGGCTCAGATGTGGCCAAACACTCTCGGAAGCTCTCAGTTACTCTTCAATTACAATCAATTAATCTCAATCCATACTACGATTTGAACTTTTTAAAATACGCGTTTGAAGTGATCAGCCGCGTTCATATTGCAATTTCATAAGAAAAGGAACGTTGATATATTTCAGAGTATTTATTGGAAATATCACGATTGAAAAATAATAATCTCACCAAAATACTATACGGCTTAGAATTAAGTTTTATGAGTATATAGTTTAAGTAGAGACAATGAATAATCAACAATTTAATCAAACAATATCAACAATAAAATATATTAAGTAAATTTAATAAATCAATAACAACGGAGTTAATTGGCAGAGTTAGATCATTGATACGTATACTCCGGTATACTTCTACACTATAATTAATTCCTCACTATGAAGTTTTAAAAGTATTATCAAATAAACACTTTTTCGTATACTCCGCGACACGACAAAATATAAAACAAGGTTAAGTTAAAAAATATATAGAATATTACAGAATATTCTATAATACGCATATAAAAGAAAAACAATAAAATGAAATCCTTACGAACTTGTTCTCCCTCAGCCCGCTGTCGATCACGATAGTTTAGATGAGTGTTTTTCAACCTTTTTCATTATGCGACTCCCATGGTATGAAAAAATATTTCGCGACCCCCCCCCCCCGACCCTTTGCTTTTTTATCATGTTCGTGTATTATCATGTATGTGTTACAAATATTCATTCTATACGACATTTTCATACAGTATAAGTAATATAGTACGTAAAACAAATTATTTTACAATTACATACATCGAAAACAGCATCAATTGATAACTTAAGGAAGCTATTTACGCACATCGGTATACGTACGTACGTACGACCAAAGCCGATGACTGCCGGAGCCGTCCGGCAAGTGTGGTGGCTAGCTTGTGAGTTGTTGAGAGTGAGCGAGACACAACGAGCGTTGCGTGGGACAAAGCGATACTCACTCAGTTCACGTCGACGGTTCAATTGTTTGACGACTGTTAGACATTGTTTTCATCTTTCAGTAATAATTACGCATTTGAAGTGATTTGTAATAATTTAAAATGGATAAATTCCTGAAAAGATCGACAGAACCGTCAACTTCTCGTGAGAGTAGTGGCAGTACAACGAAGAAAAAACGTCTTTATGACGAAAATTATTTGAAATTTGGGTGTACTGTGATTAATAATAGACCACAGTGCGTTATTTGCTTCAAAACTTTATCAAGAGAAAGCATGAAGCCATCGAAGTTAACACGCCACCTCAACACAAAACATCCAAATGAAAAAAATAAGCCCTTGGAATTTTTTGAGAAAAAACTACAAGCTCTTCAACATCAAAAAACATGTATACAAATGTCCAACCTAAATGAAAAAGCGTTGCTTGCTAGTTATCGAATAGCTTTTCGCGTGGCTAAAGCTGGAAAACCTCACACTATTACCGAAAATTTGATTTTACCAGCGGCTTTAGATATAGCAGAGATTATGTTTGGGAAACAAGAAGTCGAAAATATCAAAAGTATACCTCTCTCTGACAATACCATTCAACGCAGGATAAGCGATATGGCCACTGACGTTCGTGATCAAGTCATAGAAAAAATAAAGGAAAGTACTTTTTTATCTTTGAAATTTGACGAATCCACGGATATTGCGGGTTGTGCGCAGTTTGTAGCTTTTGTGCGTTTTGAATCCAGTGAAAAATTAATGGAAGAAATATTATTCTGCAGAGCGCTTCCCACAAATACTACAGGTCAGTGCTTGTATAACATGTTCCTTGAAGCTACGCAAGATATGAATATCGATTGGGCAAATAAATTCATTGCTATTTGCAGCAACGGAGCAAAAGCGATGACTGGTGCGAAGAATGGATTTATTGCTAGGCTGAAAGAACAGATGCCAAACGCTCGTTGGGTGCTTTGCTTTCTCCATTGCCAAGCTCTTGCGGCCAAATCCTTCTCACAGGAATATAGCCAAGTTCTAAATATTATTATAAAGATTGTCAATTCTATTAAAGGCAAAGCGCTGCAGACACGATTGTTTCAAATTATTTGCGAAGATATGGGGGCACTCCACCAAAATTTACTGTACCATACAGAGATAAGGTGGTTGTCGAAAGGCAAAGTACTGACCAGAGTACTTCGTGCTGAACTTTTAATATATTTACAGCAGGCTAAGTCAGAATACTCTGAATTCATTTGCGACCCGGCATTCCTTTTGAAATTAGCTTTTCTTTCTGGCTTATTTGAGAATTTAAATATCTTGAATGAAAGTCTGCAAGGGCGAGATGAAAATGTCATTACTGCAAAAGACAAAATACATGGCTATACAAAAAAAAATTGACTTGTGGTCATCGTCTATAAATCAAAATAACTTCGATTCATTTTCGTCGACACAATCTTTTGTCGAAGAAGTCGGATGTGAGATAAATATCAAGAAATATATACCTGGTATGAAAATGGTGTTAGATAATTTGAAAGAAGAAATGTGTCATTACTTCTCAGTGCAAGAAATATCGGACAATAATGGGCAGAGGTGGATCTTAAATCCTTTCTTAAATGCAGCTATAAATGAGGCTAATTTGCCAACAAAGCTCAAAGAAAATCTGCTTGAATTATCTACCAATGGGATATTACACATGGAATTCAATTCTGTTAATATGGATACCTTTTGGTTAAGGAGAAAAACAGAATACCCGGAATTAGGAACTGAGGCTTTGAGGTGTTTGATTCCGTTTGCCACCTCGTACTTATGCGAGTTGACATTTTCTTCAATGGCCCAAATAAAAAGTAAGCAAAGAAATCGCTTGAATTTGAAGAACAATTTAATTCTATGTGTTGCAACTACAGATCCACGATTGGAGAAATTGATAAATCAGAAACAAGCACAACCTTCGCATTAACATGAGTCGTAGGATATAATTTTTTGTTGATTTTTTTGTATTAACATACAATGATTATGAGTATATCCTTTTGTTAAAATTCTCTTACATAATAAATCAATATTTTTAATTTTAATTGTTTTTTTACTGAAGTTCTCTCGACTTCTGGCGACCCCCCTACAGAAGCTTCGCGACCTCCCAGGGAATCGCGACCCACAGGTTGAAAAACACTGGTTTAGAAAATCCATATTAAATGCTTAATACTCAATAGTATAACCTACTTAACTAAATAATAAAAAAAACCCAGCACAGGGGGGTCGCGGCACAGTGGTGACGTGGCATGGTTGGATCAAGTATAATGATATCTGACAGTGATTAAAATCACTATAAAAAAAAAACGCTTCGATGCAAATCTTTAGATAGTGTTTAATTTAAAAAATTGGTGTATTATTCCAAAAACTACATGATCTGCTAGTTCCTTATTAATATCCTGATTAAGATAAAGTATGTCGAATGAAAGATGTATATAAATACTACTTCTCATGAAAAAATTGTAATGATCCATACATTTTTTAAAAAGTTATAGCACTTTAAAGTAAAAAATGTAAATTATAAAATCGAGAATTTTCACACAAAAATAGCATTCGGTAGCCGTTTTCACCATGAAGACAAGTCCAGAGGTCAAAATTTTTTTCAAATTAAAGTATATTACATTAACTTTAATTTAAGATATGTATAAAAGTGTCAGACCTTCCGGAACATTTTCAAAAGTTAAGTTGAAAAAGTTAATTTTTTGTGAAAAAGTTGTAATTTTAAATCCCCCCCTGTGGGCAGGTAGAGGGCCAGATATAAAAAAAAAATATACCAAATAATAAGTAAAGACATCAAGCATCTATAAAAAAATTATATTGATATGTTAATTTTTGAAAAATTTACGGCAGTTTTTAGTAAAAAAATTGAAAAAATTTCGAAAATTAGCAAATTTTAAATTTGTAATTTTTTTGAAGGTTTCCTCCATTTACGCGAAACGAGGGAAATTTTTTCAATTTTGAAGGGTAATGTCTTCGACTAGATACGATTTTTGATCTTTTGACGTATTGTTGAAAGAAATCGGTTCGGTGAGAGCTGAGAAAAAGTGGTAACTGACAAAAAAAAAAAAAACACATTATAGTAAAACCAATTCCTTCTCAGCTTCGCATCGAAGCTAAAAGTCAATGTTTAAAAATCATAATAAAACCAAATAAACTACATGTATATCTATTTTCCACATACTGCAAAGTCTATTTCAGGAGTTAAGTAGGAGATTTATATATAGCCACCATAGTATTCTGGGTAGACACACAATTCCACATATCACTGAATACCCTCAATAATCGTAGCATTATTAATATTATAGACTGTGACAACTAATTACAATCAATTTTTTATTAATAAAAAAATATTACTTTTTTATCTTACAAACCCTCGTACTCATATCCCGAGAAATATTATCATTATTACAAATAAAAAAATAGTAACTCTTACATGGTAATATCATATAAAATGTACATATTATAAGTGATGCAATAATACTAAGTATATTATACCTATAATTTATACATTGATTATAATTGCGCTATTGAACAATTCCTCTTATAAAGTAAGAATTTAAAATTCTGCGAGTTGTTATATGCATCAAAGGAAAATAGTACTAATAATCGATCTCTGTATTAACACTACTTCATCGAAGGAGGAATTCATGATAGATATTTTATTTAGTGTCTATTTTATTTTTTATTTGATATATAATTTATAGTGTTCATTAATATTTAAGGACAATGTAAGGTAATTTGACAATGACACTTAGTAAATTAATATTAACAATTGTTTTTTTTAATCACATATATCAAACTTTTAATATTTATTATTTTAATCCAAAACGTTGTCAGGTTCTTCTTCTGAAGGTAATGCTATATGTTCAAGTCTTTCAAATGGCTTTATTCTGGGTAATAGGTTTTCCTTGAACTTAGTAAGTATAGTTGTATTAGGATTAATTATTGTAGTAATTACATAATTTTTCTCCCAAACACCATTATCAGTATCATCAAAAAACCAATCTCCATATGCTACGCCAACTCCAATCTCTTTAGCATTTTTCCAAAGCATGCATATAGCATGACCACGCAAACTAACTTGATCTAAATGTTGTTAAATATAAATGTGTTATTATTTATTGTCAACAAAATTATTTCAATTAAAGAAAGTTATTATATTATAAGAAGAGGAACGGAGTGGACGAGTTGGTAACGTGACCGTGACTGATTCTATTGGTCACGAAACTTAATTTTTCTAAGATTAATAGATAGAATTAATAGAATTCTGAGAGATTAATAAATATAATTAATAATTTAAATAGTTTATTTAATATTTAATAGTTATTAATTAATTATAAGTAATTTATAAGCTGTATATAATAATAGTTATTAAAATAATAATAATTTTTAACTAATATTTTTTATTGTAATAATATATAAAATAAATAACTATGACTCCTACAATAACGCAAAATCAATTCGTTCAGTAATTTTGTTACGATTTTGTTGTTATTATTATCATAATAACAAAGAAATGTCATTTTTATTTATAACTAAAATTTAATAAGTATAAAAGAAATTGATATTATATGATATTTTTATTTTATTATTTCTTAAAAATAACTTAGCGGAGACTTTATTTGTATTTTTAAATATTCCTCAGTTTCACTAGTTATGCAACCCGAGTTAAATTAATCACACTAATATACAACAATTAATCCTTATCTATTATTTTTTGAGAAAATTAATTAAATTCAATTAAATAATTCTAAAAAAATTTAGTTTTCTTATTAAACCATTAATAGATATTTGGTAATTGAGTTTTATAGACGTTTGACTCAAAAAACTTTATAAACATTTATTATAAATATCTATACTACAAACAGTTGTATATAATAATAAATGTACCTTTGCCAGAAATCTCTTCTTCAGTTCCGTTAAAATTATAAACCTTCCCATTTTCGTCTAATTTAAATAATTCGTCATAATATCGGTCAGCTGCTCTATCACCTGCTCCAAGCCAATTTTTTCTTAAACATATATTTTCTCCATATTTCCTAACAGTTGGACCATGTTCAAAATAATGAGTTAGAACAATATGGTTCGCTAAAATTTGGGCCAAGTGATTTAACTGAAAAAAAAAATAGTATATGATTTATTTATCAATCTTATGAAATATTGTGAATATTTTTTTCCTTTTGAAAATCGTTTCTTAAATAATAACAATGCACGCAAAGAATAATCGTTTAATGTGCGTACCATTATTTTTGGGAGAAATACAACATAATTTTATTTTCTGTTTTTTTTTTTTTTTGTAAGAATTTATTGTTATATCATCTTTACCTCTTGGTGCATTTTCAATGCGGGTACATCATGCAAAGATCTATAGTAATTGACTCGAAGAATATGTTCATTTCTAACATAACCTGCTACGTGTTCTGTTGTTCCTATGTGTTCAATCATTAAATCTTTGTATTTGTCACCATATTTTTTATACCATATTTCATGTGCATCATATAAACTATAATTTATAAGCAAAAAACTAATAAATTCTAACTACAATCATTATAGATTTGCTAAATTCTTTATTTTAATTTATACTTTATCATCTTATGATTTAAATTAAAATTATGCTTAAATTATAAGTTTTTATGAGTTTATTTAAGGGAATGAACTTATAGTGAGAAATTTGTTTTAATTAAAAAATAGAGAAAATAATACAGTTTACTGTATCAAATTTGCATTATATAAAAACTTACTCTCCATAAGCATTATGCGTTAGTGGATTCGTACTAATTTCAAATGTAGAAAACATATTTGATATTGTTGCTAGAATAATTAAAATAATTATTTTATACATGATAGATTATTTTTTATTAAAGATCTCTAGAAGATATTTGATAAAAATATCATAGAATACTTTGCTTCGAATACAATTATTAATTATTAGAGCAAATTTAAAATAATTCTTATATTATTATTGCTCAACATTAATTCAACGAAAAATTAAAAATATTTAGTTACATTTATATTACGCGTATATTAAATAGTTTTTAAAGCTTTAAAAGTTGTTTTTTATATATTTATTTAGCTTTTGACACACACGATGTTATGATTTTAAGTTATTGTATATTTGAACTGGCCTACTGTAGCATCACATTATAAATTATTTTACTTTATTTTTATTGTGTTATTTGTACATGAATTATTGTCATAAATTTAATTGTAATACTATAATATTGAATGTTTCCTAATACTCTCAAAATGTATGAAAGCATGGGAGTATCTAGTAGAGTTTGAGGACAGAACAAAATAATATAGTGATTAGGTGGCTCTAAGGTCAAATTAGAAATCATTGTGCTGCTCAAGGTCGACAATTTTGAAGTGGTCACTTAGTAGTGATATTAACGTAATGGTAGTCAAGGAGTTCGACGTAGGGTAGCCAACGACAACCTTCAGATGGTTCTTTTCGGCGTAGATAATGTACGAAATCGTATCAAGTGGAAATTTAGGATAAGGGTGGACAATCCCAAATAGTTGGGATAAAGACGAGGAAAAAGAAGAAGATATTTATGTATAAATTATCGTCATATTTTTTTCGAACACTATAGTGCTATTATTATTAATATTATTGTTATTAGTACTGTTTTTAATTAATGACATGAAGTTATTATCCATTAATGATTAATTTCTTTTTAAGTAAATTATTATTTTTATGTTTACTATCGTTTAACTTTTTTGTTGAAATTTCATTTAAAACGTATAACATTATAGAGCTGTTATTATTATTATTTTTATTATGGTATTTGTAAATAATTTTAATAAAAAAACTAATAAATTTTAACTACAATTAATATAGATTTGCTACATTGTTTATTTTAATTTATACCGTAATTGTCCTAGGATTCAAAATAAAATGATGCATAAATTATAAGGATGTTTTTGTGAATTGTAGTAGTTTTACTACTAAGTTAGTAAGTTTTACTACTAAGTAGTTTTAACTACTTTAGTAGTTAAATTTTTTTTTTTTTGTCTGTTACTACATTTTCTCAGCCCTCGCCGAACCGATTTCTTTCAACGTTATGTCAAAAGATCAAAAATCGTATCTAGCCATAGACATTACCCTCAAAAATTGAAAAAAATTTTCTCGTTCCTCGTAAATAGGGGAAACCTCCAAAAAGAAATACAAATTTAAAAATCGCTAATTTTTAAAAAATTTTCAATTTTTTTTCTTAAACTGCCATTACTTTTTCAAAAATGAACAAATCAATATACATTTTTTTTATGGATGCTTGATATCTTTACATATCATATGGTATATTTTTTTTATAAATTTGATTCTTTACCTAGCCACAGAGCGACATTAAATATAACAACTTTTTCACAATAATTTTTTTTTACCTTAATATTTGAAAAATTTCCGGAAATACTAACACTTTTATATATACCTTAAATTAAAGTTTATGTAATATACTTTAATTAGAAAAAAAAAAATTTGACCTCTGGACTTGTCTTCACGGTGCAAATGACTACCGATTTATTTGTGGAAATTTTCGATTTTATATTTTACATTTTTTACATTGAAATGCTATAATTTTTAAAAAAATGTGTGTAAAATAATATTTTTTATTAATCCCTTTTTCATTTGACATACTTTATCTTAATTAGGATATTAATAAGGAAATTGTAGTTCGTGTAGCTTTTGGAATAATACACCAATTTTTTAAAATTAAACACTATCTAAAGATTTGCATCGAAGCGTATTTTTTGATAGTGATTTTAATCACTGTCAGATATCATTATACTTGATCCAACTATGCCACGTCATCACTGTGCTGGTTTTTTTTTTCTCTGTTCGATGCTAACCTGAGAATGTATTAATTTTACTATGGTGGTTTTTTTTTTTATTTTGTTTTTTTTGTCTGTTACCACTTTTTCTCAGCCCTCGCCGTACCGATTTCTTTCAACGATACGACAAAAGATCATAAATCTTTTTATCGTATCTAGTCGAAGACATTACCCTTAAAAATTGAAAAAATTTCACTTGTTCCCTGTAAATGGATGAAATCTCCAAAAAAATTTTCAAATTTAAAAATCGCTACTTTTCGACATATTTTTTATTTTTTTTACTTAAAACTACCAAATGTTTTTTAAAAATGGCCAAATCAATATTATATAATATAATTGAAAAATAAACAAAATTATACTGTTTTCTGTATCAAATTTGCATTGTATACAAATTTACTCTCCATAATCATTAGGTGTCAGTGGCTCTGTACTAATTTCAAATGTAAGAAACATATTTGATAATGTTGCTAGTGTAATTAAAATTATTATTTTAGTCATATTAGATTATATTTTATTATAGATATCTAGAAAATAATAGTAATACTATAGAATATATTACTTTGAATAACAATATTATATATTTAATCAGAGCAAAATAAAAATAATTCTTATATTATAATTGCGCAACTCTATTTCTACAATAAATTTATAAAATGTAGTAACATTTAATATATTTACACATATATCACATAAATTCTACAACATTACACGTATATTATATAGTTTTTGAATCTTAAAAAATGTTGTTTTTCAATTATATATTTGAACAGGCTTAGTGTAGTATCTTTTTGATAAATTATTTTACTTTATTTTTATTATGAAGTTTTGTCATAAATTTAATTATAATAGTATATTATTGAGTGTTTCTTAATACTCCCAATATATATATATATATAAAATTACGTGTTTCATAAAAATAAATCATTATTATTATTATTTTGACATAAACAATGATTGTAAATAGTACTATTTAATCAAAATTAAATAATCAATGACATAAGGTTAAAAGCTATTGATTATTAATTTTTTTTAAATGAAATATTAATTTTATGTTAAAGGCTTCTTAATTTTTTTGTTGAAATTTAATTTTAAACGTTTACTAAAATAGTGTTATTATAGTCTGTAGTTAGTATAGTCTGTTATAGCATTATTAAATTATTAAACGTGTATTAATATTATATTATACTATGTTTCTTGTTATTAAATATTCTGTGTTTTTTTATATTTTAGCTTCGATGCGAAGCTGAGAAGGTATAAATTTTACTATGATGTATTTTTTTTTTAATTTTTTTTTTTTTTTTGTTACCACGTTTTCTCAGCTCTCGTCGAACCGATTTCATTCAACGATACGTCAAAAGATCATAAATCGTATCTAGTCCTAGAAATTACTCTCAAAAATTGAAAACATTTCCCTCGTTCCCCGTAAATAGAGGAAACCTCCAAAAAAATAATACAAATTTAAAAATCGCTAATTTAAAAAAAATTTTCAATTTTTTACCTTATACCTTAAATTAAAACTTATGTAATATACTTTAATTTGAAAAAAAATTTGATCTCTGGACTGGTCTTCGTGGTGAAAATGGCTACTGAATGCTATTTTTGTGTGAAAATTCTTGATTTTATATTTTACATTTTTTACTTTAAAATGTTATAACTTTTTGAAAAATGTATGGATCATTATATTTTTTTTAAGATAAGTACTATTTACACATTATATGTATATATATATATTAGGGTGTCCCTTATTTTGAAAATTTTGGAAATTCTTCGGGCTCACCCCCCAAATTTGTGTGTATACATATAAAAAGTGGCTACAAAAAATTTCAGGCCGATCAGATAAGTTTAATCCGTGCCGACTTGGGGTTGAAAATCGGCCAAAAGGGGTACTTTTTTAGTTTTTAGCAATTAACTCGTTAATTAGCACTCTCACAAAAAAAAATATTAATACTAAATTGTAGATCTAATTGTTTTGTATAAATTAAGTCCTTACAGTTTTTCTTTTAAATCCATTAGTTTTCTAGAAAAATGTCAAAAAACATAATATTTCGTAAAATTGCCGAAATTAGCATATTTACGAATATTTTATCATATATGACGAACCATATGTGATACGACCTAATGTTTCATACAAAAATTGTTTAAAATTAAATTTTACGAAATAAAAGTATTAAGTACAAATTTCATTGAACCGATCGTTTTATTGCTATAGCTGAATTAACTCGATCATATTACGATTTTTACTAAATATATGAATTTTATTGCTTAATTTAAATATATTTCCTTTATATTGTAAAGTGATGTATTTGTTTGACTTAAACTCATAATGATACTTACTTCTCAATATTATTGTATAAATTAAAAAAAAGTTACTATATAAAATACAAAATGTTAAATTCAAAATAATTCACAAATTATAACAAAAATATACATTAAAAACTATGTTTTAATGTTTTTTTGTTGCAATTAGGATATAATATTCTATGCTCTTGAACACACAGTGTAAAAGTAACTCAGCTTTTTCATCGTTTACAGTTAAACTTTCATGAAAATCTTCCATTACCTTAACCGCTTTATCTGCAGAGTCATTTACTACTTTAAGTGAACATACAATTTCTTTTCCGTGTAAATAAAAATTATCAGTATTCCAATTACTTGGATCCAAATTTAAAAAATTAGTATTGATATCGAATCGTTTAAAAAATTTCATACTGCTTTTTGACAAAAAAGAAGCTACAGTTTTTTCTAAAAAAAAATATCAATCACTCAATAGTCATCAAAAAATAATGATATCAAAAATTATTATACCTGAAAATGATTTGTCAATATGACTCGATGAAAGAATAAAACGTTTACTAGGGTTTATTATTGACTCATTATTAAGGGATACAACCATTAATTTTTTTATTTCGGTTGAAATGGAATCGTCCATTTCCCAGAAAATATTACACTCGCGAATAGTCAATACTGCTTTTGCTCTTATAGTAAGATTAACAATTCTTAGGTTATAAAAAAAAACTTTTAGAACTTGTCCAATGGATGGAAGTTTTGAACCTAAAATTTGAGTAGTCAAAGACCCTATTAAAAATATTTTATTGTCATTTCTTAATACTACGGACATTTTTACGTACACTAAAAGAAAAACACAATAGGAAGCAGTTCAACTTAATACGCGATGTGAGCGACTAAAGTGGTATAAGTATAAGTTCACTATATCTATTGCTGCGATTTGTAATAAATTTACGATTTCCAGAGTTATTTATAATTTAAAAATAATAACAATACATTAATTCAGTCATACCATAGTATTATCGCCGTACTTGTACGATAAGTGTTGTAATGAACCAGATGATAACTAACAGAATCTAGCATTAAAATTCATATATTTAGTAAAAATCGTAATATGATCGAGTTAATTCAGCTATAGCAATAAAACGATCGGTTCAATGAAATTTGTACTTAATACTTTTATTTCGCAAAATTTAATTTTAAACAATTTTTGTATGAAACATTAGGTCGTATCACATATGGTTCGTCATATATGATAAAATATTCATAAATATGCTAATTTCGGCAATTTTACGAAATATTATGTATTTTGACATTTTTCTAGAAAACTAATGGATTTAAAAGAAAAACTGTAAGAACTTAATTTATACAAAACAATTAGATCTACAATTTAGTATTAATATTTTTTTTTGTGAGAGTGCTAATTAACGAGTTAATTGCTAAAAACTAAAAAAGTACCCCTTTTGGCCGATTTACAACCCCAAGTCGGCACGGGTTAAACTTATCTGATGGGCCTGGAATTTTTTGTAGCCACTTTTTATATGTATACACATAAATTTGGGAGGTGAGCCCGAAGAATTTCCAAAATTTTCAAAATAAGGGACACCCTAATATATATATATATTTATTCATATATTACACTTATAAATCATAAAACTTCGACATACTTTATCTTAATGAGAATATAAATAATGAAATAGGAGTTTTTGGAATAATCCATTAATTTTTTAAAATTAAACACTATCTATAGTTTCGCATTGAAGTATTTTTAATTATATAAATTTTAATCAGATATCATCTATACTAAACCCAACTATGCCACGACGCCACCGATTTTTATTGGTTAAGATATTGTCAGATAAACTTAACAAAATTTATAAATGCATATTATTTCAAACCTTATATTTAGTCTTGATTTTATAGAAAAATATCACAGCTATAACTATTTTTAATATTAAATCTTTGCACATGATAAGTTGAAAATATTTACGATCTCTATAGCATAATGACCATTTTTTTTAGTTGTTGAAAGATGTTCTTTTTAGTAGAAATAATGATTTTAAAAATTGATATAAAATTAAATTATATTGATTATTTCATGAAGAACAATAAATTAGTGACAATAAATATATTTAAACATGCCGATTCTTAAACATAATTCAGTTTGAAATGATGTAGAATTCATTAAATTATTTATCTTTTCCTGCTGATAATTTTTAAAAGAAGATTATTACATAATCTATGCATAAAATTAATGATTTCGTGATAGTCATAGTTTTTAATTCTATTCAAAACAATTTTAGTTACACTTAATATTAAAAAGGTTTTTTAGTTAATCTTATTTTAAAATCAACAAAAATCATTAAATAGTTATTAAGGTTATTGGCTGAGTAATTTATACATGTTTTTTTCTTGAAAATATTTAGGCATAAATAAGCGTTGGTCAATTACTTTAACATATGTTATGCTAACAAAATATACAATTTAAATACATATTCGACATATTTTTATATATAATAGACTTAGTAAAAATGCTCTAGGTTGTAGTTTATAAAAATTTACTAAATTATAAGATAAATTTTATTTTGCCTCATTAGCTTATGGTCTTCTTTTACTAAAAGTACGAAAAATCCATACATATTAATTCATGGTATTATTTGATATTTTAGTATGATTAAATGAAGTTTATTATTCTCTAATAAAATATGCAGTCACTTTTATAAAATTTGACTTGAACTTAACATATATACTAAAAATGAAGTAAGTCACTATGTAACTCTTATGAAATGTTTAAATTTTCGAATCGATTATCTGGAAATGCCTTTTTTTGAGATATAGATTAAGAATATTTTGCGACTTTTAGAATTAAGTATTTTTAATATTTTTATTTTGATTAATATTTTTAAATGAGTAATTAATGTTGATTTTTAAAAATAGTATAACCAAACTAGATATCAACAGCTAGTTTTTAGTTTAAATATTTTCTACGTGTATCTAATATCAACTCGGATCTTAGCTTTATAATTTGACATTTGTAGTATTGGAGGAACATATTAAAGTAATTTTGACATCATACCAATAAATATTTAGTTTTAGAGATTTTCATTATTTTGTCATTTATTATTAACATTAATGTTTATGTAAAGTATATCTATTTTAAAGCGGATTCCGTAATAATTTTAATATTGCGTTTAAAGAACTACACTTATTTTTTTGAAANTTTGTAATTAATCATTAATTAACTGTCCATAAAATAATAAATCTAATATAATTATCGTACTTGGCATAAAAAATTAAACTTCTAGATTCTTTTTTTAAACGAAAATGCGTTTTCCAAAAAATAAAATGAAAATAAATAATTAAAAATCAACAAAATCAGTTATAACGTATTTTAAGACTTTTACATGTTTTTTACTGTATGTAGTGTTTTTGTGGGCTATTTATTGAGAAAACAACATTGAAGTTATTATTTTTGAATTTCTTGTAAAATTTCCTTTACTTGAGTTTTACTTCTATTATTCTAAGTTAAGAGAAAAAAAAGTTATGAGACATAGATCAGTTATTTCTTTTAAATTTGACTCTTTGACTGAACTTAATAGGCCCGGGGGCACGGGTTAACCTTAACGGATCGGTCCCAAATTTTGCACAGCTCATTTTTTTGACCATTAAAAAAAAATTAAGGGGTAGCGTAAAGAAAAAAAAGACATTCGATTTTTGAGGGCCACCCTAATACATATATAGATCATATGTAATGACTACTAATAATGAGATCGAAAACTCGTTCGGTATATTATATGTCTCGCTCTTTATGCAGTTTACCATTGGTTATTAATTTGATAACATGACTTCTAGTAGGTTTTAAGTAACACCCAATGTCAACAATAAAAAAAAATGAAGGTCATTGGGGCTTGTAATATTGTAAAAAATTGTGGGGACAGATAAAAAAGGGTATTATGTCGACTATTTAAAGTGTAAAATTTAATATTATAATAATCATTAAGCAATTGTGTTCTTAAGTGTCGTCAAAACCAACTAGAGTTCATCATGCAGTGCCTTTCTGTAAGTAAATATTTTATTATAAATTTTATAAAAAAGAAAAATAATAAATATACTTATTTTTTTTTAGCTAACGTTTACTAGTAAAACTTAACTAATTTTGATTCTTGTCTTTTATAAATAAATTTAACTATTCTGAAAAAGAATTAATATGAAATTTATACGAATTATTATTTATATACAGGTAGTGCTAGTTGTAACTGCTTTCGTTTGCATGACATTCGCCGACGATTTAGCTAAACCCACAGACTACAAATTCTCATATGGCGTCAGTAACCCAGCCTCTGGTGACCATAAAGATCAAGCAGAAGTAAAAAACGGCGACTTTGTCACCGGTTTCTACCGTACCTTGGATGCCGACGGTTTGATACGTACAGTCAACTATCATGTTGATCCTCTCCACGGTTTTAACGCTGATGTTGTCCGTGCCCCAGCTAGTGATGTTGTTCCAGTTGTCAAATCTATAATCTCTGAACCCGTTATTGCCAAGTCTGTCATCCCTGAACACGTTATTTCCAAGACTGAAGACGTTCCAGAATCAATCGAGATCAAACCAGTTGATTTTGAATTAGCTAAGGCTGCTGTTTTGCCCAAAGTTATCGCTCCTCACTCTTCATACTACCCGTACTATTACTTTAACGGACTTCCAATCCAAAAAGCTGCCCTCAAAAGCTGGTATGACTCTTACCCTTACTACTCTGGATTGTCATTCCAAAGAAATTGGTTAAACAGCTGGTATGGATCTTACCCATACGGATACACAACTTTCGCTAAATAGATTCGATATTAATTCACATACAAAAATTAAGAAAACACATTTCAATGTAAAAAAAAAAATGTATAATAATATTTACTCGTAATTACACTTGTTATGTATAATTTAATGTCTTGATATTTGTTGCACTTTTCCTCATTAAATATTCTTTTTCGTCGTGTTGTAAGGGGTTAACATTACTAAAGTTGAACAATTTTTTGTATTATTTTTACTTCACACATATTGAACAATTTTAAAAAGAACTATTTTATTAATTATAAAATAGTATTATGTAATATTATTTAGGTAGTGTAAATATTCCAAAATTCACAATAATTCAATACATTATGTAAAAATAAATACTATGTTTCTAGTGATATTAAATAACTGACGATTCCAAGAAGAACGAGTATATATTGAAGTGTTGTTAATAAACAATATTATAAATCTTAATGTTTTTCAAAAATTAATTTTTGATATTTTAACTAAGATACCTTCTTTTTTTTGATAAAATGTTATGTTAAAATAACAAAACATTAAAAAATAAAGATTATTTAACACGACATAAAACGAATTATTCAAAATAGTACATTATTGAATGTATGTGAAGTTATTATTATTATCATCATTAATATAACAAATATTATAACACATTTCTTAAATTATTAGTATATATTTTGTTTTATCAACAGTAATAGTAAATCATAATTTGAATTGCTTGGTCTGAACTTTACATTTATTATTCGAATCTAAAAATGTTAAACAATGACTTTTTTTTTATGTAAAGTGTTATTGACAAATATGTTGTACGAAATCGGTAGTGGCTGTCGTTTTTGTAAAATTATGTTTTGTTGAAATTTGATAAGGTACCTAAATAAATAGCAGCATAACTGGTCTAAACAATTTACTAACACCTCCTAGTACTTCCATAAAGAAGTAATTAATGATTATTTAATGAATAGTCTAAATGATTAATAAAATGTTTTAAAAATCTGATTATTAATTTATTTAATTAAATTATATAAATTTATTACTATTCAAATGATAAATATGGTATAATATTTATTATTAAATTTTAAAAATATTAATCTCAATTGAATACAAAATTAATATTCGTTTACTTGAATGAACAACTGAAGAGCTGGTATGAAAAATAAGATTATATTAAGCATCCATTGATCTTACGAGATATTTTTTATACAAGATTAAAAAAATTATGTAAAAAATGTTCAACTATTTTTATATTAAATATAATGTTTAGTATAAATTTTTATTATAACTTTTGGCGCTTTATCAGAATAAAAAAAATGTAGTTCGAGTACTTTCATATTCTATACATTTACTTCTGTTTGATTATAAAGTTGATGCATTTTATTATTGAATTTCTCTATTGAAATATTCAATATATTCATGTTTGTTATTGTTGTTCATGTTTATGTTTTTTTTTAACTATTATTAATTTATATTTTCTTTTAATTTTACTTTTAGTTGTAATGGTGTATTTATTATCACTCGCGAGTATTAATTTATTATAAATGAAACTAAAAAAAACTATAAATCAATAATTTGTAGAACCATTGAAATTTTTTTATTTATTGCTACGTTTATCCTTACTTTTTATGGACGTCTTATCCAATTAATGTTAGTTGCTATATGACAGTTTCTCTAGTAGTAGTTAAAGATATTAGTGTTTAGAAATGCAATGATTCGATTGATTAGAAATTAAAAATTCTTATGTTATCGTATTCTTGTGTTGAATTTTCTATAAGAAATCAATGCATACAGACCGAAGAATGTAATTTGCGTGTTTGATATTTGATTATGTTGCTTCAAAATAACTCCCTGTTTTTAACCACTAATATACCACTATATGACAGTTAACGTATTTATATTTGATAAAAAACAAAAATAAATGTTGAAATATATATGATATATTTACATAATAATAACAGCAATATGAGCAAATAACATACTTCACTTATCAGAGATTGCACGGAAAAACTCGAATTATTAGCCTAATCGTCCCGTCGATAATTAATTTTCCTTATCAATAATGTTCTTGCAACAACGCACTGCTGAAGTGTGGTTTCTTTCTGTCGACAACCGCGTTGAAACCGTTGTGTGCGTCGGCATTGTACTTAACGGTCCTGATGGTACCATCGGGTTCAACCAAACTGTAGAATCCAGACACTACATCTCCCGTCCGAGTCTCGTGTTGGCTTTTGACATCGCCAGTGTGTGGATCGTTTACGTCGTAGTGGAACGAATAGTGTACGGGCTCGTGGTGCTCCTCTTGATGGACGTGCTGCCCGAAAGAGGACTCGGCAGATCCGTACGACTCTGACGGGTACTCATGGAACGGCGAGCACTGGACCAAACACGCAGCTAGACCGAGGATACCAAACAACTGAAATCAAAACAAAAATAAGTACTCGTTCGACTTGAAGCATCGACGATGGGCTCTGTAAGGCACTCACTAAGAAAGCGTTCATGTTTACTATGGACACACAAAACTGAACTGGATGCTGGTGCAGAGATTTCCATGGTTTATAAAGTAAAATATTGACCGGAAACTTTTAAAGTGAAAACATCTCATGTAAGCGTTACATACGCACATTTTACTGATATGGTACAGCGACCTCTCCGTGCGCGTGAACAAAACAATATGCCGTATGGATGTTTAATTAGCCACCGAGTGGTCGATAACGTAATTGCAGGTAAAATCATTGTATCCATCGATGTTGTTCTTTTGTAACATCGCGACCAAGACATCTTACGAATACTACGGAAACGAGATGCGCGTATAATCGCCTTTATGTCGGTGCTGTACATTAAAATGTTGTTAATATTCGTTGTTTCTTAGTCGTAGGCCACCGCCAACACCAAGTGTTATGTACAATTCTAATACAATAATAAGTACTCTACACAGTCTTTACCGCGTTATAAAATACCAACTCAACGAATGTCAATGTATTTAATATTTTATACTGTCTATTGTAAGCTACGACCGTTCAAGTCTTTACTAAATTTCATAATTTAGTTACTATCGAATTACACGTACAATTTGTTCGAATCATGAATCATGCACACTTATAACTGTCTGTTATTATTTGGGGTGATACAGTAAATTTTAAATCAAATATCATAGGCCAGCATAAAATATAACGAAATGTCTAGTTACTAAGAATAATGGTTCCTTTAATTCTAAAAAATATGTAGAAAAATGGATAATCCACATTATATTCAAAGGTAACAAGTAATCATATTAAACAGACCAGATACACGCTTTCTTAACACCAAAAGAACACCAACCAACATGTTATGGATTTAATAACCATTTATGCACAAAACACATTATTTCAAATTGTCCAAAATATGAAGTCCAACGCTTAAACTCAAACTTATCAAGCAACCGAGAAAACACTTTAAACACAGATAAAATATTAATCACTCCACACCGAATTAATTTAAAGTTTTATCTTTGTAGTTATATCTATGTGAAATATTTGTAAAATATTTCAAATAATTTGTGTAATGTTTTTAACTATTGACCTAAAAATTCGAAGCCGTAACAAAAAAAAAAAATGTTTTTAACTTTTTATTCACTTCGAGTACAATTTTTTAAGAGAAGGTTATGACTATTTTTATACCGCACGATTGCACAACTGTCACTCTAACAAAATATTAAGAGCTTTATAAATGTGAATAAAGATTTGTATATTTTTGTAGATGTATTAACCTTAGACATGCAGGTTCTTATAATAATAATTTTCATCTGTTGCTTAACAATTTTGAAAGTGAGTAATGTAAATGATCGTATATAAAATGAGATTTCTACTTTAAAATAAAATTAGTTTTTAGATTAATATAATTTGTTGAAAATTGGATTCAATGTAAAATTAAATTGATACTCCTACACCGAGTGATACAGTTGGCGGTATTCCAAAATATGCTTATTCATATTAAAAATTATGTACTAAAAATTGTGAAAATATATTGAAGTATAGCTAATTAAAATTGCACTTTACAAAAATATTGTGTTACAATAATTAGACAAATAAAAACTTTATTATGATGTATGTTACAATCCGTTCTAATTGACAGCTTCACAAAATTATGATTGTTTAACATCCGGCGTTATATCAACATAACACTGGTTGACTAATACAATGAACTGTAATTTAATGTGGTTTACATATGTAAACAATTGTTGTGAACATATGACTATATTGTCATAAGTTAGAATTGATAGTGTTTTTTATTTCTGTCTTTGTATAATTATTTCTTATGATTACATTGTTTATAATGTTGATTACTAATAAACACTAATTGTGTCCTATCGTAAATTTATTAATATTCGCATTAAAAGGTCTAATAATTTATGTACAATATAGTCAATACTTTTCTAAGCACCAATAAAAAAATTGTATCAATAGAAAGAAATAAACTTTCCGGACAGAAAATAAAAAAAATAGATACATAATTAACTCATAAAACTTATTCTTTAAATTATGTCCTACTATTCTGTTCTAACATTTTTATGGACCCATCAACATTGTTCGCAAGAAAAAAGATTTTGTTATTGTTAACATAGAAAAAACCCTTTCTTTCTTATTGGAGGAAAACATTAAAAAATTAACTTTTAACGCAGTATATGATTGCAATTACTAAAAAAAAAAATTACAGGGAAACAATTATTGAGTCAAAAGTTACAAGAATTTGCTGTCAGATTCTATTCATATTGTATGAATTCTGTTAAATACTTTGAACAATTGTAATTCTCCACGCAATTTATTTATAACATTTTTAGTTTTTTGAATTTAAAAATTAAATTTTACTGTGCTTTTCATGTCACTACGCTTGTTTTAGATACTTATTTTCAAATATACTTGTACTATGAGTCAATACTATGTGGTAATTTTTGTTTCGCAAAATGTCAATTGTGAGTTTTTTCACTTCTAGTCTTGTTACAAGACAAGAATTCAATTATAAATACACCTAATTAAACTATTTTATAATAGTTAATAGTAATCCAATTAGATTACTCTTTATTTTTCATTTGGATACACTACGATTGAATTTTATTTTAATTAAGTCGATATCTAATTGAAATGCTTCGAGCATTATGGAAACTTTATCACAGGTCCGCTGTTTGATGGCACAAATATCAACTATGTTTATTGCAATATGTTGTTTAAAGCAGAAATAAGGAATTTTCACAAATTAGCACTTTTTATTGCTTATAATTATAGCTGCATTTAGGAGAGTTAAAAGGGGCTGAAGTTTTGTGGTAGCTGTAAATATTTCAAGCGACTAATATATCTTTGAAATTGTGAATTTTTTCTTTTTAAATTTATTTTAACGAATATTATTACGCAAATATAACAACAAAATATATTCCTTACTCCTTTCAAAAAAAAAAAAAAATTACACTTTTTTATTCTATTTGATTATAACCATATATCATAATTTTTCAAAAATTTTACTTATATCCTTTATAAAAAAATAATTTTTATATAACAATGGATATAACTTTGCTGAATTTCTGGGGGGCAAAATTTAAACTGGTGAGATGCTAAATCCATCTAGACCACCAACCCCACGCCTATGCATACTAGTCTGCTGATGTTTGCTTGTATAACTGTTATTACTTACATATCTTAGTGACATGTAATGGATGGATTTTTATGCAATTGCATATTCTTTAATAATCTATATAAAATCATTTTGGTTAAAAATATTTTATTTTCATATTTCAGTGGAAGTTATTAAAAATTTTACTTTTCTATAATATTTCATAAAAGTTGCATTTTTAGTAATATTGAAGATATATTTTTTAAATGTTTAAATCACAAAACTGAAAAAATAAATATTTAAAATTTTTTTTTGCAGCAGTTATTTATGTGAATTTATGTACAAATATACATATTTTAGTAATTAAAAAATCCTATATTTATCATTTTTACTGTCGAAAACTATTTGACAGTACCACAATTTTATTAGTTTTAGTTATTGTTGATTTTTTACAATTAATATATAGTTAATAGTTTGCAAATATGTAAGCTAAAGTGATGTGGAGAAAAAATTTGTTTGATGAATAAAAAAAAAAAGGTTATATTTCAAAATATTTTGAAATATAACATTTTATACGCCCCTTTTTACAATATATTCTTAGCTAAATTTGTAGATAAAAACAATCTTTTGAACAGCTATTTAAAAACTGTTAATTATGAAAACCGTTTTAAGCGTGAAAAGTTTTATTAGAGACGCAGTTCTTGTGCAACAATTGCTGTGAAATTGTCATACGACAATCAAATGGAGAACACATTAAATGACTGGCCAGCAAAGTTTGGCGACAACAATCATCTTATCTACACGGTGTATGATACTAATAGCAATGACGGCTTGTAACAGCAACAACACAATCGATACCGTGGCCGCCGTCTAATTAAAAAGCGTTTCTAAATAATTATTGTCTGGACAAAATCCACTTTGGCAAACATTATAATCTTTTGTTCGCGTATGAAATGATACATTGTTACAGCACAAACGAACACAAACAATCGAGTGGTATAGTTCGTTGGACAAACGCTTGCATATTCAGACAGCAATAATCATTTGTAATCACATACGTGATACTCATACATTCAGGGGGCATTTTCTCTATTTTAGTGTTTCGCAATGATGTGCATTCACGTATTGTATGCGCGATGACCACTGTAACCGTGATCTTGAACCAATTATGAAGAAGAACGATTCCACAAAAAAGGCTTAGCAAAGTAGAATACTTAATTTTGTTTTTTCGACACAGATAATTGATACAATCACGTCCATCATTGAAATAAGCTTGTAGTAATATCGATTGTTTTGTACTGTGTGCTTTACTATAAACGCCTTATTTGTCATTTGAAAGTAATAAACTATAGAAACGCGTTGATTCATTCATAAATTAATTGTATTCAAATTGTAAGAGTTGATTCATTTTATTGATTCTGGCTTAGTGGTGTGGTATGTCCTGAGACCAAAGTTTCACTTTCGCTCGTTTATCCTGCAATTACACTTCATAGATTGGTTTGGACCCGGACCAAGATCGCCGTACCTGATGACCCGTATATGAGCAGTGTACCTAATATCGAATTCGGACCGCAGTACGTCCGTTACGACACCCGTTGGCAAACTCCCCCGTGTCCGGCACAATACAGGCAAAACCCAAAAGAGTGGGTGCATATCATTCGATTTAGTATATAATGCTCGCCAATGAACCATATCAATCACATTCGTTTTGTGAGTTCATCTGACAAGGTGTTTAAGTGAATTTTATCAGTTCAACGACTACCAGACATAAAAAATGGCATTTACAAAGGTAAGTTTCAACTTGTAAATTACATCCGTACATTCCCGGGGACTAGGATATTCGCTAGTAATATTTATCTTCTATAATAAAAAAATAACTCACTATAATTGTTAGTGTTTATTTATTGACATTTAATTAAAATAGTAGTTATTTTAACTATTTTAACGACTTCAATTCTTATTCCTTTATTTCAGTTAAATTTTCCGTAACTTATGATTTTAACAAACTTATAAATATCAATTATTTTTATAGTCAGTTCTATTTTTGGTCATTGGAAGTGTTGCTAGTTTGTCCAGAGCCGCCATCGTTCCCGCTCCATACGCCGTTTCTCCATATGCTTATCCCGGAGCATTGCCTTATGCCGCATCTCCGTATTTTGCACAACCAGCTGCAGCTCTGCCATACCCATTCCCATACAAAGCGCCACTTTATCCAGCACCCGCCGCCGCAATCAGAGCCGCTCCTATTGCTGCTTATCCAGCTCCAGCTAGATTAGCTCCCGTAGCTGCTGCCCCTGCTGTTGTTCGAGCTGCACCAGCCGTAGCTGCTGCTCCTGCCCCAGTCGTACCAGCAGCTCTACCAGCTCCAGTTCCAGCTGCCTTCCCAGCCGTCCGATTGGACGAAGCTGATGCTTATCCACAATATCAATACGCTTATACCGTAAGAGACTCGCTTACCGGTGATGCCAAGGACCAAGAAGAAGTGCGTGACGGTGATGTAGTAAAGGGTCGATACAGTTTGATCGAACCCGATGGTAGCCGCAGAACAGTGAGCTACTATGCCGATGACGTCAACGGATTCAACGCCGTAGTACAGAAGGACTTACCAGTAGCACCAGTTTTACCAGCAGTAGCACCAGCTGCCGTAGTTGCAAAATGAACTATACGACAATGCTAACTAATTGCCCTTACATTACCAATAGATTTCTTATAATATGTGTAATTCTTGTTGTATATAGTCGATCTTTCCTTTTATAAATATATTATAATAGTTTCTTCCATATTAATTTGTTTTATTTTTATTGATTTTATTTTATTTGTTGCACTTTATAATTTATTTCAATTTTTAATACTTACAGCAAATATTTTGTTGGTCTGGTTTATAAAGGTTATGTTACATTTTTACTCCGATGCGTAATTAAGAAAACTATTGTTTTTACAATACTGTAATCAGTTTATATGATTACTTCGCTTCTACTGCACCGATTTTGTTCAATAATACGTCAAAAGATCACAAAACGTATCTGATTGAATCTACTAACGCCATAATTTTTTTTTAAATTTTCCAATTCCCTTGACAATTGTAATTACACCCAAAAATACAGTTGTTATTATTAAATAGTCAAATCTGATATTTTTTAGTTTTTACCTTACGTTGAAATAATTTTTTTTAAAACTAGACGGTTTATTCCGAAATTTTAATTGATTTAACAATTAAATTTATTTATTTATATCATTAATGACTCATCATTCAGATGATTAATCAAGTTATTATAATTTCTTAAAAATTATATCAAATTTTTTGTCTTTTCTATTTTTTATGTTTCGAAAACCTTGACTATAACTAATTTTATAATTTGAGGAAAACTATTAAAACTTTTCGCACCTAAAAATTATAAACTAAAAGAGTTTTTATACAAAAGGTATGTAAACCATATGACATGAGGCGAAAAGCTGGAGTGGTATTTAAATTTAAAATGACCAAGAAAGGTCATTTTTAATTTTTATTTATTATGTTCTTAGATATAATTTCTAATTTATTTTCTTTAATAATTAGGCTATACTATTTATCCCCCAAAAACCCATTTTAATGTGGTAATTGTATTATTCAAAACTCAATGAACGCTATATAACTACTCAGCAAAATATCAATACAATTTCTTTTATGATATAAGAACGCATACAAAAAAAAACTAATCATTCTCACTAAATTATTAAGATTATTATTTTTACACATTAGTCATTATTTTCTGTCAGAATAAAAATTAAATTACATTATTTATTTACGCTTAAGTATAGTCTATGCTTTTAATTAAAACATTTTCAATCGTGAAACGACAATAAGTCGTTCTTTCAAAAAGGTTTGAGTGCAATTAAAAACAAACATATGTGTTAATTTAATTTTCTTTCATTGTTTGGTTTATATATTTAAAAATATTTCCATAAAAAGTTTGCAAACATTACCTTATTATTTTAAACCTATAAGATTATTTTGCCCCAATCTCTCTTACTTTTCAATTCAATTATGAAAAAATTTTTTCATAATTATAAGTCAACATTTTTAAATAATACCTAAATTTTATATTTTATACATAAATATAATTATGGTATCTAAGACAAATTATTCTGTTTTTAGGAGTCTAAGTCCTCCTTACAGATTATTGTTCTAATCGAAGTATAAATTTACTTTTAGTGTTGAAATTTTAAAACTCATTTAAAAATTAAATTGATTAAAATTACTAGCTATTGATATTTTATGTCAATTAATTTCTCACTAGTTTCAATTTGTGTTATAAGTTTTTCAAAGTGCATATTTTTTTAAAATATTTTAAAATCCATTATTGTTTAATATAAATTAAACTTTCTATCAGTTATATAAAATTGTCTTAAATAAAAAGTACTATTTAACACTCAGCTGACCGCACGGTTCCAAACTATTAATTTCGTTGGGCGGATTAGTATTTTTCCGTGAATTAAACGTACTTAGTAAACTCACAATTTTTGTCATATTTTACATTTTTTTAAATGTTTATTAAAAGAAACAAGACCTTTTAATATTTAATTTCGAAATATTCTGTTTCATTTTTTTGTCGGAATAATGTATGCCAGTACACAACGTAGTATACAAAAATCTAATTATATATATACATAGTATGAAGAAAATATATTATATATGCATTCTTATAATACTAACACATATTTTGTGTTTGTTAGTATAAAATGTGTCTATATTTTTTTAAATAATAAAATTAAAAAATAAAAATTTCCATTGTCAGCTTTACAAAAATAGAGTATCTTTCCTTTTAAAAATTAATTGTACAGTTTTCCATGGAGACGACGATAATCTAAAAATATAAACCTGAACGTGTGCTATAAAAATTTTCTGTGTGTTATGAGATAAGTAATAATGCACATTAAATAGTGTGTACTTAGGTTTCAAATTTGTAATGGAAGGAAACTATTCATTTCCGAGGAAGGATATAAATAATAGTCTATTTAAATGTGGTGCTTTTAAATTAACATTGTCTTGCGTTGGCCATTGCAATTAAATAATCAGTTTAATTTGAAAATAGCTTTTTCCGTTTGTTTATTCGCACTATTATGTTGACTTATGTATAACACTCGCAATTATACCCTTCGAGATGTTTGTTAGCATTTTAAATGCAAAACAAGTATCTAAGTGATGTTCCTATGAATATTACGGCTTATTTCATCTTCTATTTTACTACATGTTAATAGTTGTAAAGTGAAGACAATTTATGTGAACGCCAATTCGTTGGGCCTCCGTAACGTTTCATGAGAGTTAACGTTTAAGATTGCATTCATTTATATATTTTGTCGCATTATATGTTTTTTAAATTCTCAATACGTTTACGATGGCCGCTTCACTCGCGGCGTCCCTATTTAGTATTGTTAACATGGCAAACGAGTCTACAGTAATAATGTGACGCATATTATTACACATACGAGTCCTTTTCGGCTATTATGAAATACTTTGCCCGAGGATGCTCAATTTTAATTACATAAGGTTGTTAAAAAAAAAAAAATAATAATAATAATTATATCTTAGATTAAATGTGTACAGTTCATATTTACTAATTTTTTTATCATATACTTTCGTAAATTCGTTTGTATTTAGCAAGAAAAAATAACGTAATATAAAGTAAAAATTTGTTTCCGTATATATATTTAATATTTACAAAACATATTTTATTTTAGAATTTTACTATTTTTAGCATTTTAATCTAATTGTTATATGAATTTATCTTATGAATAGATTTTTCGACGTCTGTTAATTTTTTCATAATAATTTATTATTATTATCAAGCATTTTTTCATTGTATAAAAAGTAATAATTTATTTCCTAAACAACTATATCTATTAACAGAAATAACATGATATATATATTTATATATATGGGTGTCCCTTATTTTGAAAATTTTGGAAATTCTTCGGGCTCACCCCCCAAATTTGTGTGTATACATATAAAAAGTGGCTACAAAAAATTTCAGGCCGATCAGATAAGTTTAATCCGTGCCGACTTGGGGTTGAAAATCGGCCAAAAGGGGTACTTTTTTAGTTTTTAGCAATTAACTCGTAAATTAGCACTCTCACAAAAAAAAATATTAAAACTAAATTGTAGATCTAATTGTTTTGTATAAATTAAGTCCTTACAGTTTTTCTTTTAAATCCATTAGTTTTCTAGAAAAATGTCAAAATACATAATATTTCGTAAAATTGACGAAATTAGCATATTTACGAATATTTTATCATATATGACGAATCATATGTGACACGACCTAATGTTTCATACAAAAATTGTTTAAAATTAAATTTTGCGAAATAAAAGTATTAAGTACAAATTTCATTGAACCGATCGTTTTATTGCTATAGCTGAATTAACTCGATCATATTACGATTTTTACTAAATATATGAATTTTAATGCTAGATTCTGTTAGTTATCATCTGGTTCATTACAACACTTATCGTACAAGTACGGCGATAATACTATGGTATGACTGAATTAATGTATTGTTATTATTTTTAAATTATAAATAACTCTGGAAATCGTAAATTTATTACAAATCGCAGCAATAGATATAGTGAACTTATACTTATACCACTTTAGTCGCTCACATCGCGTATTAAGTTGAACTGCTTCCTATTGTGTTTTTCTTTTAGTGTACGTAAAAATGTCCGTAGTATTAAGAAATGACAATAAAATATTTTTAATAGGGTCTTTGACTACTCAAATTTTAGGTTCAAAACTTCCATCCATTGGACAAGTTCTAAAAGTTTTTTTTTATAACCTAAGAATTGTTAATCTTACTATAAGAGCAAAAGCAGTATTGACTATTCGCGAGTGTAATATTTTCTGGGAAATGGACGATTCCATTTCAACCGAAATAAAAAAATTAATGGTTGTATCCCTTAATAATGAGTCAATAATAAACCCTAGTAAACGTTTTATTCTTTCATCGGTTCATATTGACAAATCATTTTCATGTATAATAATTTTTGATATCTTTATTTTTTGATGACTATTGAGTGATTGATATTTTTTTTTAGAAAAAACTGTAGCTTCTTTTTTGTCAAAAAGCAGTATGAAATTTTTCAAACGATTCGATATCAATACTAATTTTTTAAATTTGGATCCAAGTAATTGGAATACTGATAATTTTTATTTACACGAAAAAGAAATTGTATGTTCACTTAAAGTAGTAAATGACTCTGCAGATAAAGCGGTTAAGGTAATGGAAGATTTTCATGAAAGTTTAACTGTAAACGATGAAAAAGCTGAGTTACTTTTACACTGTGTGTTCAAGAGCATAGAATATTATATCCTAATTGCAACAAAAAAACATTAAAACATAGTTTTTAATGTATATTTTTGTTATAATTTGTGAATTATTTTGAATTTAACATTTTGTATTTTATATAGTAACTTTTTTTTAATTTATACAATAATATTGAGAAGTAAGTATCATTATGAGTTTAAGTCAAACAAATACATCACTTTACAATATAAAGGAAATATATTTAAATTAAGCAATAAAATTCATATATTTAGTAAAAATCGTAATATGATCGAGTTAATTCAGCTATAGCAATAAAACGATCGGTTCAATGAAATTTGTACTTAATACTTTTATTTCGTAAAATTTAATTTTAAACAATTTTTGTATGAAACATTAGGTCGTATCACATATGGTTCGTCATATATGATAAAATATTCGTAAATATGCTAATTTCGGCAATTTTACGAAATATTATGTATTTTGACATTTTTCTAGAAAACTAATGGACTTAAAAGAAAAACTGTAAGGACTTAATTTATACAAAACAATTAGATCTACAATTTAGTTTTAATATTTTTTTTTGTGAGAGTGCTAATTTACGAGTTAATTGCTAAAAACTAAAAAAGTACCCCTTTTGGCCGATTTTCAACCCCAAGTCGGCACGGGTTAAACTTATCTGATCGGCCTGAAATTTTTTGTAGCCACTTTTTATATGTATACACATAAATTTGGGGGGTGAGCCCGAAGAATTTCCAAAATTTTCAAAATAAGGGACACCCTAATATATATATATATATATATATATATAATCGTTGCTAATTGTTATTTGTTATGTTTGAATTCTTACATAACTCTACCACGAATAAGATAAAACCAGATGGTGCACATTTTGATATACTGATAACTCGAACATGCCTCAATGCAGTGTCACCACGTACAAAGAATTATATTATTGTACAGCACATTTTACCTTTTAAATAATTGGTTATGCACATATACATCAAAGTCAATGCATGTTAATAGAATTTCTAAAAATAGCTAAAATTTGAGTAGCTATAATGTACTATTTTTTGGTANATAGAATTTCTAAAAATAGCTAAAATTTGAGTAGCTATAATGTACTATTTTTTGGTAAACTTTACGACTTATCTTTAATCTAACTATCTTTAATCAGTCTTTTTAACTCTTTAACTATTTATACTTTAATAAAAAACATCGTCTGGACACATTTTTAAAATATTTTCCTGCGCTTTTTAATTACTGCAATTTGTAATTCTTTTTAGTGAAAAGAAATTATATATTTAAGTTAACATCATTAATACTTGATTGTTAGTCGTTTAATAATAACAGTTTTACTATATATTGAATAGTAAATAATTTAAAAAACTCAATATAGTCTAATTATGCGTAACAGATGAGGTGCCTCGCTGTTAAATTAAAAAAAAAAAGAAAAAAAATCTTTTGTTCTGTATACTAAATGTTGGGGGTCATTTATTAAAATTTTCTACATCCTTCAAAAAGAATTAAAAATTGAATTTACGTTAATCAACTAATATAGTAAAAGAGTATAAAAAATGTATGAAGTGTTAAATAACTTATTTGAAACATAGTGATTAACTGAATGGACGAAGTAATTATTAAAAATTTTTACAATATTTGAATATGAGTTTATTAAAAATTAAAAGTTCCAAATAATTGAATAATAATTGACTAATAATTAAAAATTTTTTAATAATTTTTCTAAAAGAAACTCTTTATTTAGAAATTTAATTGCTAAAAAATCTGAATCTGATAATATAATTAAGATGATAATTTTTATCAAAACTTTTACACTAGTGATTATAAATTATGCTAAGTATACATTATTTTAATTTTTCTCCTACTTTACTTTCTGGAGTGAGTACTGGAAACTGTTGAATAAAAATAGATTTTAAGCTATGTATAAAGTTTAAAAAATCATTATGTGGCATCATTAAATTACCAAATGTTATAGATATATATATATCTACTTAAATTATATTTTTATGTTTCAGGAGTATTTCCGAAAAACATTGGATACTATCGCAGCACGAAAATTACTCAAGAATGCGTCTAAAATTATGTCCCAATTATCATTTTGACGATCATAAAAACGCCAGTAATCTACGAGATAATGCTGGTGAAGATTTTATTGTTTATAAATACTTATTAGCTAAACAGATGTTAACGCAGCCTAGTTTCATAGTTACATATCTATTTAATTACGTTAAAATCAGTAGAATAACTATAAGTACTAAAGTGCAAGAGTGCATTGAATTTTTTTAGTAACAACGATTTCTTTTGTTTTTATTAGTACTTTTATAATATCTACGAAATTTGAGGTCAATTCAATATGGTCAATACGTGCCAACTTAAGCTCAAAGTTTAAATGTTATGTGTTTATGAAATAAACACTTACTGTAAATAAATTTTTGAATATAGAAAATTTGAAAAAAAAATAAGACAACAAAAATATACAAAATATGATTTTCTAAAAAAAATGATTGTTTGATTTCCCACGAAAAACAATATTTAACATTACATAAGCAGAAAGCCTAAGAAAATACCAAGATATTTGTATGTATTCATGAAGTTATTCAGTATAAAAATGTTTACATTTGAAGATTTAAACGCTTAAGATTGTCCTGAATTGAGTATCTGTAAAAAATAGCGCGAAAGTATTATAAAAAGTATACGTTATTTTTTTCTTGGTTAATTTTCGGTTTTTTACTTCTGTATCGTTAAATATAATATAATACAATGGGTTATAGTGAATAATCAAACAAACATTTTTTTTTTCAAAAACTAAAAAATATTTTTTATTTAAAATTCATAAAATAAGTGGCACATTCATAAGTACTATATATAAAGTTAAACTATATATATAAATCTTGGAGGCTTTTAAACCATGTTAAAAACATTTTTATCTTCGATGCGAAGCTGAGAAAGTATTGGTTTTATTATGATGTGTTTTTTTTTTGTGTCTGTTACCACTTTTCNTTTTTTTTTTTTTTTTTTTGTGTCTGTTACCACTTTTTCTCAGCTTTTGTTAAAATTCTAGATTTTGTATTTTTTTTTATTTTAAAATACCTTACAAAAGGTACTAATTCTCATTGGATTCAATAACTATGAATATCAAGGACCCCATTACTATAGTTTCCCCTCGTTTGATGAAATTTCTTATTCATATTAAAACTATTGTACAAAAATTCTCGATTTTATATTTTACATTTTTAACTTTATAATGGTATAACTTATTGAAAAGTGTATGGATCAATACAATTTTTTTATGAGAAATAATAATTATATCCCTCTTTTATTCTTTTTTTTTAAATAACACCTATTCCCTTTATTTATTTATTTATTTATTTATCCATTGTGCTGGGTTTTTTTTTTACTTAGGTTTTAATTTAAAAAAAAAATTATTCGCAAAATATAATATATTTATTTGGTCTTTAAATAATAAAAGAATAAATCTACTTAGCAGTATAAAAGTTGAGTCGAGGGTGTCCTTGATGGTCCAATATATTCAGTACTGAATTATATTTTTAAATATGTATTTAAATTTCATAGGCAATGCTGTTAAATGCATTATGGATTGTTCAGAAATTCCACCTAGTATGCCTCAAGCAGCGGTTCGTAGCTTAGTTGAAGAAGACGGTGAAATGTTACCAGACGAAAATATTGCTTCGTATAAAACTAATTATCCAGAGTAAGTTTTTACTTACGTTTGGTAGTAAATTATTTGAATTTGTTTTTTTATTTATGTTTTTATCAAAAATTGTTGTCAAAATAATCTTTGTAATTTAATTGAAACTCATAAAAGAAATTTTCTTATTAAAACTAATAATTTTAAAACGTCTAATTTATAATCTATAGAGACGACAATGAACGAAAGGAGAAACACGTATTGTCTGTCGATTGTCAACTTGTGACATTGATGAGTGTTATTAAAGGAAGATTAGTCATCACTACAACACACGCATATTTTTACGATTTAACACCTATCACGGAGGATTGCGATAGACATGATTTTAAGGTTAAATAATTTAAAAATATGTACAGTATATTTATACTTATTTTAAATTGTAATAATTGTTTTACTTTTTTCAATGAATATTCTATTATAAATTTTTAATTTAAAAAATTGATCTTTTATTATAATTTTGTTATGAAACGGTATGTTTGATACTGTCAATATACAATTATTTGCTGTGCAACTCAAAAGTGTTATAAGAAAAATAACTCGTATTTGAATTAAAGTAAACAATTATTTATAATTAAATTAGTAAATAATAAAACTATTACTTTATTTATATTTAAATATTTAATTAATATACAGTTTTAAGATGAATATAAGGACCCAGATCCATACAAATTTTAATTTGTAGATATTTCTCAGAATATAGCAAAATTAAAACACTACTAGGAATTAGAACCGAAGTAATTAAGTTTGAATTAACTGAAGTGTGTGCCAATATGTTTATAACATTAACCAATATGATATTAGCGTTACTTTTTAGTGTAATTATTTTATGCCAAATGGTAGAAATCTTAATCGAATTTTTTTACTAAATAATATATCATTTCATGCATACCAGATATATAATATTTGTGTTCGTTAAGTTTGATTTAACAAATATTTTTCTTTAGCTACTGATGGCAATGCAGTCAGTAAATAACCAAAACTAATGGGTTTTCTAGATTTTAGATTCAAAATAAATTTTAAAGATAAATATAAAAATAATTTTTTTAATTAATAGAAAAATTATGTTTTATACATTATTTTCATTGAAATTTCAAAATTTTGATCCTTGTTATTTTTTTTTATTAAATTTATTTATTTATGTCTCGTTTAAATTTTAGTGGTCCATGACAAAATTGAGGGACGTGTATCTCAGGCGTTATAATTTGCGGCGAAGTGCTTTAGAGTTTTTTTTGATGGATCAGTCAAACTACTTTTTAAACTTCACTACTAAAGTATTTGATACATTTTTTTTAAACAAGCCATGATATATCATTTAAATATTAAATTTTTTGTTGTAGATTCGGTTGAAAGTATTAACTGCTATTTTTAGTATTCATCCTCCAAATTTTTCATTCAATAGTAGTCGTCATCCTCAAGATTTACTCAAAAAATCAAACATGACTCAAAAGTGGGTTAATAGAGAAATATCCAATTTCGAATATTTGATGCAAGTAAGTATTAATTTAATCACTTTTAGCTACGTTATAGTATGTCTATAAATTTGCAATTAATTATTTAAATAGTTAAACACAATAGCTGGTAGAACCTACAATGATCTTTCTCAGTATCCAGTATTCCCGTGGGTTTTAGCCGATTACACATCTGAAGAGTTGGATTTGAACAATCCAAAAACATTTAGGGATTTATCAAGACCCGTAGGAGTTGTTAACCCCAATAATGAAGCTGATGTTCAAGCGAAATATAGGAATTTTGAAGATCCGCACGGTGTAATAGGCAAATTTCACTATGGAACTCACTATTCAAATTCTGCTGGTGTCCTTCATTATTTGGTTAGAGTAGAACCTTATACATCTCTACATATAGAACTTCAAAGTGGAAGGTATTTACATTAGTATATTTAAAAAAACAATTCTTGATGTGTATATTTTTATCATAGGTTTGATGTTGCCGACCGACAATTCCATTCAATTGCTCAAACATGGAAATTATTAATGGATACTCCTAATGACGTCAAAGAATTGATACCAGAATTTTTTTATTTTCCAGAATTCTTAAAAAATATGAACAAGTAAAAACCATTATTATTTTAATTTTTATTACTAAAAAAACATTAATATTTACATATGTATAAAAATAAATTAAACACTTTTATTAATAGTAAAATAGAAAAACACAAATAATTATGAGCTTAACTTGATTACAGTTTTGATCTTGGACGTTTACAGTCATCAAAGGAAAGAATAGGTGATGTGATTTTACCTCCTTGGGCGGACAGTCCAGAAGATTTTATTTATAAACACAGAAAAGCTTTGGAATCTGAGTATGTATCGAGCCATTTACATGAATGGATTGATCTAATTTTTGGCTATAAACAAAAAGGTCAAGCAGCTGTTGACGCCATGAATGTTTTTTATTATTGCAGGTATTGCTGATTTTACAAATAATATATATTTTCATAACTCAATATCAATTCTGTTATTGAGTTTTCTAAAACTTTGTTGGATGTGTATCATTCAAATAAAGTCGCAACTACTTTCCTAGGCAATAGAATAATAATTCCACTCGTAGTACATTAGTTTGAGAAATCTTCTTAATCGAAAAAACGACAAAAATTCTTAATGAGCCCTTTAGCACTAAAAAAAAAAATGAATTTTTTGTATCGATCGTATTTATTAATTTTTTGATTTTAGTTACGAAGGAGCCGTGGATTTGGATGCCATTTCAGACCCAATAGAAAGAGAAGCCCTTGAAGGAATGATTAACAATTTTGGACAGACTCCAAGTCAACTTTTAAGAGAACCTCATCCTTCAAGACTACCGCTAGATAAAGCATTAGAAAGAATGATGAAATCTGATAGCAAAAAGCCTGATTTAACGATGATGTTAAAAGAATTATCTACATTTTATGTTGAAGTAGAGATTTATATATATTAAGTTCTTTTATTGTTAATTTTATATTATTATAATTTGTAGATTACAGATAGTAGATATCCAATGGTATTTTTAAGTCCGCCTCGTTCAGGACCCAAGGGATTGTTACAAACATTTATGACCGACGATACCCTTGTTACAGTGTGTGAAAATACTCTCATTGGTCGACACTCTTGGTTGCCGTATGATAAACACTCTAATAAAGGATTTACACTTGACGTGGATCCGTCGCATATTTTACTTAAGTAACTAATAAAAATTAAAAAAATTGCATATTTTTATTGAAAAATTGTGGTTATTCTTTTTTAGAAACAAAAAAGATCCTAATGCGTACCCTATGCGATCATCCTCCTATCATCCGTCCATTGAAATAAACAGTCATTTATTTGCTGTATCGCATGATGCAAAGTACTTATTTACTGCTGGCCACTGGGATTATAGCGTAAAAACATTTAGTTTTTCAAGAAATAAATACCTATCTTCAGTTATCAGACATTTTGGTAATTATTTTTAAGAAAAATGATTTTTTTTATTTAACTGTTTTCTCAGTCAGAGGGACGGTGTGGCTGAGTCGGTAACGTGTCAGTATTTGACGCGCATTGCCTCGGGTTTAAAACTCGGTCACGGGCGGATTCATTTGCTAAACGAGAGATCAGTTTGGTAATTGGAGTCGCTATCGCTCTCTCCGCGACGGACTAACCATTCGTCCCGGAGTATAAATGGTTAAGAAACCTCCTTTTTTGGGGGAGGCCGCGATAGCCTTTAAGGAACTGATAAAAGCGAAAAAAACTGTTTTCTCATGTACATAATTAATTTGTTCTTAATTTTTTTAGATATTGTTACATGCATAGCACTAGATTCATGTGGGTGGTATATGATAAGTGGTTCTAGGGATTGTACTTCAGTTGTCTGGGATGTATCAAATACAAATAATGTCAACCCTAAACCTTTCCAAACATTGCTAGGTCATGATTTACCAGTAACGTGCGTTGCTATAGCCACCGAGTTAGATATGGCTGTTTCCGGATCTGAAGATGGGACAGTTAATGTGTACAGTATACACCAAGGACTTCTAGTTCATTGTTTAATTCCTTTAGGTTGTGTGTGCCCTCCGTCTACTATATCCTATGTTACCATTTCATTTCAAGGCCATATCGCATTTTCGGCTAAAGATAAAGTAAGTATAAATAATAATTATTATCGTAATTCACATCATTATTTTCCTTTGTAGGAATGTCACTCAGTGCATGTGTTTAGTTGTAACGGTGATAATTTGGGTTCTAAATATGTTGGCGCTCCAGTCACTGGAATTACTACGATTGGAGATTGTTTAGTAGTTGTCGACGATGCTGGCTATTTAACCCTTAGCCGTCTTTTGGGGTAATATAATAATTGTTTTTTTTTAAAGTTAAAATGTAAACATTTTATTTTTATGAATAATAAAAATAATTTGATGAGAAATATTATTTTATAAAAATTATTGTATAGTTTACATCCAGTTTACGACGTTCCACTGGATATTCCAATTCAAACAGTAGTCGCTACGCCGGGTAATACCCATTTGTTGGCTCCTCTGAGAGATGGAAACATAGCGGTCATAGGACTACCAAATTCAAATAATTGATTCTAAAAGAATCGAAGTTATTGTTTTTTATTCGTTTTGAATTTTAACTAGTTATCTTTTTAATTTACCATCAAAATATTGTTTATAAATTGTAACTGATTGCCAAATATTAGTGTTAATCCATATATTGTATTTATATTTTATTGCTCATCGAATTATTTACGTAATCTCAACTTAATTAGGTGCTAAATTTATCATATTTTCGTATTATTAAAACTTAACATAATATCACTTATTAAATTCATTTTCATCGTTTTGCTCTAGCGGTTATGGGTATATTTTAAGAACGGCATAAGTACTATAATAGTTATTAATAAATACTTATAATTAATTTGTACTTTTAATTATTTGTTATTGTAATTTGAATTTGTTCAACTTAATTGTAATTTGTAGCTGTATTTTAATTATACTTATATTGACCAATCAATCTACTATTATTATCTTCTTTCTAACTAAATAGTTAAAATCTTATTAATTGCATTTGAGAATAGTAGTATCATTAAGATATTAAATTTTTTTTTAATTTTCACTACTTTTGTGCTTAGGCAATGTGTATTTTGTTATTTATATTAACTCTGACGGTCGTGACCGGCGCAATTAAAATCTATTCTAGAACTCAACGCTTTTATTCTCTGACCCTACTTGGCAATAAAAGCCGTACAACTTTAATTGAAACTTAAGGTAAGGTCCTACTAAGCGTGTATTCTTGTCTGGCCTTGGTGATCAATTGTAATTTTTTCAATTCGTTATTTTCCGGTTTTATTTCATCATTTATGCGATTAGTTTATGACAATATTAAAGGACCATTTTTTATGAACCAAAATAAATGAAATATCTAACATTTATTTTTAGTTTCACATTTTTAGTTTTTTACATATTTTTTCAAGATAAATACTATTAAATCAAGTTGAAAATTTAGTAATTTATAGTAAATTTTAATGAAGAATAATTATCACTCTGAAATGATTAACCATGAGTTGGTTTAGTCATTTTTAGGAGTGTTCATAAAATAATTTTAAATTATACGTTCTAAGATAGCACATTTATTTAAGGTATACAACTATATATTTCAGTAATGACCAAATAGAAAATGATTTTACGTTGTGCACAGCTGTTCATACATATTTCAAAGAGTATACAGGCTGATGTTTTTTTTTACATTTTCGCAAAAAAACTTTTTTTTGACAAATTAAAAAAATATTATTTCTGATGATATTTTCATAATCATAAAAGTTAATAAAAAAAAAGCTTAATAATTCTTAATAATAAGTCTTTAGATAGTTGTCCAAATTTATGAAGTTTGAAACGTTCAAGCATTCAAAAATAAATGATCAAATATGAACGTTATTCTGATTAGGCTAGGGTAAGTTTTCAAACGCTATCAAACAAATATCAAGTTCAATGTAAAGTCAAAATATCAAGCTCAATGAATGTGAGTACAAACAATGTCATTGTCCGAGTTAGTGTGTAAGAGATATGTCATCTCATACACACGCAGGCGCTATAGTCTCGATAAGCATAATATGATTAGCAATAGCAAAATGCCATCAAAGAACATTCATCAAAAGTTCGCCGAGAAAAAAATGTATTCATATTTATATTTTGCTCATAATTTTTTTCAAAATTAAAATAAATTTTTTATTTTTAATAAACCACATAAGTATAACATAATGGCCGAAACACCTGAACTTGAAATTCTGATCAAGCAATTAGAAGTTGCTCACAATCGGTTAGTAGAAAATTTTAATTGAAAATAGAAATACTTTTCTATTGTAATTGATTACAATAAAATAATATATCGAATAATGATATTTCAAATTAGTAAGAAATATTTGTTCAAGGATATTATTACTAAAACTTTAATTATTTTAGATTGCACGCTAAAATTCAACTTGGATCAGCTTTTAAATAATAAGATTTTATTCTAATTTCCGGAAAAGTTAGTGACAACTTTATGGCAACATACAAATTATACAGTAAAATAATTTAATACGTAATTGTTTAATTTTACTGTTGATTAAATATAATTTTTCTATTAAAAAAATATATTAATGAATTTCTTTTAAATTAGTAAGATCATAAAAATATTTAGACTGGAATTATAAAACTAAACTTAATATAAGCGTTATTCGAACTTCTAAATTTGTTCACCGGTAGATTTTAAATTTTTAATAGATAATTAAACTTATATGGGTGTCAACTTTATTTTTTAAATAACAATATATAATTATCTTAAAAAATCGATAGTAATGTAAATAAGAAAATGGCTGGTGTATAACAACTTTTGGATCAGTATATGAGAAATTTTAAACAACTTAAATTATGATTGGAGGTGAGCAATAATTTTTAGCAATATTTTTACTCATGTTAAACATGGTAATAAAATATATGATTGCCCTAGGGCGTCGATAACAGATAATACAATACTGGGAGCAATTGAGAACAATTTTAGTGTAGTTTAAATTTTTTTTTGGTTCAGTTAATAATTACTAGAAATACAGAGTGATAGATTTATAATAAACCACTCGATTACTCTCAAAATAAATACAAAATTGGAAAAAAATGTTTTGCTCTATTTTAGTTATACATATATATTTCTTGATTTATCAGTTAATATTTACTTTTTAGAATCATTCCTTATAACTTATAGGTATGTCAACTTTATTTTTTAAATGAAAATATACATCTAGTTAAGAAAACGGCTGAACGATAAAATGTTTTGAACCAGCATTTGAGAAATTATTACTTATTTTATGTAATGGTGAGAATTGGTTGCTGCTATTTTTATCACTAATCATTTCCCCGTCGTACTTTTCCTCCCGCAAAGGTATAAAAAATAGAATAATTTCCGAATACTGGTCCAAAATTTATTATCGACTAGTGATTTTCTTAATTAGATTATTCCTATTTTACAAGCTATTAATTACGTTGCCATTAAAAAAAAAATAAAGATGACACCTCTATAAGTTATAAGGGATATATGCAACCAACAAATTAAATAACCTTTTTTTGCAATATTATATGTTATTACGAGTAATCGAGTGGTTTATGATAAACCGATCAGTCTGTAAATTGTCTTTATAGCGATATCTGATATTTCTATATTTTGAAAATAAAATACCTAATATGGATATTTTAAAACCATTATGATATAAAACTGTAAAGAATACAAATTAAAGAAATCCTTTATTATTTTACCAGAGTCTCCATGGTAAAAACGTATATCTAGACATTTTGGGATATCATCTTTCCAGAAATTGATACTTACAGTATTGATACATATATAAAGCGTTATCGGAACAAAAAATCTCTATTTAAAAAAATTATTTAAATTGTTGTCATTACAATAAGGTTTATTCTGTCCTCCCTACTAAATTATTAAAAAATATAGTTATTCGCAATTTTATCATGAAGGCAATGGCTATGTCTTACAAATACATAGGGAAAATGGTATAAGTCAAAACAATAACTTTTTAGAAAAATTAAAACCTTTATTTTATTACATTTTAAAATTCTAATAAAAAAAAATATGCATAAAAATTAAAAATAAATTTTTTTTATTAATTTGTTTTTCAAATAACTAATATTAAAAAAACTAGATTATCAAAAATACAAATGATGCATTTCTTTTTATCATGTGTACCTTGTCAACAATATCTGTTTTTTATTTTTTTGTTTTTGTAAAAATTAAATTTAAATAATTATACTTATATATAAAAGAATTTTTTTTAATAGTATTCATGTCTAAATTTATAACAATTTAAAAAAATATGATCATTTTGAACACTTAAAATATATTTAAGAATATAGACTGATGATTAAAAGGAAAATGAAAATTTTAGCTAATGTTTTATTAAAAATACTTTCTTTTAGAAATATTGACTAAAAACCATCGTCACATTGTATAAACGGTTTATTTAAACTAATTCTCTATTACTTAGTATGCAAAATATCTGACAAAAGACTGATAAGCATTATGATACACACAACTTATGCTTTGTCGAAACCTATTGAAATTTTAGTGAAAAACAAAACGGTTAATTCAAAATAGCTGATTGATGGGAAAAACTTGACGCCAATCATTTAAACTGTATTCTTTGTACTCATTGATAGTTGACTCGTTTTTTCAATAATCCGTGTAACTAATGTAATTTGAAGTGATATGGTCTGTTAAATAAGTTAAAGGACGCTTCTTTAAATTAAATAATTGTTGGCGTTTCAAAATTCTTAAATTAAATAAATTTAAAAATGTGCTAAATTTTAAATTAAAATTTATTATTTAATAAACAAACAAAATAATTTAAAAATCCTCTCTTTGCGTTTAATTTACTAAGTGCATCATTTTACATATATATTTGTATATACTAATAGCGTGTTGAACTCATATATACATATATTTTTTTTTGAAGACTTGTATTTAGGGTCAGATTTATAAATTTTAGAGGCCAGGCTTTATCCATAGTTAAACATTTTCTCGTGACGGAACTGTCTTTTTTTTAATTATTAATTTTAAACTTCAATTGTAACCGGAGGACTTCTTTTTTTTTCGTATTTTTTAATGCCTTTGAAAATAGTTTTGTAAAATTTGCAATTTTAAAAGCTTCCTTTAATTAAATATTAATATTATCTCATCAATATATTTTAGTTTGATTTCATTACCATTTAAAATAATAAAAGGTAGAAATGCGTCTTTATCCATTTGATGATTGTATAAATTTTAAAAGTTTTCCTAATTGACCTAGTAGGAATAATTCCATGGCGACATCAATTTATTTATTTTTTTTTTTGAGGGCTAATATATTTATATAAATATATTCTCCTTGGATTAAATGCCAATTACGACACTGATGAGTTTAGTATTTACACTAAAATAAATCGTGCATTTTTGATATATAATATTGTGAAAAGTTTATTATGATAAAAACATTTATGTTATTGTACAACATAATGCTAGGAGGGGAGATCTATAAAATTAATAAAAGTACTTTACTTGAGCTATTAGTACTATACAAATGCTCAAAGTGTGCGTCGAGAAATTTGTCGAGCTTGCTAAAATTTTTGAGTTTAATAAAAATTTATTTATTGTCATTAAAATAAAAAAAAATGGCAAATTACTCAATGCATCAAAGTTATTGGAAATTAAAATTAATTTTTATAAAATAATTTATTATTGAATTAAAAGTTTTTGTATTATATTTTAAAAGATCTCAAAATTAAAAAAAAAAAAAAAAATGGAAAAAAGGTATAGTTACTGGAAAAAAATAATTTGTATATTTTAAATTATTTGTACTTATTGAAAAGGATTTTAATAAGTACTTTACAACTATATTTATATCTTAACTTTTTTTTTTTAGCATTTGAATTTAGGTGTATTTTAAATATTCAGATCATTTATAGTGTATAACTATATTCTTAATAAAGTATGCATTTTACTTATATTAATTCAAATAAAAATCCTTAATAATTCTAGTATACAGTGATGCATTACACTATACAAAATGATCTAACAATTCCTATCGTCATTATATTTTTAATATACAGACTTCTAATAAGTGTATGTGAAAATTTGGAAATTTTTTTTTAGCGTGTACGTAAAATTCTTTTTCTTTAAAATCATCATCCTTATTTTTAAAGTGGCGATTAAAAATTATTTAAAGAATACCTAGGAAACGAATGAAAAAATTTTAACCTTAGGGATGATAAAATTATATCTAATCATGTCTATTGTAAAAAAGTAGTCTTAAAATATTACCGTAATATTGATCCCCATTTAAAATATCTTATTTTTAATTAAGGAATTAATTTAAAAAAAAAAGTATTAAGCTTTGTTTAATTATTTATTAATCAATTTTATAAATCAATATAATTCTAATAAATAGTGTATAATAATAAATCTCATTAGACTAAATAATTTTGTATAATTTTTGTAAGAAATTTAAAATTTTTTTAATATTTATTTGTTTAGTTAAATATTAACAAAATTAAATTAAGATTACAATTTTCTATTAGATAGGTTTTATTTGTATCCATTTATATAAGTTTTGAAATGCAGATTACTGTATCAAAAAGTTCTGAAATGTAGTTCAATAATTGTATTTTATATATATATATGAATTATAGAAAAATAGATATAGACGCATTACTTAAAGAAGTAGGTGAATTTGGAAGATACCAAAAATCTTACATGATCTTACTTGGATTAGCATTAATGTTCACAGCTTCGTCAACATTGTCATTTTTATTTACTACTGGAGATATGAAGTATAGGTAAAATAATATTATCAATATCAATTAATTCTAACGGTTTCTTGGTAGTTCTTCTATAATTTATTTCATTATAGATGTTACATCAATGATTGTGATTCATCAACTTCAGATCAAGTGTACAATCCTGAATGGCTAAAAAACGCAGTTCCATTCATTGATAAATACAAACCTTCAAAATGCCAACAATTCGAAAAAATCAAAAAAACTAATTATACTTGTAGTGCCCTTAATTTTAATAAATCGTCGATAACTGAATGCAATAGTTTTATATTCGCTTCTGATAGTGAAAAAACTATTGTTTCAGCGGTAAATAAATTTTAGAATATTTTCTAGTAGCTTGAAATAATTATATTATACATTTCAGTTCCACATATATTGTAGAAGAAATAAATGGAAATTAACAACAGTAGGAACATTGAACAACATCGGTCAATTTATTTCACTACCCATTTCTGGATTTTTGTCTGACAAGTATGTAATAAAAATGAACTTTCAAATGAACTTTTGAGGTCTAAAATGAGTTTTTTTTAGGTACGGAAGAAAAAACATTATTATAATCGGCAGTACGTTAGCGGCTACTTGTGGTATTCTGAGAAGCATGTCGTTTAATTATATGATGTTTTTGATCTTGGAATTTTGCGATGCTTTATTTTCAGGTGGCGTTTATAGCGCTACTTTTATAATGGGTAACATTATTGCATTATCTACTAAATTCTTATTTTATTAATTCAATATTTTTAAATAATACAAATGGCTTAATTCTTTTGTTCATAATATGCCATACAACATTGAGTGATTTTTTACTTTTCTTACTGTAGGATTAGGTTTAATTGGAGGAAAGCATAGAGTTTTTGCTAGTACGGCCCTTAGTGGATTTTATCCTATTGGCGAAGCTTTAGTTGGTGTGCTATTTTGGTATGTGCAGGACTGGAGAAAATTTTTAATTATCATGAACTTTCCAGGATTATTTTTCATACTTGCCTACAGGTAATTGTTAAATAAATAATTCATTTTAATTCAGAAAAGTGAATGATAAATTTTTTTTTATTTATTGCTTATTTTTAGTTAAATGTATATAGATTTATTAAAGTATTATAAACATTATTTTGAAACGTGCTCAAAAACAAATGACACAATTATATTGGATTATTTAAATAATAAATGTTTTTATAGAATTACACCAGAGTCAGTTAGATGGTTGATTACTGCGGGTAAAATTGATAAGGCTATAGAAGAATTAAAATGCATAGCAAAATTTAACGGAAAAAATCTATCAGATGAAACATTGAAAAAACTAGAATTTTTGACTATACAAATCAATAAAGGAATTTTACTGGTAATTAACATTATTATGGATTTTCTTTCATTATTATGATAAAAAAAATGTTTGATTATTCATCAATAGGACGAAAATGAAGCTAACTCCAGATCAAAAGCATTTAGACGAGCTCTATCTTCAAAGTGTATTATGACTCGTTTGTTGAACTGTTCATTTTGCTGGTAATACTCTTAAAATGTTTAATTATTTCAAAAGTATTTTTTTTTTTTAATTATTTTGTATAGGATGATCAATACACTTGTCTACTATGGTTTGTCGTTGAACGCTAGTGCAATTGTTGGTAATCCCTATGGGAATTTTATTTTGAGCGCCCTTATAGAAATACCTGCCCTCATTATTGTGGTTCAAATATTAAATAAATTTGGAAGGAGAGAGTCACAATGCGTGACTCTTTTACTTTGCAGTGCATTATGTCTATCGATAGCATTCATTCCAAACAGTAAGTACAATATTAATTACTTATTTTCGGAGGTCATCGCCTTAATAGACCACTAAGGCGTATAAAAAAAAATTTTCCCATAGTATTATAATTATCAATGAGAAACTTTTTTAAGTTTAAATTTAACAAAACATATTCAATTCGATTTATGTTGATTCATTCATGCAATAATTTTAGATATAGTGTTATTAAATGTTACTCTGTATCTATTGGGAAAGTTTGTGATAACTGTGTCATTTGTGATATTATATATGTATACGGCAGAAATGTTTCCAACTGAAATACGTCATTCTCTACTCGGAATTTGTTCTATGTTTGGTAGAATTGGCTCAATGGTAGCACCTCAATCACCTTTACTAGTAAGTAAAAGAACTTCATTCAAAAAATTTGTAATAAAAGGTGTAGTTTATAAATATAAAATATGATTTCATACTAATTTACCAGTAATAATTTAAAATTTTTATTGTTAGTAAATGCGCAATTTACTTAATATGACAATTAGCCAATTATCATATTAACTACTGTCAAATAATAATTTATCCAGGGTAAAATCTAAGAATTTTTTTAGCTACGTAATAAAAAATTTAAAAGCCAAGCGCCTTGGACACAACGTGTTCTACACGGCCTAACCCAGTTGTGTATCCAAATGAAACTTAAAAAGAAGAAAATTACTAGTCCATAACAACTTTTGGACCAGTATTCGGAAATTATTCTATTTTTTATACCTTTGCGGAAGGAAAAGTACGACGGGGAAATGATTAGTGATAAAAATAGCAGCAACCAATTCTCACCATTACCTAAAATAAGTAATAACTTCTCAAATACTGATTCAAAACATTTTATCATCCAGTCGTTTTCTTAACTAGATGTATATTTTCATTTAAAAAATAAAGTTGACATACCTATAAGTTATAAGGAATGATTCTAAAAAGTAAATATTAGCTGATAAATCAAGAAATGTATATAACTAAAATAGAGCAAAAATTTGTTTTGATATGTTGCATTTATTTTGAAAATAATCAAGTAGTTTATTATAAATCTATCACTCTGTATTTCTAGTAATTATTAACTGCACTAAAAAAAATTTAAGCTACGCTAAAATCGTTTTCAACTGCACTTAGTATCGTGTTAACTCTCATTGACGCCCTAAGATAATCATATATTTAACTCCCCCATTTAACATGGATAGAAATTTAATATATTTTCCATGGAAGATTTTAGATACATTTAACCCTGTATCAACGGCTATCATTACATTCGTAATAACTTCAAAATCTCAACAATATAATATATTGAAACCCAACCACCTTTATTTTTTGTTATACAGAGTGATTTTTTTATCATAACCCACTCAATTACTTACAGAATATATATATTTAAACATTGTTTTGTTTTTGGTTATCTTTAGTTACACATTATTCTTGAATTATTAACTATGTAATACTTTTTATGACATCAATATTCGCAGGTACACAAAATTGTTATTATAAATGGTAGTAAGGCACATTGTTGTGAGTTTATAAATACACTAACTGACAATTTAGAAAGAATACCTATTGATAGTCATAATTGATAATAAACAATCCGTAACTGTGACAGCAATGTCATAAAAACCATTAGCTACCTGTATTTGTAATACCTTGTGTATTATGCATGTATATTAACTCAAAAATGTGAAACTTTAAATGTTTATATCTAATAAACGAATAAAGTTATATTAAAAATTCAAATGCCATTTACTATTAAATTAAAAACTCAAACATCTTAGCTAATTGGTTTTTATGATATTGCTATCACAGTCACGGATTGTTTATTATCAATTATGACTATCAATAGATATACTTTTTGTATTGTCAGTTAGTGTATTTATAAACTCCTGCTAATATGGATGTCATAAAAAATCAATTAGCTACCTGTATTAAAAAACAAAGTTGACGCCCTTATAAGGCATAAGGGATGAACTTAAAAAGTATTACATAGTTAATAATTCAAGAATAATGTGTAACTAAAGTTAACCAAAAAAAAAAAATGTTTAAATATATTTATTCTGTAAGTAATTGATTGGGTTATGATAAAAAAATCACTCTGTATATGACAAACAGTTATTATTATTATTTTTTAGCTTCGATGCAAAGCTGAGAAAGTATTAGTTTTTCCAAAAATCCCAGCTCTCACTGGACCGATTTAAATCTTATTCAATCTATCGTTACTAAAAATTGGGGAAAATACCCTCAATTTTAGATATTTCGAAAAATATCTTAAAATTACGTTACGTAGAAAAAATAACAGTTATCAATTTTTTTCAGCATTTTAAAACTATTATAACATTTTAATCGAAACAATTATTCCAATGAAATTTTAATAAATCATATTAAAGACAATAAGCTTTCTTTTGGTATGCTCTTTGAGATAATGAATAACCGAAGTACAGGGAGGGTTTGAAAAAACCACCGACGCATTAAAAAACGGCCAGTTTGTATTTTTCTAACCTTTATCAAATGAAAACTTTTTTAAATGTACTACAATATTAAAAAGAAATTATATCTAACGATGTTATATTATGAAAAATTGACAGTCAAAGTACTAAATTTGTTTATTTTCAACTTTTGAAAATATTCTGGGATGGCTGCTCTATTTTAACCTATATAAAATTAAAACTTTTAAAGTGTACTAAATTAATAAAAAAAAATAATTCATTCCTACGATTGTTCTACTATAATTGATCATCTGATAAAATAAAAAATCGCAATAAAAAAAAAAAATTTCAATTTTAATAAAGCAAATAATTTAACATGAATTTAATATTCAAATGAAATTTTAAAACTCAGAAATTGTGATTATACGCATAAACAAATGATTGTGAAATTTAACAAATTCAAATTAAGCGTTATTTAATTTAGTTATGTTAATCACTGCCAGATTTTATGTATAATTTTCTCAACTATGCCGCGACCTTACTTTGCTAGGTTTTTTTATAAAGCTAGCATTCCGAGAATACCTGCATGGTATTCTGCCCATTGTAAAGTAAATTTTAAAGGATTAATTTAAAGGAAAAAAGTACAACTAAAAAACAAATTCTGAACACGCTATGCATTATATAGTATACACGACTTGTCATCAATGACTATATATTTATTGTGTGGAGATAGTCGAATATATCAGCAAAGTAAAGAAAATATTGGTTTTCTAATTTATTTTTAGCCCCGGTTTTATCACAATGTCCGTTGCTTACGCCCATACGGCCTATCAATATTGGTCTCTGAACGGAGACTTTATAACTTATCGACTATCGTATAGAAGCAATAACAATTACATTGACGTCGAGATCTATTTAAAGCGTAGGTATAAAATATCTTGTATATACAAAAGCAATAACATCAAATGATTAAAAAAATGTACTTTTAAAGTAAATACATCTTACACAAAAAAAAGTATTCATATGTTTTTGGTGCCATAAAGTGCCCTATGGCCCCACCCTAAGTACTGACTACACTTTAAATTATATAATGACTAATATTAATATTTTTAGGTTTCGTATTTTGGCCAATCAGCTCCAATAATACTTTTTAGCGGAGCAACTTTTGTAGCTGGTTGTTCAGCTCTTTTTTTTCCAGAAACATTTAATAAAAAAATGCCTGACACAGTTTTAGAAGCAGAAGCTATAGGAAGGAAACGTTAAAATTAATTAATGTTTTTGTAAATTATTAATTTGTTAGTTAATAATTAAGTTATTGTAAATATATAAGAATTTATCATTGAATTAATTGTACAAGATGAAAATAATTACCTTTATAGTTCAAATTTGATTATATAAACAATAATAACAACTATTAGTGATTATGATCATAGTGAAATAATATTAATGGCATAATTATTAATTATTTATTTGTTTAAAGTTTTTTTTTCATTTTTTAATAAATAAAATATAAAAGGGGAGTTGTTACAAATGAAAAATTAGTTAAATAATATATTATCCCTCTTATAGATGCGTATGGTTCAATGGTTCACAGTAGAGATATTTAGATGTGTTAAAAATGGTAGATAATTGTATACCTATAAATACAAAAATAATTTTAATATGGTAGTAAATACGGTTTTATTTTCACAACAGATTATTATGATTGCAACAAGTTCATGTATAATGACAATAAATCAATTATAAAACAAATAAAATGTAAGTGTAATGAAACATAAACAGAAATATATATATATATCTTTATAGGATTCTTTTGGTGAAGACTTCTTCTGATTTGGACTTATCACAGAAATTTGGTATGATTTATTCCCTTTTTTAGGGCAAAAGTATGATTTAAAGACTGATAAAAAATTACGGCTAAAAAAAATTATTATTGTTAAAGATTTGGGTTAATTTTAATAATTTTCTCTAATAATTTTATTTTAAAAACATCATTTATCATCGATTTTAGATTTTGTGATTATTCCTTAGATTTATGCTTCTTGTTATTATATTATCAATAGCAAATATTATGTACAAAATAAAATTATAATCAAGATTATGACAA